AATGTATAAGCTACATTACTGTAAAGTTTCATCAAAATCCGTTCAGTAGTTTTTGTGTGAAAGGGTAACAAACATCCATCCATAGTCACAAACTTTCGCGTTTGTAATATTAATAATAATAATATGATATGTTAATTAGTATCTACTTATTAACTCTTACTTAGACATTGACAAGCGAAGAATAGGTCTATATGGGTATCTAACGGTTAATTTATATTCTCAATTGTTATAAGTCAGTTACACCTACAGAACAAATACATATAATCTAGGAGTATATATCGTATATACTCCTATATCTATATATAAGTTTCTATTGGCATATTATAAACGTATTTTGTCATGAAAAAGGCTTTTAGATATATCATCTAATTATTGCATTTGCATTTATTTAAACAATAATGGTTATACCCATTTATGGTACATTATATGGTTTTATTATTTAGTTTTTGTACGTACCTACTAATTATCTATAATAAACTAATCCCAACCAATAGATGTGACATAGTTTACAAAGAAAGCGAGGTGAGAAAGAGAAGAGAGGGAAGTACTTCTCCATTGCACTGCCATATCTGACACTACCACCGAGACAGAGATTCTCAATCAGCACTTTGACCTTCGCCACAGCACAGAGTTAGGATACTTCGTCTCTAATATCTTAATTTGTTAATATTACCTGATACCTGTCCATGTTGCGTGTGGTATGAACCATTAATATTGTCGTGTTGGAATCGCAAAAAAAGCGTTGGGAACCGGTTTGGTAGCACTAGCGGACGGGGGCCATTCAACGAACCGCTTGTGATTTCTACAGGCTGGGTTACCAAACAGAAATAAGGAAATACCGGATAAAATATTACTTTCACCAACCACTCTAAACTAAAACTAATTTAATTTTCACAGACTTCATACAAAGAAGGAGGTCCTTAATTTTACTGTTTTAATTTTTCTCTACATTTTTTTTTATCTACAGACTTTATCTACATGTGCCTTCACGACTGTTATGCCAAATGTCAGATTGTTGGGTTTTGGTGTCGGTCAGACTCGAACTATAATTTTTGCGATCTAGGTCAAAGTATAAACCACTAGTCCACGACGCTCTTTACCCATCTGTATACATTTAGTTAACTTTTTAAATTCTTTAAATTGAACATAATACATAAGTTTATGTATATAACTCAATTCTCTATGTTATAAAGAGAGTATAAAAAATTGTGTAATAAAGAGCATTGAAATCTCCGAAACCATTATCCCTATTTCAATATGATATGATTTAATACAGACGAAATCGGGGTGTAGTATAGTACGTCACTCGATAAAGAATCGATTAATATTTCAAAAAATTGTACCCATATATGTCTCAGTTATCAGTCGTACCACGAACTATAAACTATCAATGACATCTTCCGATCTGTAAATCGGTGATATCTTATCTGTTCATCGAAATCCAATGGGCGAGGCGATCTGTCAAATAAAAAAATAAACACCATACATAGATAAAACATATGTTTACTGCTTGAACAGTAAGAAATGTTATTTTATAAATAAAATGTCCTGATAACTTCGTATCCACCGAAAATGTATGTCAAACATTGTCTTGGTGTACGGAGGAATAGTTTTAGTATTAGAAAATACTAGCAATGTACCGTATTAGGTCGACCTGCACGCGGTCCCCCTTATGAATTGGTAAATTCATCGCGATAGTCATAATCAGTAAGTTTCGCTTCGCTAAGCTGTTATGAAATCTGAAAGGTTAGAAAGGTAAAACGATTTTTAAAAAAATATTTTAAACTCCCGCCTGCGCCTGTCCAAATTGAACACGGGTGTAGTGAACTAGGTAATAACTAGAAAAATCATACCAAATCTTTATTTAACGTCATTATCATTGAACCCATGCAAGAAACTAAATAACTGAACGTTTAATGTGTCAGTTCTGTAAATGATTAACAATTTTTAACAAAAATTTTATCTTTTATTATTGATGTTTTAGGGTTATTGTTAGGTGTTAAGACCTATAACATTACAACCTGCATAAATTTATTGTGTTCACGTTAAGTTCGCTACCTAGACCCGCCAGAGACAAAAACAAAGATTTTCTTAGGGGCGATGGTTGTTATCTCCTCAGGATATAGTTTATACTTTCCAAAGGAGTTATTTCGTTTATGCATGAGTGGGCTACAACTACATAGGATGTGAAGTGACGTTTTCTCTTCTGTTTGGCAAAGAGTTACTTTACGAATTCTCCTATTCTTTTGATAATTGATTTTAGTTACGTAAGTAAGAGTACCTGAATTAACAGCCATGTGTCATCTAGGAGGAAGTCGCTTATCTTAATTAGACAGTTTTAAGGAAGTAGGGTCATCAGAGGCAGACTGTAAAGTCTGCATTGATACCTCAATCTTGCCTATATCAGTTGCCAAGCGGCTTTGTTTGTAAGCTGTGTATCAATAGTATACATAATTAGGCTGTAAAATTACAAGTTAAGACGCATGATTATATAGTTCACAGGAATGCAACGGATGATACCACTCATCACGGGTGTCAATTGATAACCTGATGTACATAGTTCATGTATGTAGGTATATATTTATAGTTGACGGTTATCGTTCACAAACAGCTAGGTAGTCAGTATGATTTCCATTACAATTCTATAAAATAGGAAAGTATGCAATATTAAACTCATAACTCTTTTATCCAAAAGAAAGTCGGGTTAGGCGCTCGAGGTCACCGCGCCGCGGCGCCCCACTCACGCAGACTCGCGGTCTCCGAGACAAGGTCAAGGACTTTGTGAACCTTACTCTTTTAATTTGTTACCAACAAGCAATAACAAAAACAATGTGGACTAACAAATATATAGGTACAGGTCGTATAATCATTATTATTATACGTGAAGTAAAAACTTTGCACGAACCCTTACTTAGAGACTATACTGAGAAGGAGTACATAATGCTAATATTTTCATAAAAAATACATTAAATTAATAAAAAAAAAATATTGCACACAATACCATTTATTTGACACACACATGTCTGTATGTGTGTATGCGTATATACATATTTTTCTGATTATTTGTTATTATTCGTTCAAAGATCTTTTGTACTTTTAATAATGGTCGAATTTCCTATAATTATTTTCCTAGTTGGGTATCACTAGTGAGGCATCTAGCTTCGCTATTACAGTTGAAATGGACTTAGGTGGCCTAGATTTCATAGTTTTTACATGAATTTTGTGACTGCAACAACACGTCATCGATCCCCCCCCCCTCTCCTCTTAACTTGTGGCGTAATTTATGAATGACCCTTTGACCTGAGGTATGACCTATTTTGTATTCATTTCACGACGGCCTTATAGTCTAGAGGTTTAGCACACTGCATTATTTAAAACGGCCGCTGAGTCGATTTCCAGCACGATGCAAACATTATACTCCCAGATCAACTTATATGTATTTACAAAACAAAATATATTTAATACCCATGACACAAGCTCTACTTGTCTTGAGACTTGATGCCACTATGTAAATTGTCCAGGGTTATTATTATTATTTATTATTTTACACGTTTGATCATACCTGTTTCACATGATTATACAAATGTACTCTTTTTCTCAGTTTGAATTGTGTGCTGACCAATAATAATAAATTTATTCTAATATACGTATAATAGTATACAAATAAATATATAAAAATTGTATACACCATTGTTATATATACAAATGTCTGGTAATTTAGGAAACTCAGTTTTTCAATAATATATATAAATTTCAGTTTATTAAAATGAATTGTGTGCTGACCAACTAATAATAATGCTAATATGAAAATATGGAGTTTCTTAAAATTTTGATATGAAATTTTTTAATATACGTTTCATAATTCTTACCTGTGTTGGGGACACACATGCAAGAACTTTCACGTTTACTAAAATGACGTATGTCTGGCATAAGGGCTCTTGGAATATAAGTACACTTATACATATGCTTTCGATTTGCAGAAGCTTATATGAAACTGTCAAATATTAACTATCTATTTGTGAACCCATTGTTAACAACATACTGTCCGTTACCCCTAAAAACAATAATTATAAATTCCAGGCCTGACCTCATGCTCTATAATCCTCTACTGTCGCCTCAGACAGCATAAACCGTTAGCGCAGGCGGGTGCGCCATTCCATTATCATCAAAAAACCTATCTACTTGTATATATAACCCTCAAACAAAAAGAAAGAAACAAATTTATAGTTACATGATTAAGACGGTGCTACTGTAACAATAACTCTATAGGAAAAGTAATAAAACATCGATGTAAACAATTTATGATTTATTTGCAGTTAGTATAGGTAAATAAAAGTGGAATGAAAGCTATTTCTTAAAAAAAACATTAAAATTTAATTATCATAGATGAATTGAGTTGGTACGGAATTTACAGATGTTTCTTTCCGTTGCTATTAACTCAGATAAGACAATATAACACACTTTTAGAGAGTCCATTCCCAATGTTGTATCCCGGGCTGTTTTTTGTAGAATTATAAATGTGGACCCGAAATAATGTTAAGACAGATGGACGATCCTATATGCAGGTACTAAATATATGGTGTAACGTACCAAAATCAATGTTGCCAATATGAAACAGTAATGTCAAATTGAAATAAGTTGTAATAAATTAAAAAATATGTATTCTAATGCTAGTATAGATCTACTGGTAGATAGGTATAAATATTCCATAAACTAATTAATCAGTACCGATGTTTTTAACAATTAGTTATGATGTGTGTAAAGTTGACACCGATTTAAAGTAAAAACCAGCATAAAAACATTGGCAGAATTCCATTTTTTATAAAATATAAGGAGTGAATTTTAGAAATAAGAGTACAAAAGTAACAGTAAGTTGCTTGACCTATAATTATAAAACTTTAAAATTCAAGTTCTGTAACCAAAATTGCGAAAATATCTATCCGTATTATCTTATTTTGATACCATGTTTCCCACCTTTGTCAAGTATTCATATAATATAAATATCGACGTAATCGCTTAGAGTAATTTTTTTTTTTATTTTTTGCAATCTTGCAAATTCCGCTAAATGCGGGATTTACGTAATTAGTCCTGGGACATTACGGGATTGTAATTATGTCACGGGTTTGGATTACCTACTTGGTATTATACAAAACAAGTGCCTATTAAATCTACATAAATTTATGCTGATTACATTACAAACAGTAAATTAAATAAAGTAGGCTGCGTACTAATTAATTGAGACACAGTTATATACAATCGTTCATTAAAACTAATTAGGAAATAGATGTTCGAATACGTAACAATCTGTGATTTATGTTGACACTATATATGTCCACACATATATGTATATATATACCTATATAAGTTTAGATACATGAACAGACTAACTTATAGTACCATAACCCGTGCACGAGTATGACGGTCAAAATTTAAGTAGCTATCATTACTTATCATTACATTAAAGTTCGACGCACCTTGATGCCTTTTTTGTCATAATATTCACAATGGTGTGATGTCAGTCAGCATCCCACAGATAATCGAACATAAAATTGAAACAATTCCTTTTAAGTTTCGTTTATATATTTACATTAGTTACTAAAGAAAATTTTATATACTTGGGTTACTAAACTCATATTAATTTTTCATTGTATTTCGAATATACGGGCTGGGCACATCTGACTGTTAAAGCTCAACATTTTTGTATGTCCACGAGCGGTCACAAAGTAAGTATGGACCGCTAAGTTTATGTAAATATCCGTATGCCATAGAGAAATGTTATTGATAATACGAATGATATCGTCCACGTGTGAACATAGATATTTCTCATGTTACTCCACAAAGTACAGCCCTGATCATCAAAGATTATGAAGATCCAGGCGTGTCAATCCATCTCAAAACTTCTTTCACATCTGTACATTCATTTTTAGTATCGATTGTTATACAGTTTCATTTTCTGTTGGTACGTAACTATATATAATTATTATATGTAGATACTACGCCTACGTACAATGACCTTTAAAGGACCTGTCCACATAATTATTCTAAATAATAATATTTAGATATTATGTAATAATCAGAGTCTTTAATGTATTTTTGCACGAACATTATGAAGACGCTCTTAGGCAACTAATAGGTCGATGTAAAAATATTAATACGACATATTCCAAGAAAAAAAAATTGTACATTAAAAATTAATGATGAAGATGAATAACCAACAACAATGTAATGACTTCAGGGAAAGCACTTTTGTATATTGGATGAGATATACATAATACAAAGACAATTAAAATATAAATTTGATATGTCGGTTATACTATCCGACATATCAAATTAGCGTTATAGATATTTTTGATGTAGTCTGAATGACTTGATTTTTAATCACCATTATACGTTGGTCACACGTCAAGGACGTTAAAATACGTACCTAATTTGCTAAGTACGTGGGGTACTACTTAAAGATAAAGACGTATTTATATTAAAATATACATGCGCGTTTGGAATCGTATTGCCAGTGAAAAAAATGTCCATACTGTTATGAATAACTTTAATAAATCGTAACTAAATTACATCGCTTAGTATATTCCAAAAAAAAAAACAAGTATACAGATGAGCCTAGATAAAAATAATGCTTCTTTCTATGCAATAACTTTTTGATGCCTACCCATTGCTCCGTTTATTTCATCGCTGTTATCAAATAAATTATGCCTGATTGTCACCTTAGTAGTACCGTAAAAAATATTTATTATTATATAAGTACCTATATTAAAAAAGGAGACAACCAGACAAATTACCAATATACCCGATACCACCGTAATACGAACAATTTCTTTTCGAAATTGATGCAACGGTCGTCAAGATAGAAGCTATGTTGTATGATCTGAGTCACATAAAGTCTATATAAATAAATCTTGAACAAATACCACGTCCGTACATTAAATAGAAATATTTGCTATATCGAATGAAAAATAAACGCCGTTCACTCTTGACATAGTACTAGAGCCCGACGCCCACGACGAGTCAGCTCATCGCTGTATAACAAAAAAGCTTACTCACATTTATTTTAAATTACATAATTAATTACGCAATTATTTAATTGCTTACTTAATAATTATTTAAGTGTGTTACATTCAATTTATACGCGAGTAAATGCTCTTACATTTTATTATCTATTCCCTTGCTCTCCCAAATCATAGTGATTATTTGCTCAATGATTGTCCCTATAATTCGGCAATATAGACATGCTAAATTAGTTTCATGAATGGCAGTACCACATTTATGTTTTTTTATGTTGAGTAAGTTCAATTGTCGGGGTCGATAAAGGCTACTGTTATAACTCAGACCAACTTTACACCTGTATTATTTACCTTACGTCATATAACACAAATTTGTTCTATAAACATTCTTGTAAGTTGTAACTTATTGTTTCTTCGCATACTTTATGTTAAGATAATTACGCATGTTTTACTCTCGTATTGTCGTAAGTAAAACTGACTCAAAGGTAGATTTGATTGAGATCAGTATTGAGTTAGTATAGTGCGAATGATTCGTGTTTATTAGTCACATTTGTTCCCTATGTGCCGTGAACATACATAATAGAGGAAACTAACCATCATAGTACTTTCAATTACCGTTACAAATAATTTAATTTCAGTATAGCATGGCATCTTAAGATGACTAGAAATAATTAATTAAATAACTTATTACTTCTTAATTACTATATTTGTTGATATTACGTTACTTCTGTATACTTTTGAGGTCTTGGATATATATTTTTTAGTTACGCAAAGCATGTATTATATCCGAGTTGATGTGCGGTAAAATATTTAAATATGTAAGCATTATTTATTTTAGTAGGTATATACTTATTTTAATTACAAAGTATAATAACGTACTTCGTAAGAAACACCTACATTAAAAAAGTAGGTGACTAAAATTATTATTTATTTAAGCTATTCTTGTTAATTTGTCACAACCGCATCGTATAGATTTTCATAACTGTGTCTATGCCTATAATAGACATAAAACTCGAATTTCGAATTCCTCGTAAAGTAACGAATGCATTTTCAAAATAGGAAGCATGTTTGTTTTTCAAAATTTTTCCGAATTTAAAGTCATTTTCTTTCCGAATTTAAAATTGAATCCGATAATGATGTGTTCGTTTATTATCTTTCCCAGATTCGGCCGACCGTCGTCTTGCCGCCGCGTATACAGCCAACTTAGACGGTGACGGTAGACTAGAATCACGAGGGCGGACGAGAGATTCTCTCGACTCGGCCGCCGGTAAGGATGCGGAGGTCGGGACAGATGGTAATTTTCGAACTGTATCGTATGGTAGAGGCGAACTACGAGACGCGCTCGATGCTATGGAACCAGATCCATCAGAGTCCTGGAAAAAGAAGATTTACTTCTTACCCTTTATATTATCTAACACTGACCGCGATCGGTTTCTTTTTGTTTATGAACCTAATTGGAGAGGCATACAAGCTGATGGTAAGCGGTAATCTTCGCCTACATACACGAATAGCACCCACGGACTCGCAACGAAAAAATAATAACAAAAAGATTTATTTTTTATCTTTTTTGTTGTTTTATTTGTCAATCTCTAAAAGGAGATAAGCATTGTCATTTTTTTCATTAAGGTGTAGGGGCTATTGTCAGGTGATTAGATCTATAGTACTGCGACCTGCATACATCTATTGTTCTGGCCCTTTTTCCGAGTTCGCATTATCATTTATGGTAGTTGTGTTCTTTAAACAAAATTGAGAATTGTATGGGCGCTGTGTTATCTTTTATCTGCCTTCAGCTTGTAGGTCATTCCAATATCATAAAAGTTCAATATGTCCTTCCTAGACGATAGAAAATATGACACACGGCTACAACAAAATGTTACTTTCCTTAATTCTATTTATGAAACATTGAACTTCATTCACCTTCCTAGTATCTCTATGGTCCAATCTGTCGTATCTGGTGTTCCTCGCAGACGGTTTCCTCGGCGGGCGCGGCAGAGCTGACGGCGGTGGTGGCAGACTGGAGGACCTGGTCTGTTGGGACGCTCGACCCTGACGCTCAAGAAGTAACGCCTCTTCTCCGCGACCGCCACCGCGGGCACTCACCGTACTCAGTCCGGGGAAGCAACAGAAACCACGCTACGAAAAAACATTACATGCATAGATAAGTACCTACCATTAGGTATAAAAGCACAAATTTATTATATTAGATATTGTATATTTCGCGTATACTTTTTTATAATGTAGGTAAGGTATTACCTTAAATATTTATTACAGAACTCACGTAATACCTATATAAATATCATACCTTATAATACTTTGCATGTTTATGTTTATATTTACCTACATGTTTATGCTCAGGTAGTTTGAAATAAAAACCAACAATTAAGAATTTAATTTACGTAGTCTCAAAAGCTTTGTATTTTATATAGACATATTGCATTATATATACATGCATATTGCATTTCTGACCGGATCCTTTATAGGAAGCCGTCGAGATTTATACTATTAAAATTAAAATTTTCGGAATTCAAATTTATATGTTCATACAAACATATATAAGTACCGATAAACAAACATAGATACACTTTTAACATGTTAACAATAGTCAAACACATCACTTGTGTGGACATACTTTATTTTCTAATTAGGTCCCACAGTGAACAACCTGAGCGCATAACAACTCATGTTTACTTTGCAAGCAGTAATAATGTAAAACAGGTGTTGAGCAACACGACACGACACTTTGTTATCGAGTTAATGAACTGACATGACACAAAAGAACAATCAAACGTGAATAATTCTTACCTCATCATGGAAACAATTCGGCGATTCCGAAGAAAGTTCAAACATTACCGCTGCATTATAAATGTAAAAGTGTAATGAAAACAGGCCGTTTCTTGAATTAATTTCACTTGTTATGTGTTTTCTATCAGCATAAAGTTATTATATTATTTTAATTCGACGCAGTTTTTGGCGACGCTTGGATTCGAACTCACGACCTATAGTCGTGAGTTCGAATAGAATAACTACTAGCGAAAAAGAACAACAAAAACAAAGTTTAGTTTTTATCCTGTTTGCTAAGTGCTGCATTCCATAAATAGTATATTACAGTACTAGTAATGCAAAATGTGTGACTCGATTAGAAGACAAATAAGTCTCACTCAACACTCAATCTCAAACAAAATATTTCTGTGTAGTTTTGTTTTACTTTCTATTGTATGGTAACGTGTCATGCCTGTTGTTAAAGGCGTCCATAGAATTCTATTTACCATGAGATTGGCCGTATGCTTAATTTTCAACACTGATTTAAAAAAACAGTTCCTGTCATGGAATTGTTTTACCACATTGCTAGTTTTGTATACCACCGTCTCGACGAACATACTTGGCCAAACTAGATAGTCTTATTTAAGTTATAACATTCCAATTACTCGGAAGTCAAAATGAAGTGCTTGAGAAATGGACTTCATTTTTATTCCAAAAATAATTCTAATTGTCATTGGAAAATTCTATTCCAGTTTCTAAATTCCTAACACACAATCCATTTCGTGATTTAGGGTAATAAATCCTCGTTTTCGGCGCCGTAATCTAACGCGATCTCCATTTGGCATTTCAAGTCAATGTGGTTTTTAATATATACGGACGTGTCTTTATTTCAGACTAAACATACAAAATTTTTCACACGTGTTTCCATCAAAATAAAGCTTATTTCACTGGTTCACTAAATAACGGAGGTCGTAACACACACTCTAGAAATTCTTTGAAGTATAATTCTAAGCTTTATTATAGTTACGTTATAACACTCCAAACAAAAACAAACAATAAAGATTATTTTCCAAATTGGATTATTTAAAAAATATCGTTCTTCTTTACAACGGTTATAGACGCTATTTAAGTACTTGTATACTTCATGTTTAAAACGGTGTCCATCTTTCTACTGGGGTCATTTGTCAATCACGCTATGCGATATAGTTAGGATAAGCATTAAAACCACATCAAACAAAACATTTATTTTATTCTAAACATGCTTCTAAAAATATGTCAGAAATACATCGAAATACATCATAAGAAATATAAGTGGTATGTATACAACTCCTTAAAACACTTCTTAAAATAATTATAGTAGTTTTCGAATATCAATATTAATTCCATATCGAGTCACAAAATACAAAATATATTTTTTATAGTTTATTGTCTATACTCCAATTTAAACAATCGACACCGTAATTGTGACTTTACTCGATGTAAAGTTAGAATAGGCACCATATATTGTTCAACAATAGAATTTAACAATAAACCTTAACACAAAAATAAGATTTTTATGTAGCTGCAGAATGGAAGGAGACCAAGAGACGAAATATATGTCCTCAGATCAATTTTTGACCGATACACTTATGTATATAGTACAGTATATACTAAGACATAAAAACAATTACAAAAATATAATTAAGCTTGTTGTACCCATGTACACAAAAGGCACTATGTTACAAAACTTAGCCATTATAAAACGAGTTTTTATGATATAAGAGTCCAATAACAATTTTATAACTAACTTTGGCATACTTTTGTGACCAATGCCTCATCTTGATGTGTATTCTTTATAATAAGTTAATTTTATTCGGTAAACACGTTTGGTATCCATAAAAAAATATATAACATTCGTACTATTAAATATGCGAACATTAATTTAATGAGAAAAATTATGTTTGATTTATTCATCCGGTTTTTTTTGTCATTAAAGTTTTTATGCATTATATCTATAAAATATTTGCTTGTACATACATTTACAACACGTTGTATTTTAACTTAACCATAACCACGTTTATATGGACGAGTTTGGAGCTAACTTTTATATTTATTCTTAAGAGGACTAGGACGATATTAGTGGAGCATATAAACAAACTATTGGAGATTCTTACTGGATGCTACTTATACAACTATGATTGGCACCAAAGCACTCACCGTTAACTATTAAAAAAAAACGCTAAGGCACATTTTTCATACAAATATCGATAACTAATAATAAGTGACAGATTGATCAAAGACTAAACAGTTTCATTCGCTGATCATTAATTCTGAAGGGTAAATTTCTTTCTAAAATATTTTCTATAACTTTATTCAATTTAAAATATGAAAAAAATATACAACAATAAATCATGTCGCGATAGGAAGGTATTCGCGGCTTGGGAAATAATCCACAATTCTACATATTAGGTGGAACCCAATATTTCAGTGCTTTTCAAATATAAAAATTAATCGAAACAGCATCATTTTCGTCTTGGTCAATCTGTCACTTACATGTATGCTATTTTATGTATTAATTATTATACAACACAAGTTTACACAGTCTGTACATCTGTGCATGTAATTTGTGTACTTATTTTGAGTACACGCAATAATAAGACCAAATGCCTACTGATAGAACACAAGTTTATTTATACGTGTATTAGATATCAACTACTATTGTTAGAAAGCTTAAGGTTAGGCAAAAATCACTTCAAAACAATCTAAAATCACACAAAACACATATAAAAGCGTTGTTGTGATAATTTGTACATTGCCGAAGGAATGTTATATGGAAAACGGACTGTTGTACCTTTTGGAATGTTTTATTCATATCGTAGCGCGTGACATCGTTATTTCGTAAACTTTTATGTTTTTAGAAAACAGTAAAATTATCGTGATTCGTTTTGACCTATGATTACCTATTCCAAATTAAATGTTAAATTAAAAAAAACAACAAAAATATAAAGAATGACATATTAAAGTCGATGCTATGATAACATTTTGACACAATAAAATATTATATTTCTATTTTCTTTCGAGATTAATATTGTTTATTGATTATTTCGAAATTCATTGAAACAATATCTCAATTTCAACCCATATATTAGATACACAATGATCTTCGACCGCAATAACCGTCTAATTTTTTAAGATATTTTAGTTCAGTGTGATGCAAGAGAAGTACTGACGTACGTCTGAACATTGCCTAACCAATACAGGAGTACTACTTGTACTACACGACAGAGTGAAAGCTTTTCAGCCAGTGCTATTTAGATAGTAGCTCTTTGGAGTGCTAATATTTTTTGCATCGTTGAATCATAGACTTGTTCACCAGATATAATTCCAAATCAAGGTATTTTGAATTTAATGACCAAATTCATATTGTGTACTGCTTAGCATATCTGTTACACAATGCACACTCAAGCAATTACATTTGTAAAGTATGTCTGGCTGGTACACTTTTGTTTAGCACCAGCATTTGTTCAAATTTTGAACACAATGGAAAGATGTTCAAATATGTGTTCAAACATTTGAAGCTCTGACGCTGAGATTATATATCTCTGTCCTATATACCTTTCCAGATAGAGCTGGTGCTCAAGCTTACACTCTGCATGTAATCTGTGGTACAAAATGAATGTGATACTTCGCTTAGATGATAATTGCGTGTGGTTCGTATGGGGCACGGCATGTCGTGATGGGTCAGTAGTAGGATGCATGCGGGCGCTGGTCAGTGGGCAGGTAACAACTCACTGCTGGCACGGACGGCCGCTCCAACGCCGCCAGCTGCTCGTCCAGACGCAGAGACGTACTATCGAATCCGCAACCTGCTACGTCGTTAGTTATTATTAATATTAATAATAATAATATAAAAAGATAAGTCTATCGCCCCACCAAAGGGAGAATACTAAAAAATATATTGCAAAATAACAATGATAATAATATCTCAGGACAATTCACTAACTTCAGCTAAGCAGAGCTTGTGTTATGAGTTTTAGATAACTGATATGAACACATAGACACATTTTTTTGTTAATACATAGAAAACACTCAGACCGATACAAACACTCATGAATATAAATGTTTGTATCATGCGAGGAATCGAACCCGTGACCATCGGAAATAAAACGGTGTGCAAGACCGCTAGACCACCGAGCCCCCCATTAATATATCATAATACCCTACAAATATTAATAACAATTAACCTATTTACAAACATATTACACTATTTTATCACATTCTTTCAAATAGAGGACAACATAGTTATATAGCTAAAGCCGGTTTATTAGCTACTTAATACTTAAGTATTTTGAATGTAAATTTATTGCAAGTTATGTACAGGTATTATATTTATTGTGTTATGCTTGCAATATTTTTTTTGCTCAAAGAAAGCTGCATATCAAGGTCATTGAAGACTTTGTATTGCTAATTAATGGTAACAGATACTCAAAGTTCAAACAGTTTTGTTTGTACCAATATTAGGTGCCGTGTTAAAAATAATAACACATTTTGAACCAAATGAGTAACTACTGACCGCTGGAGTTGTCGTTGTGCGGCGAGTAGTTGCGGCGCGCGAGATGTCTGTAGCGGCCCGCCACGCTGCCGCCGCTCACACCGCTCACTCCGCTCACAGCGCTCACGCCGCTCACTCCGCTCACACCGCTCACTCCTTCCGCGCTCGAGAACGACGCGCCCGACGACAGGCCCACTGATAACACATATACTTAAATAAAATAGATTAAATGACCTATCACGTATCAACACGCTGTTTGTACACGGAAGATAAGAAGAACTATTAAGATGGACAATATCAACGTAACTTAAAGTAAAACACATATTTTTAGAATATTCGTTTGTTCATATATATATAAGCGCTATTCTCAGTAACGGCTTAACCAATTTGATCACGGTTTACCCTAATATATTGTGATAATCTGCACTTAATATTTTGTGTTTCTTTTATTCCAATTACTTTACAAATACTTTAACTGTTATCCCGATACCACAGGTACAAAATTGCAGAAACTACTGTTTAAATTAATTCCCAATGTCCATTTGGTACATTTATCTACTAGATGTAGCTGCGCGCAGTTTCGTCCGCGTGAAATTTATAGCCTACGAGTATGTGTTATTCTGATGTATAAGTTATATTACGGTAAAGTTTCATTAAAAAGCATTCAATAGTTTTTGCGTAAAGTAACAAACATCCATCCATCCATCCATTCTCAAACTTCCGCCTTTATAATATTAGTAAGAAGTAACATTGGAGTAATGTCGTAAGTTACACATATCAAAATTTACGAGTACCCAGTTCTTCCCGGCTGGAGTTGTTCCTTAGTGAAGCACCGCTGTCGTAGGCCGCGCTGGTATGTTTCTGCAGCACTTTTATCATAGCGTCACGTTCTGCTACCTTCGACTCCAGCTCCTTCACTCTGATGATAAAATTAGTCGAGAGCATTCACTACAAGTGTAAATTAATAAATATCTTTTTGTAATATGTATAAGACAAAAATAGTTATTATTCTTATTAGTATAATTATTCTTAGGAGATAAATATGGATATCGCGGACTTATTTATCGATCTTTTGAAGATATAAAATTCCATACATTAATTTAGTCTACCTAGTAAGGTTTGCCCTCGTTTGCAACATAAGTGCACAAACTTTTATATTTATTACCACATAATCGACAAATCAAATACCTGCTTTCCAAATCAGCGACCTTCTTTTGTGCGGAGTGTAACTCGTCCATGTGTCTTATCTTCTCGTTGCGAGCCTCCGCCATCAATCGTTCGGATTCCGCAGACGTCTTTTCCAAAGCCGCAATTTTTGCATCTCTAAAAAAATAATAAATTACCATCCAGATCAGTATTTAAATTCAATTGAGAAGAAATGGCAAAAACCTAATACTATTGTTTTTTAAAAGCCAGTTTATTTAAATTGTAAACTTATATAGGAGTTTATGTATAACATTAATTGATAATCCCATACATGAAATACTATTGGAATTTGTCATTTATGTTTTAGTATTATAAATTATTTCCACTTCACTCTTATAGTGAGAGTACGTATGTATAGGGGGAAGATGTTTGTTAGGGGATGTACCTTATCAGGTTGACCGTCACATGTTTCACTCCGGAAACTATCGTGATAAATTCATGGTGATGTTACTATGATGGGCTAATTGACCAGACCTCATGCTCATCTTATCATCCTCCACTGGAGCCCGCCAACGTTAGCGCAAACCGTTAGCACAGGCGGGTGCACCATTCCATTATCATCCATTACTATGCATGTACATACTTGGGTATGGAGGCTGCGGAGACAGCGGCCTGGCGAAGTGCCGCTTCCTCGAGATACCGTTGTTCCCACTTGGCGCATTCTCCTTCGAGCGCCAGCAGCCGTTCGTCTCTCTCGCGCACCAGCCGCCGTAGCTCAGCCTCGCCGCCACCGGCCCCGCTAACGCCACATGTGCATTCCCGCTTCCTGACCACCAGAACGACCCATATAGTGACAATAATCCTTGGACAATTTTCTGTATACAAAACATTTGTATATATAACTGGAATGATAAATAAGCTGACTCCCAGCTTTTGCAAAGTAGTCTATAGGATGATACGGACATCATGTCTTCATGTAAAGACAAATGCGGAATGGCAACGCATGAGTGGTTTATGGGCATAACGTGTGTTATAACGTCCATAGTTCTGTTTACTATCAGGTGGGGCGTTAGCTTGCCTGCCATTGCAATTATATATAAAAAAATCATTACGAAATATTGATTGCCCACAATAAAATTGTTTATAAATAATCAAAATATCTTTTAAGTTTTATCATTATCAATCTTCACGTCAGATCAGAAACAGAGAGAATCGGGAGTGACACTGACTCGTTATGTTCTTACACAGATTTTTTTCTTATACGCATGTTAATTCATAAACATAGAGACATTATCCAGCCTGAACTGAATGGTAACAAAAAACTTATTCCTGGAAACATATTTAAGCACAACTTACCGGGTTCAATTGTGAATCTAAATCATCCAGGGATCCACTTAAACACATACAAAATTTTAATTAAAATCGGTTGCCAATTAGGAGACCAGATTGAAAAAATATATATGTATAAAATTATTTTAAATACTGGATCAGGCCAGTTTAACAAAACACGTTTTCATCTAATACTGACCACATTGGATACTTTTGTTCTCAAATACATATGATTTTAATATGTCATATTTAAAAAGTGAAATTCAGTAATTCTTTTATTTTATAACTAGCTACCCGCCCGAGTTTCGTATGGTTGTAGACATACATATATAAACCTTCCTCTTGAATCACTCTATATATTGCTAAAAATGGCACTAAAATCCTAAGAGAACAGAGAGCGGAAGCGACTTCGTTTTATACTATATAAAGTTAAAGATTATACCCAGTTTCCATACCTTAAGGTTTGCAACTCCTTCTCTAACTGTGCACGAAGTTTCCTCTCGGTATGTTCCCGCCTGTCGGAAGCTTGTTGCAGCGACGCCAGCGCCCTCTGTAGACCCATCACGCGCTCCACGTAGCCACTTGCATGGCGACACTGTGACATGATAAATACGAAAACAATAAAATGTCAATCATTTAATCAATTAGTTACCGGTGTGATGTTTACACACCAAGTAACATGTTGAGGGGACCGCGTTTATTCTTAAAAACTCAACCTTGATCGATTTTTTTTAGTTGAAAACCATGGCGACCCGAGGTACGACTTTCGATCAAATTTTGATCTCAAGCCGTCGTCGGAGGAGTCGTTACAAAGATTGCAAATTTGATCTCTACGATCGCTCCACGCTTCGTGCTCTCCGCTCAATTATAACATTCAGATTAACCAGTTAATATCGTCTTAAGTATATAATAACCTCTTCTTCGAGCCTGACGACGTTCGCCTGTGCGTTAGTAAGCGCCGTGTCCAAAATATCAATGTGAGTGCGTTGCTCTTGCAGCGTGGCGCGCTGGGCCGCCATTTCGATCTCTTGGCGTTCTTTGGCGCAAGCGAGCTCTTTATCTGCAAATATCAATATTAATTACTACACACAAAAAATTAAAAAAAAAAACCTCTGGACAATTCACACAACAACAGCTAGTCTCAAGGTAAGCAGAGCTTGTGTAACGGGCACTAGACAACTGATATAAATACTTAGATACTTTTTTGGAAATACACTTATAACATACATAGGAAACACGCAGATCATAATCATGAAAAACAATAACTGTTATGAATACAAACGTTTGTACCGTGCGATGAATCGATCCCGTCTCCATCGGAAATAAAGCAGTGTGCTAAACCCCTAGATCACCAAAGGTCATCATATGTATTATGTATATCTGTTGTGTTTACTGCATACAGTTTGTGACAAGGAGATTTCTTCATCAGGGGGCAGTTAAGACGTTTGTATTGTAATTTAAACAAATAAAGTTAAATGTGAAAATAATAACATACTCTGTGTGATGAGTTGAGCAATGAGCATTTCTCTGTTCTGTAGTTCTTTGCGGAGGGCCTCGGCGCTAGTGTCAGACTCGGTGCGTACTCCTTGCGACAAAAAGTCCACCTATGAAATGTAAAGGTTTCAATGTTAATAAAATACATATGTCGAGAATATCCGAAGTAATAACTTTGAACAGCGAAGTTACATATTATTTTTTATAATGGCAACAGAGTAAAAAAAGACGATACAGGTACATTTATAGAAGTCCAAAATTAATTGAATGAGTTGTTTGTTTTTTTTTTGTTTGGTTTTCAATTGTGGAACGTTTAAAAGAACTTAGAGCTTTTAAAAGTTATGATGTGTTCGATGCATTATAATTTTAATCACTTGTATACTGTTATTATTTTAATTTTGCAAATTTATAATTAGTTTAGGTTTATAGCTTATTGGTATATTATATAATTATAATCTTTTGACAATATAAATAATGTGTATTAAATACAAAAGTTTAAAAATAACATACTACCTGTTGTTTGAGTGCTCTGTTGAGTTCCTGCAGACGGCGACAGTCTGCTTGTAGCCGCACCCGAGCCGTCCGCTCCAGCCGCTCCCGGCGCTCACACGAGCCCACCAGGTCCTCGTGGGCGGTGCGCACTTTTTCAACCTCTTCTTCTAGCTATAGGTGATACGATAGATTATAATATATTTGCATACAGGCATACCAGATGTTATTGTTTACCCTGTGGAAAAAATATAGCATAATAATAGGATATGATTCAATTGGCCTTGTTTAAAAAAAATCTTACATGACTAACAAATAAACTAATAAAAATACATATAAATGTATGACAACTATTTTATTATTTCAATAATTATTAAAACAAATAAATTTTATTAAAACATTTATTTAATTTTAGCATATAATTTTTATGAAATCCAGACTTTACCTTTTACTAGCAACTTTAACTTTTACTACTGAATAAATGTATTATGTGACTATGTACTAAAAAAGTTAACTCTGACTAAATATAACCCCATTGCAAGCAATAGGGTTTTAGCTAGTAATGTACCATGTCAGGGTGACCTCCACGCGGCTCAGTGAAACTAGCGTGATAAATTCCTAGTGAATTTAACACGATAGACTAACTGACCTGATATCAGGTCAGGCTCAATACAAAAGTCCGTAGTATTCGGTGAGAATATGCCGCGTTACCTTGGTGGTCTTGGCGACGCGCTCGCAGGCGTCTACGAGCTGCCGCTTGAGCTGGTGGTTCTCTGCGGCGAGCGCGTCCAGCACGGCCGTGAACGCATCCTCCGCCTCCTCCAGCTCGGCCTCCCCGCCGCTGCACCAGCCGCTCGACTCAGACCCGCCAGGCACCGCGCGAACCCCCACGCTGAACATACAAATGATGATGTCAAAATGAAATGGCTAACATGTTAACGGCCCACCTGATGGTAATAGTAATATAAATATACATGAACAGCATTCGAACATCATATAATTATATTACGAGCGTCATATTATACATCTTATGATGTGACGCCCATATATACGCTAAGATGTCATGCCTCTAATCCTGTAATTTCACTACCTTAACTAACCGTTCGACCGATACACATCTTATAAAGCACGCCGCTTGGTAACTGAAAAGGGTAAGTTACACATGCAAATTAGAATATAGGAATATAAGTTATAATATTTCATTGCTTACTGACGATTCATATTGGATTTTAAGGAATGATGAAAACCTATTGTGTGGTTGACATATGTTTAAAAACAGACAGATTAACACAGCATCATAGTACTCATAGAAAGTGATTTTCGATTCATCATTGTTGGTTTGGAATATTTGGCAATATTTGGTTGATATTTTGATGGCTTTACGTACTTTTTAAAGAGACTTCAATAAGACCACGTCATTAGTGATATAAATCTGCTATGTGGAAAGCAGAACATCGGGGGGGAGAAGGCATTATCAGTAATGTGGACTTAATAACCCATTACTAGCAATGTACTATGTCAGGTTAACCTCCACGCGGTTCCCCCTGGTAACCATCGTGATAAAATTTTGGTGAATTTGTCACGATGGGCTAACTGACTTGACCTCATATTCATCTTATCATCCTCCAGTGGTGCCTCGCCAGCGCAGGCGGATGCACTATTTCATTATAATCCTTATAAAAAAAAATCAAAACATTGAGGTAATTTTATCTTTTCATTTTTATCAAATATTCATTAGTAATGGTTGTTTTTCTCTATATTCTCTCTATATTCTTTCTAATCCTATTCCTATTTGCAATCAGAATTACTTAAAATAAATAAAAATACTAAATTTACAAAATCTAACCTCGTTAAATCGGGTTGTGATCTTGACAAATTCAGTTTCTCTTTGCTAAGTTTAGTTTTGGAGCCTTTGTTCTTCAACTTTCTGGAATCATCCCTAGGAATGGGTGCACGAGGGGATGGTGGCGGGGTGCGACCACGTGGGCTAGGAGACTGGGTCACCTCTTTAGCAAGATGCTTCAAAACAGACGACTGATTGAGAAAGTCATCGGGAATTTCTGTTATTTCCTGTTTAAATAAAGACAATTTAAATATATTTACTGTGGTTATTAGTAATGGGGACTAGTGAACCCATTGCTAGCAATTGACATGGTGTAATAATCCAGCCCATGATCTTCCCTAACATTGATAATTTCTTCTTAATGTCTTTTTTCTGGTATTTATCTTTCAAAATTCATCTGCAATCCATTATCAGTGATATAAGAAATATATAAATATGTATTGTACTATGGTTTTGTAAGTAGGTACCTACTTACAAAAACAAAAAATCCTTTCCATAGAATCAATGTTTTTCTATTGCAATATATTAATTTATATATGTGTACAACTTTAATTAATCATTATTCAAACAAACAACATACACACGGGTATAAGTTTTGAAGTATTTGATTAAATCTTTAGTATATATAAACATGTAAGTAACATATGTATTGTAGTATATATTTTATACATATGTTACTATAGAACTTTAAAATTACCTGAACTCCATGATCAGGAGGGCTGGTATAGATTCTCTGGCCTCCGATGTCGATATAATTCGCTGTTGTTGTAACTGACTGCTCTTTATGTACTTTAGGCAATGGTATTCCACTTGGTTTCTTGCTAACTTCACTCTTCTTCAATGTGTGGTATGGAGAAGACTGTGTAGCTGGATGCTTCACTTCGCTACTGGTTCGCTCATGTTCTCTGTTAATTAATGTATGTAATGAATTTTGTGAGTACATTATCAAGTAATTCTATCAGAGATATGAAATCAGTTTAAGTTTAGTAGTAGTATATTTTATAAAAATAAAAATAACAACTAAACACATTTATCTGAAGAAATTACGTATTAAATCTACATTAACATTTTGAAAATATGATTGATTTTTGTGTGTAATAAAATATACAAGACCAATTAAAAAAAGGGTCATCTACATATAGAACCAACATTATCACAATAATAGACACAATACAATGCAGTCAGCACCGTGGGCTGAAGCTAGTGCTGTATTTTTAACATGTTTATTCTATTTATATTATTATTTTCATTTTTTTTATATACAGGGTCTAAAGGAGATAATTTCACCTATATCATGAAATTTAATAATTAAACTGTATAAAATTACCTGATAGGCGTTGGTCTCGGCGGCCACGAGTCATCTTGATTGTGGATAATAAGCGTGTTGTATGATGACGAGGAAACATCCAAGGAACTTCTGTTGCTGTTCCCACCCCCCACAGAGTCTTTCAAGGAATTGCGATTGCTGCCTGGCACACTCTCCTATCAAAAAATGCTATATATTATATACACGTGAAATATATGCTTACTCTATCAAAAATAATAATAATCTGGTGAACTTAAAAACAATATATAATCATGAGATATTACCTAAATCTGATGTTACTCTATACCAAATAATTATTTACTACAACCCTTGTAAAAATGTTACACAGAGATCTAAAGCAGATATCAATACTTATAATGATATAAAATCATTACTAAAGGGAATATAATTAACACAACCCATTATTAAACCATAAAAAATACAAATCGTTATATGTTATTACTATATGACTAATATCATAGATGTTTAATTTGTAACATTATTTTATTTATAACTCTTTATTGCACCAACATTAAGATTATACAAAATTAAATCATTTAAAATAAAACTAATTACAAGGCAGTCTTATCGTAATGCAATCTCTTCTAGACAAACATATATTATTTATAACATACACACCTTAAGTGAGTTTCTGTTGTTGTTATTTGTCTGACTTTGGTTCTCTTGTCCTTGGGGTTCAACACGAGCTGTGTGTCGGACTACATAACGCTCCTCTCGTGACAAGTTCTCATTTGATGTTGATACATCTGTTTCACTGCCTGACAGACTTTGCGGAAAGCCACTTGGCACTAATTTTGAAAAAATACATGACATCATTAAGGCAGAAATGAAATATACATTCACATTATTATAATCTTATAACTCACTACATAAATAACGTTTTTTTTTAATACTTAATGTACACATTGCTCACAAATATGGCAGTGGAACTCAAAATATTTTATTATGAGTTTAACTTATAAGTAACAAAAATATTATGAGAGTCTTTGCCAGCAGTGTTTTTCAACTCAATATGAATGAGATATTTACAACTAATTGTAAATTTTATTTTAATAATAATCTATTTAACAGTGCTTCAATGTAAGTTTATTTTAAATAAATGATTTTCTATTCTATTCTATTCTGATCAATTAGAACACTAGCATATTGGGAGGCACGGGATTATTAGTAACATAGATAAATAAACCCATTGCTAGCAATGAACCATGTCAAGTTGACCTCCATGCGGTTCCCCCTGCAAACCATCATGGCAAATTCTTGGTGAATTTGCCACAATGGGATAACTCACCTGACCTCATACTCATCCACTGGTACCCACCAGCATATACCATTAACATGAGCAAGTGCTCCATTAGTGCAAATAAAAAACAGTAGCACATAGCATCTAAATTTATAAAAACACAGTTCAGAAATATGACATTTAATAATATTTCTCCATAGAAGTAGACTTTGTATTATAATTGTTGTTAACTGTGTTGGATCAAATTTATATCTTCTATTTCAGTCAACAAGCAGCTTGCTTTGAAAGATCTATTATGGTTGAAAGTAGTACATTGTAGTCCTCAATAAAGGCAATGTCAGAACAATCATGAACTGCTGAGATATATGGTAGGTGATACAATATCTTTTAAATATTTAATGTAATGTAACTGATAATTTAATGTAAACACTCATTATATATGTATGGCAAATCAAAATAAAACCTGAGAAACCAAAATCCCATCTTATGACAAGAAAATTTTGCCAGCAACATGAGCATAATGATTTGTCAAGATGATATTCTTATCTATATCAGTAGGTTAATGATAGCTTGTAAATTTTAAATAAACATAATATATTGCAACATTAGTAAATAGTGCCTACATCAGTCTCCATGATTTTATAATATAATTAAGAAATTTCAGGTGCAAAATTATAAGTAAGAGTTGTGTTTAGCTATTTTAAATTACATTTAATATTGTGGTAAAATATAGGGTAAGAATAAAATGTCCTTACATCTGCATATTATTGTGCTTATTTTGTAAGTGTTATTATTAAAATAAATATTTATTTATATACTCTTTATTGCACCAGATAAATTACAGGAATCATAATTGACAGAGTAATAGGGTACAAAAGGCGGCCATATCGCTTATGCAATATCTTCCAGATAACCTTTGGGTATTAGAGAAAGACAAAAAGGTGGTAGGTGGCTCAAGAATAGAATGATAAAATATAATAATAACATTACAAAGTAATAATAATGAACATAATAATAATTTATTATGTTAATAAAATACTGTGTACATATTTTAAATAGTGCCAGATTAGTAAAAGTTGCAAAATCTATGGGTTCCATATAATAAAGGAACCTACACACTTAGTACATAATACACCAATAAATCATTACATTATTTAAAAAATTTTTACTAGTCTAAACTTAATATAAGATTAGTCATCAGTAAGTTTTATTTTAGACTCACACAATTTGCTACACGCCTGGCTTATACCAGCACTGATTATATAAAATTATATATACATAATATTAAAATTTTGGAATTCAGATATCAAATAAAAGAAATATATTCAATCAAAATATAATTTTACAAATAATAGTCATGTTAATATTTTGGTATTTTAATTCTTACAAGGCAAGTACCATTACCAAAGTTTTTGTTTATATTTTAGCATTTGGTATCATATGTATAATAATATCATATATACAATTGTGATATTATAATTTGTAATTGAAAACAGTTTTTTAAACAAGTAATTGTTGTTTGCTTAGTCCTTATGTTAAGTTGATTAAACAATAGTACTGAAAACCACAAATACCTATGAATTGTACGGTCTTTATTAAGTAGAATGGCAAACAAGGGCAAATATTGCAAAACAATGAATCATAGCAAAGGAATTTAATTGCATTTATACTTATATAAACTACTAATACTAATATCTACCAGATAAGTAACTCACCTGTTTGTTTTTGTGTTCTCTGTATATTGTTGGTAAATGAGAGAAATCTCCCAGTCGGTCGCATCGAACCCATGCTTTTGGTGAACTACAATGACAGATTTCAACGTGATATCATTTCACACAGAATAATAAGACATAGTATGTACTCCTATACGTTATGCATGTAACATCTGAAAGCAAAATACGTAAGCTATGTTATTTAGACTGTTATTGTAAGTATATTGAGACGGAATAAAATAAAAATAAGTCATAGGCACGAGAATGTCATGACAAAAAGTCTGAAAGAAATAAACATTGATTAAAAACCTTGTTCATATTCACAATATTTTAACCGAAAGTGCTACAAAAACATGCTTACAATGTATTAGGAGTCAACATATATAACCGTAATAATTCAATTTAATTTACAAATACATTTTGAGTAAAGCTGTAATTTGTAATGTAAAATAATTATAGGTACTATTTCTATTAAGAATTCGGATTGACTTAGATTGACAGTGATTGATTGAAGAAAAGGCCAGTGTTGCAAACTCAATTAAAATAGACAACATGACAAACTACGCGTTATAATAAAATAAACAATGTTATTTATTTATTAGTGTACCTGTTGCTCTATTTGCTGTTTTTTAGATTTAAGGTCTAAGCGACTTTAAATTTATTTATACATTAGAACCAATTATAATTATCGAATATATTTAATATTAATCGACATTTCTTAGAGAAATAGATTATTTCTGTCCAACCACTCTTTGTGACATATCAAGAACATTTTCAGATTTGACATTTTTGTAGACATCTTCTCATCTTTCTGATCTTTGATCGTTGTTAAATTAAAATGAAATCGTTTGAACTGTGATTAAAATTAAATTTATTATATTGAAATTAATTCAAGCGTCATTACTATTAATTTGTGAACAATAAGATTTTTGTTCCTATTACTGATATTAATAATAGAAAATCTTTACCGCAAAACAAATATTTTAGTGCAAAATTAGTAAATAATAATTTGGGAGACAATGTTGTCAAGAATCTTTATTAGAACCATTCCACTTACAATAAACATGGTCAGTGCTGTGACTAAAAATTCAAAAAGTTTGCGAAAACTGCCAATATGTAAGTATTTTTATATCACTAGACTTACCCAATTGGATAAAACAAACATTAAATTTTAAGTGAAAACCGTACCCGAATCTATCCTCAGCTTATCATCAATCTTAAGCTGTATCTGTGATGTGCACTGACAAAAAATTTAATATTAAGTATTGTTGTAAGTTCTATGTTTCTAAAAATCCCCTGAGTTTCTCATATATGTTTCGTGTATAAATAGCAATAGTTATTATTTTTGTATAATAAAATAAGTATATATTTCAAACCCTTTATATTTTATCATTGTACTGATATATGTTGTTATATCTGTCTTTTTGGGAAGTACAGCATATTGATAAGAAAGATCATATACTTTGTACAAAAGGGAGTGTAAAGTATTAACAACTAGATATAGATGACAGTCTATGGATAAGTTGTTTACACCTAAGTAAATACATTTTAACACTTTTTTAATTAAGATTAAAATGATAAATATAGAAATAGAGATAAATAACATTATCCTTATCAATATATAATCATTATTGCTTACATCACCAGATTGTACACTCAGTAATAACACAATAAACAAGTATCGGATGTATTCGGTACATGTAAATCCTGAAGAGATGATTGTGGATTATGAATATGTGAAAAATGCAACAGAACTTAATAATGTACTAATAGTTGATGTAAGAGAACCAGATGAGATTAAAGAGCATGGCAAAATACCCAACAGCATTAATATTCCATGTAAGTTTTACATTTTTGTTATTTACAACAATTTTAACTTGTTAGATTGTAAAATCAGTATCAGTCTTTCAAGACAAAAATATACTTGTGAGATTCAGATTAATTTTTATTAAAATGTATCTTCAAATCAAATGTATCTATGTATAATATGTATGTATATATGAAAAACAATTATCTATGTATTATTATTTAATTAATTATCTATTATTAATAATTATGAATTATCTAGGACCCATAACACAAGCTTTAGCTAGCTTATCCTGGGTCTAGATGGCGCTGTGTGAATTGTCCTGAGATTATTATTATATATAAACCTTAAATTTTAATGAAGCACAAATACTTTTAGAAATAATAAAATCTTCTATAGAATATCAAATATTACTGAAGTTTTAATTAATAACTGTTATTATTCATAAAAAAATATTTAATATGTAATTAGTTTAGTATGTATAGTATAATTTGTGTACTTGATGCAATTACAGTGGGCAATGTGTCAACAGTTCTAAGTGCTATGTCAGAAAACGACTTTGCACAGACATACAATAGGCCTAAACCATCTGAGAACACCCAAATAATTTTCTATTGTATGATTGGAAAGAGGTCTGGCATGGCACAACAGAATGCCTTGGATTTAGGATACAAAAAGTAAGTATATTTTTTCTAATATAATTAAAATGTCAGTTAAATAAGAAGGTAAAAAATAGAATATTCTTCATTCTATATTGTGATTAAAGTATTATACTGGTCAAAATATAATATTGAATCATTATTAACCTTTTCAGTGTCAAAAATTACCTCGGCAGTTGGACAGAATGGGCAAATAAAGGAAAATAGGACTCTTATACAGTAAAATATTTGTGTAGTGTATTGTTGGTGCTGTAATAAATAATCTAGTCGACTTCATTAAAATATTATATTTTTCTCAAAATTTAATTTAGTTAATATTTTTTTTATAAGTATATACCCTTTACATAATGTTAACACCTGTTTAAATTAAATCATGATGGATTAAAAGATAATTTATACAAGATGAAAAGAATAACAATTGAAAATATTTAACATTATTATGACAAAATCACAGAAAATCCCTGCTAAATCTGGCTGCTGCTGAAGCACTCATTTCTAATGTCCCCATAGACAAAGAATATATAAAACAAAAATAATAATTGGTAATATTCTTATACATAGAAATGTAACATGGTGTCAAAATACTGCTTTCTATTACCACTTTTCGACATTTGAAGGCTGAATTTTTATATATCCAGATAAAAATTCATTTAATTTTGTTTACTGGACCAATCATTCCAACTTCCAAGATATGTCTTAGAGCTGTAATAAAAAATATTACATTTTAATTAATATTTGTCATCACCACCCACAATTTTTGGATCCAATAGTTGAAAATTTTATTAGCTAGTTTTTGGTAACCATTTTCTTAAAATCTTTACTATCTGTAAGAATAAATAATAAATATTGAAATTACATGGTATATTAATACTGGATGGAATCTTTCCAGTATTATTTACTTCATCTGAATGTAATTTGATCCTCATTTTCACTTTTCTTAAAATTTTTACTATCTGTAAGATGTCTTATGTAAATTATTAGTTTAACTTTCATTCAGCACTATAAATTGCTTTACAAAAAAGCATAGTATAAAATTACTTGTATGACAAACAGCAATCTGATCATATGTCTATCCTGCTGCTCATGTATACATGAAGATGAATGCCACTTAGCATCAGGTGTACTGTCAGCTTGGTTGCCATTCAGTTCAGTTCAACAATTACCAATAGCACATTATTTCCTATATTTTGATGTTTGTGCAATATATACCAAACCAAACAGATAATATAAAATAGTGTGAATAATAAAGTTATATTCAATTCAGAAGAAAAAAGTTACTATGAACAATTATTATTACATTACAACTTATATTAAAATTATAAGAGTTTATTCATTTGATTTTAAAGTAAAATATGGTGTTATTTTACTTTAAAATCAAATGAATAGGTCCCACAGTGTCAACTGGTCCTGAGCCAAGTAGTTTAGTGTTTTTTATTAGATGATAAATGGTACACCCAATAACTGTTTATGCTGTGGGGCACTCATGGAGGATGATGAGTATGAGCTACAATACTTTTATCCTATAAAAAATACGAACATAAACAAATAGAAATTAGTATCCAATAAAGAAAATATATCAGAAATCGAAGTAATGTAAAATAATTAAAGTAAAAAATACTACTACAATACAAACTAAGTTATTTCTGGCAGTAGTAAGTCGTGCTGTTGGTCGTAATGATTTCAATGCAACTCGAAAGAGTATTTCCGAACAAAGTACAAACATCATGCAGTTTCGTAATTACCCTTCACCAAACAACCTAAAATCTAAATAAGCTCTTACAAAAATACACAATAGTTCGAGACACGATAACATAACAAAATATGTACATAGATTCTTATAATTACATACTTTGAACTTGACAATACAAGAGGATACAATTATTATTGAAATAATTCTATACTTTTTGAAAAAAGAATAATGAAAAAAAATATAATCTAATCTAATATTTTTAGAAAACCAATTCAAACATTTTATTTCATATATACCTATATATTTCTGATGGTAATGACAATTTGACATTGAAAGATTTTAAGGTCGTTATGTTAAATAGATTGCTTCTCTATGGTAGGTATAACTAAATAAAACTTAAAATTAAATTTCAATAATTATAATCAATCTCCCTTTCAATGCTGTAGAAAGATAGTGGTATAGCTGCGACACCTATTTATTTAATTGTAAAAATTAATTTTGAAATATTAGTATGTATTATATATACTGTATGTACAACGACCACAATAAGACATTTTTTTGCGGTTCCCGTACCTACATATAGTATTAAGCAGCTAAAGATTTTAAATAGGTGTATGGTTTATGAAATATGGACACCGTTACGAAGGTCATTTTTTTTTTATTTTATAAAAAAAGGTGTTTGTTTTAGCGAAATAATCTGCGCTGTGGTACAACTCAGTTATACTACAAGATAAATGCTGAGAGGCAGTCTTATTCAGCGTTACCAATAAGTTTTTAGGTAATAAGAATACTGTTGTAATTCTGAATTGTTAATAAATATGTCAATTACAAAAAACCTTATATTTCATATATTCATTAATACATATACTTTGTTGTAGTTGTGTGCTAATGCTTATGATTTAAACATCGGCAAATTATTTTTGAGTAACATGTTAAAATGAGTAATTAATATTAATTTCCGATAGTGCCACATGCTTATTTAAAAAATACAAAAAGCTGTCAACAGGTAATGTTACTTTAGACTACGATATAAAAAAAACAGACATACTTACAGTAACATGAGAAAAGTAATTATATTTGAATAAAATTAAATACTTACATTTTTGTTTATGTTCTCATTATTTCCAATGAATTAATATCTGAAGTGGGGGATTGTTAGTAATTAATGAGGAATATAAAAATAAACTGTATAGAAAACTTCTAGTGATTTATTAAAAAAATATATAACAATAGAAATAATTCACAATTAAAAAAAAATTTGTAAAAAGTATAACATACTATTTACTTAATATGTATTAAGTACCTCTTTATTTAAACAGCTAGGTATACTTAGGCAATATAGGATTCATGCTACTTTATTATACATATAAAAAATCATTGTTAACTTTCACTGAGCAATTATACACAAAATAATTATTACTATACAAAATAAATGGATATAATAATATATAATAGAATGGCATAGTATGAATAGTGATGTATTATATCAGTCTTAATCATTTTCCTTTTAACTGAGTAGGAGTATTTATTTATTATCTATATTATATGTGACCCATTTTACTACAAAAATAGTACTAATCCCATAAGTATATTTAAAAGTTATCCAAACATTTAGTGACTAAATGGAAGAAAATAGTAAATACTTAGGTCATATGAACTTGTATTTACATGTAAAAATATTTTCTTAACTTTTACAATAACTATACATGATCCTTATATAGTCAAATATTATTATTTATGCTAATACTTATAATGATGTTAATTTGTTCATTTTATTTCTTTCTTTAGTCTTCTAAATTGGAAATATTATTTTTAATTAAATGATACTTTTTCAAAATATTTTTTCTTCTCATTTGGATTTGGTATAATCTGAAAGAAAACGATAATATAACATTAAAATTATAATCAAGATGATCATGGCTAGTAAAAACCCGGTTATCATCAGTTCAGTACTTGTTATTTTTTAAATTGAATACTTATATAGTTATAAAAGTACAGAACTGTTTTAATAAATTAATTTCTGACTTTCATTATTAGAATCTACTTACAGTATCTTGGCCCGGTTTCCAACCAGCTGGGCACACTTCACCATGCTTATCAGTGTATTGGAATGCTTGAACTAGCCGAAGAGTTTCATCAACTGATCTACCAACTGGCAAATCATTCATTGTAATCTGCCTTAAAACACCCTTGTCATCAATAATAAATAATCCTCTCAAGGTGTGCCCCAAGTCTTCCAAATAGACACCATAATCTTTTGCAATTGAGTGAGTCAAATCACTTAGAAGTGGAATGTTAATTTTTCCAAGACCTCCTTCTTTACGTGGAGTATTAATCCATGCTAAATGGGTAAAATGTGAGTCAACTGAACATGCTACCACTTCTGTATTAATCTTTCTGAACTCTTCAATCCTTTCAGAAAATGCTAATATTTCTGTTGGACATACAAAGGTGCTGAAAAAGATTATTTTGTAATCCATTAACACACTAGTTCCATTTGTTTTTCTGAGAATTAAGTTATTTTTAAATAAAGGTTTAATGTTTATGCATTTACAACACAACAATCAGGCTTATGTTTTTATTAGTTTCCATGAACCAACTATTGAAAAATTTTATATACAAATTCATAGCTGATGTGGTTTAGTAGTTCAAATATAGGTGATCTAAAAACTATCATTGATTTCATTAAAGTTGGTTAATTAATTTAGATTAACCACTATTTATTAATTAGACAAACATAGTGACAAGATTATTATATGTATATATATTAGTAGTTTATTTATAATAGGTACTTACAAATCTAAAGGGTAAAAGAAGAATACTAAATATTTTCCTTTGAAACTTGTTAAAGAAAGTTGCTTAAATTCTCCATCTATGACAGCAGTTGTTTCCCATTCCGGTGCCGGCTTTGATACTGTATATAATATAGAAATTCATTATTTATTATTAACATATAAAAAACACTTTAATTCCTTAGATAAATACTCACTCATTGCCTTCGTAAATTGTAATTTATGGTCAACCTTTCTTGCACCGCCGGGAAAAACATTGCCGCTACCAAAGGAATAACATGATTCGCTATCAAATAGAGATGAGTTACAAATATTACACGTACTTAACACGAAAACTAACGCTATAAAATTATATCTCATGTGCTGCATGATGTGGTGACCACAAATTATTGTTATTGTTAACTAAAAATTATTAAAATTGTTTCCGATTAAAGAAAATTGAAAAAATAACTGAACAACACGTCAGCGGTCAGGGGTAGCAAAACCAAAGACAAATACATAACAATACAGATCACTATGTAGATCATAGAGTTATGCCTTAAGTAGTCCAATACATAAAGTACTCTGTTCCGTAGAGATGCGCAAATTTTAGACAGAAAATTCGGAAATTTTCGTGATCTCATAATTATGTACTGTGAAATTCTTAATTTAATTTATCTTAAATAGAAGATAAATAATAATGAGAATTTTTATTTCTGAGTGTATTGTGTCTCGATTGTATTTCAATACATAGACAGTATTATTATCGATTGTATTATTTTAAATGTCTTTGCTTAGACTGTTCGCATCACTAGTTATTGTACGCTTCTTTTGCAGTGAAATGCTGTATTATTTTCTTGTATTTCTGTTTTAATGTAGTTTATTAAAAAAATGTGTTTACGTTTTGTATTAAATTTCATTTATTAATTTTGACACGGGTTAAGTCCATCGCAAACTCTTGCGGTAAGTTTTAAAAGTAAACTTTGTAATCCACTTGTCGTTCACTATGGCGGTCTTCATTTACATTATTCCTATCCTGTCGTAAATAATTTCGTCATAACCAATAAAGTATAGAATTCAGTGTGTTTTTTAAATTTATTGTGACTTTATGTTCGTTTTTTAGATGGACGTACCAGATGAAGGTGTTTTGGATGTAGACTTATTGGGTGACGATGGTTCAGAGGATGAAAGTGAAGCACAACCCTCTTCAGGTACGCGAGCGCCAAAATTGGGAGTCTAATGTGCATAATTCCACTACCAAACTTTATTGTTACCACATTACTTAATTTTGATATAAGTAAACCTTTCAATGGTCTTGACACTCATATAAATATCTATGCCATAATTGACCATTGGCAAAACTACTGGTTACATATTTAGAAAAACCTTATATCTTCATCTAAATATCTTCTTTTGTCTAATACACAAAGTAGAGATAAATAGTTAAAAAAGGTATAATTGTACAGTACTCAGGATTAGTTAACATAGAAAGCTGTTTATTGCATTTTTATCTTTGATTCACTAATATTAATATAATAAAGCCCGCATTGTATGAATTCCAAGCGAAGTATAACAGATTTATTTAATTTCCCATTTAACATAGTTTTGTTTACAATGTTTTTATACAAAACCGTGAAGTCACTTCAGCAGTTTAGTGATTTAGTGTGTGTAGTTATTGAATTGTGATGAATTGAGTATCTAACTGACTATCACTCCTCTGGATCTTCTCCATATTGAGAGTGTCAAATTTTTAATTTGTATTATTAATTAGAATTTATATCATAATATAAAATAAGAAGTTCTATGTATTTGTAAATAGAACAGTTTTTTTATAGTTACTGATTTTGTGATGATAGTGAAAATTATCGTTATTATACAACTGTAACTTTAGTTTGTTATTAACTTTTTAGACTTTTATCCTGGGCCGGGATCAACCCCAACTTCCTGTGCATCATCACCTCGTGGAGAAGAACCGGCTTCTCCACATGCAGTGGTATCACAACCATCATTTTTCCACCAACAACCATATACACGACCATTTTTCACATCTGGCCGAAGGGGACCTGGTAGACCTCGAAAAGATGGCCCTAAGTTGACACGAGAGGGCAAAGTTGTTAGAAGGTAAGAACTATATTGAACATATTCTAAGGAATATCCAATGTCTCTGTATTTTAGAATTACTACAAAAATAGTTTTTAGTGAATGTTTTTGTACAAATTGATACAAATTTTGTTGTATTTATGAGTAAACACATTTTATGGATTATTAATGACTATACTGTTATTAAACAGTCTAAATTGTTCAAATTACATTCTGATAGGATTGATTTGGTTATGTATCTAAAATTATTATTTACAGATATAGAGGTAATCCTGGTTCTCTTAGGGGTGCTAAGAGACATAGAGGCAGTAGAGAAGATACACTAGATGATGTTATGGATGAGGATGATTTCACCATGCCTGCACCTGAAGAACCACCCTACACCCCAGAAAAATGGTATGAAATGAATTTAAAATTTTTGTGTAACACTTTGTAAGAACAGTATTTTAGCCTTATAATCTATTTGGGCTTTTTTAGACCCATTTTATTTTAATTGACAAAAACATCATTCAGTGCTATCAAATATAGATATTGTATTGAGTTTTCTGTGCAATTTATGTAAATGAATTTGCATAAACTTTAAACAATTTCAGGCCAGGCAAAGTATGCGCCCTTTGCAATCTCAGCGAACGTAGTCAACTGGGACAAGGAGAGATGAGGCAAATCTTATGTAATATTGAAGGGTCCGGCGGCAGCACCCCGGGGGCCGGGTCGGGTGGCGCCACGCCCACCGGGGCGGCGCCACCTGCCGGCCCCGCCCTCACCCCGTCTCCCTCCCCCTCCGCCTTAGTGCCCGGTGTACCGGGCGCGGCCCCGCACCCCGTGTCCGCGCCCTCCCCGCACCACACGCTGGGCTCGCCACCGCCCGACCTGCTGGACCCCAACCAGCAGCAATTGGCGTTACCCCTCAGCAGGCGACAGAAAGCCTTTAATAAGTGCAAGTGAGTCTTTCTAAATTTCGTATTCATAAGTATCACAGTTTATTTTAGTAATCACAGGACTAGATAATATGTACTCACTGTTTTTCTATCAATTATATCTCAGATTATTGAATTCTTTTTCATATGTTGTAAATTGTTTTTACTTATTGTAGCAAATGATATGATTTTATTTATTATTTTAGGACACCACTATTCAATACAGAGCACACAGACGAGTTATCAATAATAGGCCATCAAGAAGTTCTAGAGTTACCAGCAGTAGTGACGTCTGGTGCTTTCTACCTGCATCGCTGCTGCCTTGACTTCAGTCCACCATTTCAGGACCAGGTGGCCTTAGCTGGAAATATAGTAGATGAAAAGGAAACATTGGAGGACACAAGAATTAAAGGAATTGTTAATAATGCATTGTCAAGAAAATGTGCCTTTTGTTCAAGACATGGTGCTAGTATTCCTTGTAAAGTAAGTTTTATAGTTTTAGTTGAAAATTTAATGAAATTGCATTTACTATTTTTCTATGAAATTATACAAATTATTTTTCAACAGGGGAGTTGCAACAAGTTCTTTCACTTACCGTGTGTATTGGCTTCAGGAGGTTTCATGGATTTTCCAAACAAATTTTCTTTCTGCAAAGACCATCTATATCAAGTAACACTAAATTGTAAGTTTAAAATTTAAAATTTATCATGCTAATATAGAGATAGCCTTAGCTTCAAACACATAAATATGTACAGTTTTTATGTGTATTTAAGCTCTGAGTATGTATTCAACACATACTACTTAGTAGTATGTGTCAATCAAACTGGATATTGAATTTAATACTCATTTATAATTTTCATGTACATATAAAGTGTATTTCTTTGCAAAACATGTCTGCCAAGTACACTTTTATTTTTATTTATTTCTTTATTGACTATAGAATATTTCATAATTTAACAGAAACATTTACTATGAGTTCAAATAGGTGCAATCAATATTGATTAGATATATGTTATTAATTATTTTGTACATCAGTTTCTGAGTCAAAATATTCTTTAGGCAAAACTGCCTCCTCCAGAGTTTTCCATGTGTTTCTATCTTACCAATTGGGGCCAGAAAATTGTGTAGTAATATAACGTGTTAATTGTGTACCTATGGACACTGTGTGCAGGTGCTACAGACATGGAGTGTCGCACATGCCGCACGGTGGGCGACCTCGCTAACCTGATGACGTGCGTCGTGTGCGGCGCGCATCACCACGGAACCTGCGTCGGCCTCGCGCAGCTGCCAGGTCAGTATGCGCTCCTCTCTCTGAATCCTGCTATATCCTTAACCTGTTTGTAGGATTGTCACAATAGATATGCATATTATGTGTGTCAAGATCTGTGAGTGGAAATAGTGAGCGATACATGCAGTGAGTTTCTTTTTCGAACTATTCTAATGCTTTTAACGCAGATGGCATTCCAAACCTGTTTAAGGACATATTGAGTGGTAGTGACTCCTGCCTAATGGATACGATATCAGTCTGAGGACACCGCTATAGATTCTAATCTAGGCTCAGGCCGTCGTAATATCGATCCCCATTTGAATCGGAGTGGCGATAAATTGACGACGAGACACGACGGGGGGCGCCGGTGCTTAGTGCATGGTTAATAGCACTGTGTAGTTGAGATCGTCGTCTTCACGGGGGAGGACGGTGTCGTGTTTGTGTGATATATCGGTAGGGCCGCAACGGATGCACCCGAAGGAAGCTTAGCTGCCGTTATGGGTTCGGCGGAATGCGTGCAGTGAGTATTAAGGCATCGGTATGTGCAGGCGTGCGTGCGGGCTGGGCGTGCCGCTCGTGCCGCGCGTGCCAGGTGTGCCGCGCGGACGTCGCCGGCGCGGAGTGGCGCGCGGTCACCTGCGAGCAGTGCGACAAGCTCTACCACGCCACCTGTCTGCGCCCAGTCATGGCCACCGTGCCCAAGTACGGCTGGAAGTGCAAGGTCAGTAGACATTTCCCCAAAAGAATATGACTAATAATTTCATTTATTGACAAGACTTGAGATAAAAAGGTTAGATACATAAAGGAAATTATGAATCAATTGAATAGTGACATTAATAGTTATGAGGCTACAGAACACAATACAGTATTCTAAACAAATATTCTAAACAATAATAAATAAAATTAATTATTTATGCTTAGTATTTTAGTGACAAGCCATGTAAAAGTATGAGCTCATGCATGATAGAGACGTGTACGTTGTTGTGTAGTGCTGCCGCGTGTGCTCGGACTGCGGCGCGCGTTCCCCGGGCGCGGGCCCGTCGTCGCGCTGGCACGCGCACTACACGGTGTGCGACTCGTGCTACCAGCAGCGCAACAAGGGCTCCTGCTGCCCGCTGTGTCGCCGCGCCTACCGCGCCGCCGCCTACCGCGACATGATCCGCTGCACGCTCTGCAAGAGGTACCGCCCACTCCACTCTCACACTCCCCCACGTGCAGACAGCCTGCACGCGCACTACACGGTGTGCGACTCGTGCTACCAGCAGCGCAACAAGGGCTCCTGCTGCCCGCTGTGTCGCCGCGCCTACCGCGCCGCCGCCTACCGCGACATGATCCGCTGCACGCTCTGCAAGAGGTACCGCCCACTCCACTCTCACACTCCCCCACGTGCAGACAGCCTGCACGCGCACTACACGGTGTGCGACTCGTGCTACCAGCAGCGCAACAAGGGCTCCTGCTGCCCGCTGTGTCGCCGCGCCTACCGCGCCGCCGCCTACCGCGACATGATCCGCTGCACGCTCTGCAAGAGGTACCGCCCACTCCACTCTCACACTCCCCCACGTGCAGACAGCCTGCACGCGCACTACACGGTGTGCGACTCGTGCTACCAGCAGCGCAACAAGGGCTCCTGCTGCCCGCTGTGTCGCCGCGCCTACCGCGCCGCCGCCTACCGCGACATGATCCGCTGCACGCTCTGCAAGAGGTACCGCCCACTCCACTCTCACACTCCCCCACGTGCAGACAGCCTGCACGCGCACTACACGGTGTGCGACTCGTGCTACCAGCAGCGCAACAAGGGCTCCTGCTGCCCGCTGTGTCGCCGCGCCTACCGCGCCGCCGCCTACCGCGACATGATCCGCTGCACGCTCTGCAAGAGGTACCGCCCACTCCACTCTCACACTCCCCCACGTGCAGACAGCCTGCACGCGCACTACACGGTGTGCGACTCGTGCTACCAGCAGCGCAACAAGGGCTCCTGCTGCCCGCTGTGTCGCCGCGCCTACCGCGCCGCCGCCTACCGCGACATGATCCGCTGCACGCTCTGCAAGAGGTACCGCCCACTCCACTCTCACACTCCCCCACGTGCAGACAGCCTGCACGCGCACTTCGTACTGTAGTGGCTTGGTATAGGTAGTAACAATACCACTATTCATTTATTACTATATTACAGATTATATGAACAACTTACTAGGGTTTGTACTATGTAAGTCGAATACAGTGAGTGAGACGGCAATACAAGTGCGCTCCCGTTCGCACTGAGGTTATAAATATAAGCGAGCGAAGCGAGGTGGTCGCGTTGCGCTAGCAGTTTTTTTTTTTTGTGGATGATAATGGAATACTACACCCGCCTGCGCTAACGGTTTACGCTGACGGGGCACCAGTGGAGGATGATTAGATGAGCATGAGGTCAGGTCAGTTAGCCCATCGTGACAAATTCACCAGGAATTTAACTCGATGGTTTCCAGGGGGAACCGCGTGGAGGTCGACCTGACAAGGTACATTGCTAGCAATGGGGTTATAAATCTACACTATATACAATCTACTAACGATCCCCTTTCCCCCCTGCGCTAGCAGTTAGTGCGCAGCGGTATTGTACAAATCATGCTACAGTAATCATCATTTATATACCATTATTTCTTATCAAACTGCTCAGGACAAGTATACTGAAGAAGATGTTCATCATTAGATTAATTATAAACTGTTACATTATGTAAATAGTATCTAGTATTATCTGTTCACTGCAGAACAACATGTAAATTATTAGTGTAAACGAGAGGTTTTAAATTATAATTAATATTAACAGGTATGTCCACGGCACATGTGATCCTGATGCGGAACCGCAACAATATAAACTGAAGAAGGAACAGAATCCTAGTTATGAATACAGTTGTCCATCATGCAAGAGTCACATGCAATTAGCCGGTACTAAAAGTGGATGTAAGCCTTTTTTTAATTCAGTTAGATAATTAGTTTAAAATTTGGTTCAACTAAAAAAAAACAACTTTAGCGATTGATAAATAGTAATTAATTGTTCAAAACCTTGTAATAATAAACTGCCTCTTAATCATTACGATATCAATAAGCCTTTTTGTTTTATTTAATCATATTTTATCTTAATGTTATAATTTCTTTTCATACAGCATTTGATGATGAAAACACAGCATCAACATCGCAGGATTCATCATTTGGTGACGAAAATTCACAGGAACAAGATCCCCTTGCCATAGAATCCAAGGTATGAATATTTTAAATGATGAGGATATAAATAAATATATATATGTATATATTGATTTTCTGATCTATGATACTAAATGAATAAACATTTTTACAGCCGGATGTGGGTCTTGGTAAAGGCAAACCATACACAGTATCGTCTAAAATAGCTAAGAAAAAAATTGGCGGATATAAATTAAAGGGTGGATTTCCACCAGCCGGAAAATTGGGCTTCCAGAAACGTCAACGGTCTGTTTTGGACTTTGGTCGAAAGAGGGGGTCTAAACCTAAGATGAGGGGTGTTTTTGGTGTACCTGGGTTGGGTCTCCAAAGACCACAGGCTCCTGACAACAAGGCGTCGGAAGATGATCCAGGTAATTACATAATTCACTTTAAAATCAATGGAAGAGAGTGGATTTTGACAATATTTAATTAAATTAAACTACATTGACGGAAGATTGGCTGCTAACAAAAATTTAATTTTCTATTATATTTCAGGATTGGAAAATAAATTAGTATTGTGTTCAAGTAAAGACAAGTTCGTGTTGACTCAAGATTTATGCGTAATGTGCGGCGCTGTAGGAACTGACTCAGAAGGTTGTCTCATATCGTGCGCACAGTGTGGACAGACTTACCATCCTTATTGCGTCAACATAAAGGTTTGTTTGTAAAAAGTGTTTATTTTTAATTATATTATAAATGTAAACTTTATTTGACTTTTCTTATTTTTTTTGTTTCTGTCGTAAATAACTAAACTGCGACTGAATAAACATTTTTTCTCCATTCTTTCTTACGAGGTTCCTTTCGGTCATATGACTTTTTGCTGGCATTTGAAAATTTGTTTAACGTCACTCGATGGCCGGCAGGTGTCGCAAGTGATCGTGACGCTGGGCTGGCGGTGCCTGGACTGCACGGTGTGCGAGGGGTGCGGCAACCGCGGCGACGACACGCTGCTGCTGCTGTGCGACGACTGCGACACCACGTGGCACACCTACTGCGCGCGCCCCCCCCTCGCGGACGTGCCGCGCGGCGCCTGGCGCTGCGAGCGCTGCCGCCGCTGCCTCGTGTGCGGCACGCGCAACACCGCCTCCTGGTGCGACAACTACACCGGTACGTGCGCCCTCACGTCTCCACCGGTGCGACCACTGCGACACCACGTGGCACACGTACTGCGCCTGGCGCTGCGAGCGCTGCCGCCGCTGCCTCGTGTGCGGCACGCGCAACACCGCCTCCTGGTGCGACAACTACACCGGTACGTGCGCCCTCACGTCTCCACCGGTGCGACCACTGCGACACCACGTGGCACACGTACTGCGCCTGGCGTTGCCTCGTGTGCGACACTCAAGTGTTTGTTGTTCTTTAAACTTTGAAATCATGCTCAAATACCATTTGACTAAAAAGCCGTCTGCGTAAGTATCCCAGTCTGTTCTATTTCAGCTATAATGCAGCTTGCTATGAGAGCCGTTTTTCGGATGTAAGGTGCAGATTTATCAGTCATATTGCAGGAAAAGAAAATTGCATTTTAGTCCTCTAAAATAACAATACATGAGTGGTATCGCAGATATCTCATAATAATGAGATGTCCATAGTAGTGGTCATGTATGACGACCCTTGCCATTTACCTCTAATTACATAAAAAAAAAATATAGAAATTTATATCTATGCTACACTTTACAACTTCTAACTCCCTTTTTTTTTGTTACGAAAATAGTAATTGATCATTACTTTATGCAGAGTGTGGTCCGTGTGCGTCACTGGTGATGTGCTGCGTGTGTTCGGAACCGTACTCGGATGGGGAGTTGATCATCCAGTGTGAGCCCTGCAGCCGCTGGCTACACGCTTCCTGTGACTCCATCCGTACAGAGTCCGACGCCGAGACCTGCTGTCGGGCCGGGTAAGTTACCTATTAATGTAACTAGAATAGTAAACTAGTTATACGCCTATACTGGGTGAGTCTTAATGTAATAGGAAGTCAAAAGGCAGGTAGAATAGAATTTTATTCTTCAAGAAATGAAGCGAATATCTGAAAATACTAAATAAAAAATGTTTAATTTGGTAATAATTTGAGTAGCACAATTTTTATTTAATTCTATTTAATTATGAAATATATGTTAATTATTTCGATCATAGTTGACTACAGCTTATATGTAGGATATCTTAAAATTCGGTTCGCCCTATTATACAAAACAATAAATGGTTGAATGGTTGCTTAGGTATAAGTGCGTACTGTGTCGCGGGCGCGAGGTGCCACCACCGCACGTGGCTCGGGCGCTGGAGCCGGCGGCGTCGGTACCGGGGGCGGGGGCGGGGGCGGGGCCGGGCGGGCCCGCGGGCGCGGCCGGGCTCGGCCCGGGGGCGGGGCCCCGCGCGCGAGCCACGCCCCTCTCGCTGGGGCTGGGCGGCGAGTACTACGTGGACGACGTGTGCCTCTCACAGCGCGGCGCGCACCACATGAAGCAGCTCGAGGCGGACATGGGCATCACGCACACGCGCCGCAAACGCCGCTTCAAGAACGACAACCCGGAGAAGGACGCCGGTGTGTATGCTCGTAATACTAGCTTATTTATTAGCTCTTCTACTTATAAGCTGCCTTTACACTTGCGCGGGAAAAACGGGTCGGCAGTGATTGCATTTAATTGTTTGTTGTGTTCACTCTGTCGTGCCGCTAAGATTGCGAGTATGTTTCCTGTGATTTTACTTTCTTTTAGAATCTTATTTTCAAAAGACACTTTTAAGATCTGTAACTTATAAATAACTGTATAATTAAGTCTTTTCAGATATCTGCCGTTTGGCAATGATAATTAATAAATACAAAAAGGCGCTAAAGCACGCATGATTGAAGGACGTAGGAATGTGCAAGCAGGCGTTGCTTTCGCGCTATTTCACGTTTTCTTTGTTTACATCTGCATACTCTTTCATGCATGAAAGCCGATTCGCGCGTAAAAGAGCGTACATGTAAAGGCAGCTATAGTCTTAATTAGGACAATCTTAGAAATATTTAAAAATTTTTTTTTACTTACAAGAATAATAATTTTTAATGATATATTAAAGTTCCATCATGAAGTTACACATTAGGTGCGTTTATTACAAGCTCCATCAATATTCATGATTCTATATAGTTTAATTAACAGCAAAATATGAAGCTAAAACTTATACATCATTTTACAAAACAATTAAAATAAACATATACTTAACAGGTGATAAAATAACTAATTTCACCTATCCAAATATCAAATTATATACAGCAATTTTGAAAAGAATTGTACTGAATGCCTATGATATAATATATATAACAAAATACCTTCCATCCCATCATCACAAAGTCAGTCATAGTCACCAATATCTAATGGAAGTTTTTTGTGTTTGCCGCTGTCATAATGGATTAGAAATAATGGCATCTATTGAAACAGTGGTACAGAATGCAGACGTCGAGATGGGGGACGACTCGAAGCCGGACAGCACCGCTGAAGTCAAAGAAGAACCTGGTATGTATATTATCAGTTAATTAATATACATGTAGTTGGAAATAATAGACCGGATGACTTTGTTTATCCTGTGGGAAAAAGTGAGATTTAAGGAGATATGATTTTTTTTATGATACTATCAGTCTTTCAGAATGTAATAAGAGGATTAATAATAAAATAGTGGCTACACTAACTTTTCTCTAACGGCAATAAGTTCATCTGGTATACGTTGTATGCTTTGTTTACTATATACATTGTTTGCCATTTATTGTAGTAATTAATACGAGTACATTTAAAAGTTACTCAATTCTATCTTTTATATTTTATAATATTATGGTTAATGAAACCTTAATTATTCATACCACAGTACAAGATACAATAATCAATAATAATTAAAATATCTTTATTCATGTAGGTCTATTACAGACTTATGATATGTCAAATCTACCGTCAGCTTAGAGTTAGATTTATTTTAGATTTTCATTAATGTTACACAATTGACTGTGTATTATATCCCTTAGAGTGTACAATTGTCATTTAGGTGTGTCAGCCAACGCTAATTTTAAAGAAGGGTCGCTATGGAGCGTGGCTAACGATGGCCCGCCACCTGAAGGCTTCACAGTATACACCACCGAGTCTGGACTGACAGTACTTCGGCGTAAGAGGCAGAGGAACTTAAACAAGCTCGGTATCGGCGGGTTTGTTGTGCGACAGAGACAGACAACCGCGAAAGCGCAGGCCGAGGAAGATAAAGAAGGAGATGGACAACCCTCTGGAGGTATTAATGTTACTTTAGTTCGTATTTTATACATCAATGTATTTTTTCTGTAGTGTATTTTGATTGTTGGTACATTTTTTTTTCCTTTTAAATACTGCATAATTGGCAATCTGCTTTCATATACAATAGTCCAATCTGTTGGCTCTTTGATACATTTTTATTCATATAAAACCAAGTTATATATATTATTTATTAAAAAAAAAAATGTTTTGACTATTGTGGACACAGAAGACATATCACCAATTACTATTACTTTAAACTAACTCTTTTGAATTTTGAATATTAATATGAAAAGTTAACTATAATTAAAGTCATCCTTTTTTATAGAATCGCCGAGTAACAAGCGAAAACCGCGTAGAAAGCCGCGCTCTAAATTGATGGAACAGTTTCCCTCATATATGCAGGAAGCATTCTTCGGCAAGGAATTACTAGAGCCTACCAAACCTGCTGTTAGCTCCACAGGTTAGTGTCTAAACTTTATGTAAAATAAAATATAATAAATAATCATAGGGGATTAGGTTGATCTTTTATACTTGATGGATGTATTGTCAATTGTCGACATTGAATATAAGGAACGCTGATGATGTCACTAGGTATAATTGAATCTGGCGGAGTGTGGTCTCTTAAAGATGTTGCCATATGATAAAAAAAAAGTATACTTATATTAGAATCAAACGTACAAGGGACTGTAATCTGTAGTTGTCTTTTGGATTAATTTGGTTTATTTTTATCACTGGCTAGGAAGAGTAACTAGTGATGTTTTTGTGCCGACCAAATTCGAATTCAGGACGTTTCAAAGACCAGATGTAGTAAACTATTAAGCCTCGACAATAAAGCTATTAATCTAATCTTGTTTATGAAGGAAATCCGTCTGAGAGTCCCGGTGGATCTGTTCGCCCGGTCACCCCTGAAGGCTACCGAGAGTTGCGCGACTTCAAAATAGATCCAGATAATTCTGACATCTCGGATGGAGAGGAGGTGCTGACAGCGCTGACCACTTACAATGATAACGACCAATCATATTTTATTACACTTAATTCGGTAAGAAAAATAAACTATGCATATTTAATTAAGCAATTTTAAGTATCTTTATTTTTATTGTGTTCATAATTAATTTTATTTAGAAAGTTTTTGTCACATTCATTTAAATTCAATAAACAGTTCAAAAGAATTATTATTATGAATAATAGAAATATTTTAAATTTATGTTTCAATTTTTATGCTATATACCTATATATGAATATTTAAGTACCTGTGCTATAATGCGTTCACTCCACTACTTGAGTACTTCGCGTTTCAATCTATACTTTAGATGTTCATATATACACTTAATTTTATATATTAAGTCTACAACATAACTCTAATTCTCCAACCAATATGAATTATAATACTCTGTACAGGATGAAATAGAGTTGCTAAACTCATTAAAGCCGAAAGAAGAAAGAGACGAGTCGAGTTACAGCGGCGAGGGTGCGGTGAAAGTGAAGACGGAGCTGGAGGATGGAGGGTTGAAGCACACGGAGGACTCGACGGCGCTGAAGAACGCGATACTCGGACCCCAGGCCGACGACGGCGCCCCGCCCCCGGCCCCGCCCCCGGCCCCGGCCCCGGCCCCGCCCCCCGCACCGCCCAGCGCAGGCGCGCTCAGCAGCGGTCAGTACCACCTAACTAACCATATTATACATATTTATCCCTCTTTTTATTCATTGATCATAATTGGGTCCACACTAACGGCTTACGCTGACAGACCACCATTTCAGGATAAGGTGGACATGAGGTCAGGTCAGTTAGCCAATCGTGACAAATTCATCAGTGATTTATGGGAACCATGAGGGTTAACCTGACATGGCTTATTGCTAGCAATAGGATCACGAATTCATATTACTAACAATCCCATTCCCCCCCTATTTACTCCTCAGTGTCATAACTACTTACACCCATGGTTTTGGCATGTTTAGTATCATGAAAATATCTCGAATGTTTTAGAAAACAGTTTAATATATAAATTACATTTATTAAAATAGATTATTATGAGTAGCTTTATTACATAAATATACAAGAAGATAGGTGGTTCTACTGAGAATAGCATTATCTGCCACTGAACTTTTAACACATACTCATAGTCTTCTACTAATTGCAAAAAAAAAGACAAATAATAGTGAATATGGTGGATATTCACTTTTATTGTGAATATTCTTAAAAAAATATTTCTAAACAACATATCTAAAAGAACAACGTACAGTTTTCTTGCTTGATCTTCTTGTGATGATTCTGCATTCTGAATGAGTAGTAGAATAAAATGACATGACTATTCATAAGTGCTTATATTAAGTTTATTTCTATTTCTATAACACTTTACGAAGTTATACTATGTTTGTGTACAGAGACGGGCGGTTCATCGCAGTCAACAATATCGCCAAAAGACGACTTGTCGCTACTGGCGGTGAGTCTGGACGCGATGGTGCGCGAATCTCTACCTGATATGGACTCCACGGACGTTGACGAGATGTTCAAGGGCGTACTGACTGACGATTCACAGGTATAACATATATTAATATCGTAAAAGAGCACTGTGCTGTGAATTAATAAAAAATTACGGAATTCTTGGATTCCATTATAAGAGAGTCGTGTGTGTGTGGACATAAAAATAATACTAAATATAGAGTTTCTTGTATTCCTTTAAAAGGGATATGTCTGTACCTTAAAATAAAAAACTTCTTGTGCTTCTTACTAAGGTAAATAAATAGATTTTAGATTTTTGACTATTCACTGTAATCTTATAAATGGCTTAATGAATTCACTGCTATAATAACATAATAATAAATCACTGATATATTGTAACAGGCTTCCTGTAACATTTACAAAATATCTTCATTTTAATCAGTTCACAAACAAAATAGTTATTTCCTGACAGACTAGTGGCAACAATATCAATTGAGCAGGATTTATATATTTATATTAACTTTATACTATTGTAATTTAGGAATCACAAGAGTCCTCAGTGTCGTACGTGAACTCAATAGGCGGTACACCATATTCCCAGCAGCGACAGCAGCTGCAGAGTCCTATGGAATATGCTTCGCCTTACCATACAGAATATGGTAGCAGGTAAATAAATAATAATGCTATTTAATGTCAAAGTAGTGCTTTATAGAAATTATGTATAATACAACATCTTGGTAATATATCATTATGAAAACTACTACTATTATTATAAAATCTGTAACAAATTATTTCTGGAAACCATAATTAATAACTAAAATTCTAAAAAATGAATGATGAACGATATTGCGTATACAAGGGTTAGTCGGCAAGGGTATAAAAGTACCCATGTAATTAATAATTTTTTTCTACAATTTTACTTGAAACTATATGTATTTTTCGAGATAATTGGCTTTCAAGTTGTTGATTGAAAATGTAATAATGTAGGTCAGCTATAACATCAGTTGTCATCCGCTTTTTCGTAATAGAAAAATATGTAACGACATTGGTAGTTTTTATGAATTAAAGACGGAGGCGTGCTTTTTTTGTTACAAATAAAGTTTGGTTACAAGTAGGGGACTTGATTATTATAATTTTTGTATAAAAAATAATATTAACCACTACCAGAAATAATATCACGTGGTATCAATACAAATACTAGTAATACGAATCGAAAGTCTAATTGTATTTGAAAACAAATAGCAGCAACAGTGCGCTGAGCCCGCTGTTCCCGGAGTGCGGCGCCGCGCCGCCCGCCGCGGCCGCCGCGCCCGCCGCCGCGTGGGCCGACCAGCCCGCCGCGCCGCCGCCCTCCTACAACCAGCGCAGCGCAGACAAGATGCGCGCAGACGAGAGTGAGTACACACACACAACACCACTACTCACTACTCACTACTCACTGCTCACTACTCACTACTCACTACTCACTACTCACTACTCACTGCTCACTACTCACTACTCACTACTCACTACTCACTACTCACTACTCACTGCTCACTGCTCACTGCTCACTACTCACTACTCACTTAAACAGTGTATAAAACCTCATTTAAAAAGTTTATAAATAGTAGCAATAATTACTTACTGACTACTGACTGCTGACTATGTCTATAAACCCATGTTGAATTTATATAGTGCAAATGTTACACCGACGAACTCTCGCCACCGTTGAGATCAAATAGTTAGCAATGCAAGTGCAATAGGGTTTTTTTTGCTTTAACTAGTCCATGAAAATTTTTATTTTATAAACAAGTTATAAATTATGGATTAATACAGTGCAGTAGTGGAGTCAAAATGTTATTGATTTAATTTAATATGGTATATCATAGTATACATGTGTATACTATGATATATATCATAGATCACATGGACTATCTCTTATTCAACTAGCTTAAAAAGACGAACTTGCGGGTGACGGGTAGCATACTTTAAAATATACAATAAAAGTATCTCTATCATTTATGAACAAAAATTACACATAGTTTATACTGTTCTCTAATAGGCTTAGGCTCAGCGGCGACCATATCAGCCGTACTGTACGCGAACACCAACCACCCAGAGTGGAAAACTGAGTACCCTAATTGGGTGGACCGTTGCAAGCAGATCCTTAAGAAGTGGCGTGCTCTGCCTTCCGAACAGAAAACGCCATATCTGCAACGTGCGAGAGACAACAGAAGCGCCATCCGCATGAAGAAAGCTCAGCAGGTATGTCGCTTTGAGTTTGTACAATGTGGTGTGTGCTAACCCAACTCACTTACCACTGTGTTTCCTCTGTGTGTCTTTTACACTATCGAGTGCATACCGTTTCCTATAACCCTAAAGGTATACTTTCTCAATAAAATGTGGATTCAAGTTGTATTCTATATTGACATGTGTCATAATAACTCCTTACTTTGTGCATTGTCACATGATGCGTACAACAGCGGAGATTTTGAACATTGCTCAATGAAAGCGAGTGAAAGTCAATGAAATAAATCGTATTTCTTTCACTCCCAATCGTTTTAGTGATTATACCATGCTATAATGCACGGAGTATCCGAACTTTGGTTGTTCAATACTAAACTCTGCTGTTTTTATTTGGTATACACTCGAATTTGGAATAGTATTTAGCTACTGGATACACAAACTGCTAAGAATTTAAATAGATATGTAAGTATTGACGCTGTACCCAGTTGAGAAGTTCCGTGCATGAACTGACGCATCTCGGGGTGCGAAGTCAGCTTGGCGGCCACACTCACGCCTGTCACTCCATACTGCACTTATACTGGTACCACACGACTATATACATACAGAGTGAAAACTTCAGTCAGCAGCTCTATGTGAAATTCTGTAGTAAGTGCAATATAATAATAATATTGTCGATGTTACAGTTGAAACCTAATGGTGGCGTTCTAAAAAACCTTTCTAGATAGAGCCACTACTCGAGTTGACACTCTGCAATTTGTGTAGTCTGTGCCGTGCAATCAAGCTCGCCATGATGCGCTCACTTGGGTACACGGCTTTAGGTTGCGCTATATTAGGTGTATTTATATATATAAATAAACATTTACAAGACAAACGTGTCTGGCTTCTATGGTCACGCATAAGATTTTAATTTATATATAGCATTGAAATTAAATTTTGTTTCATATTAATTTGAAGACTTTTCTTATTATTATTGACTTGGTATAATATGCAAAATAATTCTACAAGAAACTGTGTCTGAGTACTGTGATTAGCATAGAATAATGCTGAATGATTTTGTTGTTGACTGGGATGTTTCCATAGTTAAGACTCGTTTTTATTATTGTATTTGTTATTGAGCTGTTATAACATTATATAGGACTACATGCTTAAATACATTGTTTTGATTTTATCAAGAAGAGAACCAGTGTCACAAATGGTAAAACTAATATGTATATGAACTGTGGATCATATTATGATGTAACCAGTAATATAAATAAATATCAAATATAGTTTCTATAATTCTGTTCTGTTATAGTTTATTGAGGCACATAAGGGAATGAGTGTCTGTCTTATGATCTTATTCGATTTCAAGTACTCTAATGTAGTAATAAATCGTTTTGTAGATCAAAAGTTAGAATCAAGAATACATGCAGTATATTCTCTGTCATCATAAGATTTTATATGACGTAAATTTATAAATATAATAAAATTATATAACTAATTTCGTAATGAAATGTATTACACTATCATATATATAGAGAATCGTAGCTAAATCAATAGTTAGTTTAAATATTCGTACAATTTATTTTAAAATTGCAATTTATGGCGTAGTGTAACCAATGTATTTAAACTTTAGAATAATATATATAATATAGTCATGATACATGTAAATCGATAATTAGATGAATGCAAATCGTATGACAACTAATACTATTAAATGTATAAAAAAGACACCTTTCCTGCTTCGAACATTATTTCAGACTATAGAGAATATAAGATAGATTTAGATAATTAAATGGTATTAATTTGAAAACATAAAATATAGCATGTAATGTATTAGAATATTATGTGTACTGTATTAGAACATAGATGCGTATGTTATTCCGGGGTAGTACCCAAAATTAATAAGGTGGTCGAGTACCACTCGTTACCGATCGCTGCCCGCGGCCCGAGAAACTCGTGAAGCGCGGCCAGCGGGCGGCGCGGTACTAAGCAATGTTGCGGCGCGACAGAGCTCGGGCGCCGCCGGAGACGCGGACGGCGCGGCCGTAACTGCCGGACCGGCCGGACCGGCGGTCGTCGCGGCGGTAGTGAGCCCGGCGCCCGGGCCGGCGGCGCCGGCCGGCGGCGCGGCGGCGGCGGCGGCGACCGGACCGGCGAGCGCGGCCGGCGGCGGGGTGCGCGCGCCCAACGTGACGGTGACGGCGGGCGGGCTCCTGGAGGCGGACGCGCACATCCGCGTGCTGACGCCGTCAGAGATCATGCGCACGCTGCCGCGCCTCAAGCACGACCGACACACGGTACCGCGACCGCCGCGCCCGCAACACGCCGCGCACTCGCATACACACACACACACACACACACATACTATATTTATATTAATACTAGCTACCCGCTCCGACTTAACACGGTTTATACATATAATCCTTCCTCTTGTATCACTCTCTATTGGTAAAAACTGCATAGTTTTAAAGATTAAACAAAAAGTAAGCGTCTTCATTTTATATGACGTAAAGAAAAGGAACCTTTTTAGGAAAAATTCTTGGACGGTGGAATGGTTCGCACACTCATAGTTTGTACAGAGGAGTGCAGTTAGCTAATATTTTATAAATAGGCTTAGAAATACATTAAATCAATAAAAAACATTACAGACACTGACATGTATTTGACACAACACACGCATATATACTGTTTTATTGTTGATGGTCAATATCTTTTAATATTTGTTATTACCTATGCTAGTATAGTTTATTATATGTACGCTGAAGGAATAATATTATTTTCACCCCATTTACCGTCAAAGCACATCACTATTGCGTTAGAAAGAAAATTCAAAGATAACCTAGTCCCTCGACCAGGCTAATCATTAAATCACTTAATATATTTTTTAAAAAAATAATTTGAAAACAGTTTACACTGTTTGGAAAATTAATAAAAAAGTATAATTATATTTTAGAATTATAAATAGAATGGAATGTACAAGAACAGCACCATAAAATATAGGCATACACAAATAGAAAATATATATGTTAATTATATTACGTTGTAATTTATCTGTATCTATTGTAATACCAATACAAAAAACAAACACATATGTCCTACTACAAACAAACAAATAGACACATTATATTACAATCAATATACAGGATTACCTGTAACATTAAGTGTGTATGCGAGTTATTCGACAATTGTTGGGTGATCGCGCGATTCGCACCTCGCGGTCCGATGCACCTCGGTTCAATTTCAAATCATTCCAAATTTAGTCAGTTATCACCCAACAAATTTTGGCTGTTAAATGGCATTGTAAGCTGTGTGATTATTTTGTTACATTTTCTTTTAGCTTTTTATTAATTTGAATGAGGACTCCCGAATAAAGCGAAACGCCTCCCGGACTCGCGTCCTCTGTTTCCGTAATGTTACATTTTTTATTTACGCTTTGCCTTGGTAGTGTTGGCTATAACATGGACGCAATGGTGGCTGGTTGTGGTGCTAACAGTTCTAACATAGTACGACGTTGTGTATACTGTTCATTTGCAATGTTGCGCTCGTGTGTACAAAGCTTTATCATGTAGTGTTTAAGTTTGTTGGTAATATGTAATATGATATAAGATATATCGTGCAGACTAATTGATAAGGAATTTGTATCTAGGAATTGTTTTTCACTATGTTGTTTTTATTTACATACCCGTTTATACAAAATGTACAAATATGTCTGCGTAGTAAGCGGCATTTTTCCATCTTTATATTAAAATAGTGATGTAATTAACTTACAAAAAGAAGTACACTATTCGAGTAAGAGTTTTTGTATAGCGAATATGTTGTACAATTTCTGAGTATGCTATTACTTTTATGAAATATAGGTAGGTATATTCGATACCGACTTGTTTTACTGTTTACTGTTTTATTCATAAAAATGCTTGACACATTCTAAATTTGGCTACAGCATTTAAACTCTTCTTTCAATCCTTAATTAGAAAGGGACAAGAACGCGTTATTAGTTGAAATGCGTTCTTATAGGTGATATATATATTTTTTATGAATTCATCTAATAGTTGATATTTTACGAACTTTTTGGATGTTTAAGAACATCAGCAAGAAGTAATGATTCTAATTCTTTACAAATTTGTAAATACAAATAATTATGCGTACATATAGTTCTTTCTAACACTTCACAAAAAAATCTAAAAACTAATACTGAACCCGTGCTTGATTTCTAATAAAAACAAAAGTAAAAATTGAATAGAATCAAATTTGTATATAAAACACATGTAGTAATTTTAAAAATTAAAACAAAATCATATTCAGTGGAAATAGTATGTAATATTAATTAGTATAGATTGCCTGCACAGTTACCGCATGTTCAATAGTTTGAAGCCGTTGAAAATAGTAGCAAATTTACAAATAACAAACATTTAGTTGAATAGTAGTTTCTTGTTTTATAGAGTTCTCCTTTCACATATTTTATTATACTTTTTAAATTGAATTAGAATCGATTATCAATTACAAGCGGGATTTTAAAAGGGATTAGATCACAAATTTTCAATCAGTATGATCTAATCAATCTCTTCAATCTGCGGCTGTCATCCGTTCATTTTGGTCACTCATATCAATCATATGATTCGTACGCGTAAGTCATTTAATTAATGGAATCAGACTGATTCATCTGTATAAAGTGAATGATCGAAATGCAAAAGAATTCATTCATCGATCAATTGAACTGGTCAACGACCAGTTCAATTCGATATGCGAATAGTTAAAAAGATCAAATCTACTAAAGTAATATTACTTATATAATTAAATCCATACAAAGTAATAATCACCTCTAAACTTTCCTATTTTCTGTACGTAGTTGTTCCAAATCGTTCTATTTTTGTCAACTGTCGTTTCGGAATGGCGTAGATTAAGATCACTGGCTTAACACTACTTTCGTAGCATGGATTTTATGTTATAAATTCTTGTAAAATATTAAACAACAATTCTTTTTAATTTTAATAACAATTCCTTAAATTAATAATAATTATTTTACTAAATATTCTTTCTATATTAATATTCACGTCACTTTTTTTAAATTGATTCTTCATTACATATTTTTTATAATAATAATAAATATATTTATTATGGCATGGCCCAATTGTTAGTGACATTTTATTTCTAATCTAATATTCGTATATAACAATCGTAATATAATTAAAGTTACCTAAACCTCTGCTTAAGAAACACACCAACGATGTGTTCTATTATATTATTGGTGTTTGCAGTTTTATCACGATGTTCTTTATGTTGTGATACAAATTACCTATATGATCAATATAAAGTTAAAAAAAGATTAATTCAGATGCCTAAATGAAATGTACGATACACTAAACGTCGAATGTTAAGATACTTTTCTAAAGAGCTTTTATACATCGCGTTATAATTTAATAAATTTGATCTTGGTTCATTTAATAATATTTCTATAATATTCTTCAGTGACAACTTCATTTAAACTGTTTCCATTAAATTATTCCATTGTGCTGACTTTGGGTGATTGGGTGGTTGTTGTATCAACTGTTAATATAGGACCTTATTACGGTAGTTATTATTTTTGATGTTCCATCTAAGCATCAGGAAATACTTAATTTATCGAAAAAAAATACCTGCCTACAGTGGGGCAGTTGTATTTTATATTATCTGCCATATTATTTTTTCTACTACGATAGTGGCAAACAAGCATACGGTCCATCTGAGGGTAAACAGTTACAGTAGCCTATGGACACTTTAAACATCAGGCGTAACTGCGCTGATAAGCTGATGCTTAGTTGGAACATCAAAATAACATCTTACGTAATAAGCTATAGTTGTTATTATAAAAGTATATTTAAGATAATAATTGTATTTACGACTGTTGTAATTAAATAAAAAATACCTTTTTAATGAAACGAGAGCTCTATAAGATATTTAAGACCCACTGCTGGGTATGGTACGTCTCTATAGACGGAGGATATTGTCCTATTATTACCAACTGGTCCATCAGCGCGGTACTATTTTATTACTAGTTATCCTTTTAGAAATTTTGGGGATACAAAGGAGTGGTGACGTATATACTCACTGCGTTACTAAATGCCAACAACATATGCAAAATACTAACTCACAATGGCGATCGGTGTAGGAACAAGAGCGAGCATGCGGACAGCAGCGGAGCGCTCGAGAGGCCGAACAGGAGCGCCAGTGGAAACATCTACAACAGCAGCGACAGCAGCAGACGCAGCAGCAGCAGCAAATCATACACGACCAAAGGATACAAGGTACCTGCATACTATCAACGATTCTTCGTTCTACAATCATGATTTTTTTATTCTGGATAGGACTATTCATTACCCTGCAAAGTAGATTAAAAAGCTGAACACTTGAGAGGAATGCGAACAGTACTGTTTTGCAAAGTATTTGTAAACGATAGGTATGTATGATTCAATATATTTAATTATAATTTTTAGATGATATATAAAGATATACTTATATGTAAGTACATCTAAGTAAATTGACAAGTATTATTGGATCGCGATGGGTGTACGAGCATTTATATTCAACTCGAAAGCAGCGATGCAGCGGCTGCGGGCGCCGGACGGCAGCTCGCCGCCGGGCGGGGCCGCGCCGGGGGCGGCGGGGGCGGCGGGGGCGGTGGGGGCGGCGGGGGCGGCGGTGGCCGCTGCAGCCGCTGAAGCGCCTCGCAGCGCATTCCCCGCCCAGCGGTTCCCGATGCATTACGCCAACGCCAACGAGGACATCAATCGGCAGCTGCGCGATTTGCTACAAAGACACCCGGATAAAATGTGGTCACCGCGTACGTACACATGACTCTCAAATCGATGCCGAAATTACTGTTATTGAAATTCATTTGTTAGGTTATTATATACTTTTGTGGAATAGAGTATATAAACGTTGTTTTTGACATCGTAGTCATCGTACATTTATATTGTTCTAGTATATTGTGTTACATATCCAATATAATACTGGCTCTAATTTTTTTAATAGTTCGTAATGGAATTGTGCACTAGCTTACGCTAACCATTTACGCTGGCGTGGCATCAGTGGAGGATGATAACATGAGCAAGAGGTCCGGTCAGTCAGCTCGTCGTGACAAATTCGTGATGGTTTCCATGGAGAGCTATGTTGAGGTCAACCTGACAATTGCTAGCAATGGGGTGATCAGTCCACATTACTAACAATCCCCTTTCTCCCATACTGGATCTGATTACTATATATTTTACAGTAGTATTTTATTCATCACAGAATCTGCGTCCGATGATGGTGGTGTTCAAGGTGTGAGCTTAGAAGGTCAGCAGTTCCGCCACCCGCTTCCGGTTGGCTTGCGGCCACGAACACCCCTTCAGCCCGGCCAGAGGCCTGACCATCAGCGTAAGTTCTTTTTTGTTTGTCTTCAATACTTAAGACTACTACAATTTTTTTTGGTTGTACTTCAATCACCATTGTGGTGGTGACAGGACAGGTGGCACAGGTTTAACAGATTGCCTTAATTTGTACTATTTATTGCAGTGATTATGCAACAACGACTCATTGCAACTGAGAATAGTCAAATGCAACAGACCATAGTGAATACAACTCAACAAATCGTAGAGCAAAAGACAAATATCGGACCCCAAGGAAATGGTGAGAATTAACTAATTTACATTTTAATTAGAATGGTTCTTAGCACAATATGTATTACATTTTGCTTGATGATTTAAGAGATTGGTGTGATTGTAACGCATTTATTGTTTACTAAATATCTTTTTTTTCTCCACAATCGTTCTTCAAGTTGAATGAAGACATAATCAACTTGTTTTTAGGGTGGAGTATAATAAAATGGAACTTGTCAATTATGAGAAGTAGTACTAGCAAGATACCTTGCTTCCCGGTGCTAAATCTCTAGACAGTTTCAAACATTATAACTGTGCTTATTGTTTAAAGAGAAAATGTGTTTGTTTTTATTGTACTCCTATGTATTTAATTTTTTTTTGTAGCTCATGGAAGTGACCACAAGCAGGATACTGGTCAAGAGCACGGAACTGATGAGATGGATATGGGAGATATGGAGAAACTCGAACAGGATACAGGGAATATTGGCGAGGTACAGAGATGATATTATGCATGTGTAGTAATTATCTTAGGTAGTTCTTACTTATTTATCACACGAAATACCTAACCTACTACCTCTTTTTTAGACTACTGATATTTATTGGCGATTAGGAAATTATAATATTCGAGAGTAAAGACAAATAGAGAAGTGAACCAGAAATCAAATCGAAATCTAAGTTTCTAACCAATTTAGTCAAAGTTTGTTATTTCGATGAAAAACAATTTGGGAATTTCTGAATAAAGTAATAAGCTAAATTGAAAGTAGTTGTAAAAATGTACTGATACTATATTTACATGCAACTTGTTCTGTTCATTATTTAATCCTATACTTTAGTATAACAACATTTTTTTAAATGTTACAATAATATTGAAATTGGTTAATTGATTTTGAAGGTTGATAGTTACGCAAGTGTTGCGGGAGTTTAGTATAAATACTCTTATTATGTGGTTGTGTATGTAGGTTGATAACATCTTGACCGGTCTTGGCGGCGAGGATGATGAAGAACTGCTGGAGTCATTGACAGCGGAGATCGGCGAGCAGTTTAATATCCTGGAGTACGCGGATCCAGAACTGGCCGCGCTTAATGATGCCGAGCATCTGCTCGATGGACTGGAGCTCGCTGAAGACAACATGCCCGAGCGACACGCCAAGCGGGAACCAGAGTTAGTATTACTACTATTGTTATTAACATTTATTTTTAGGATTCCGGAACAATACGATATAACGGAAACCATACAGTGTTTGATTGGCTGTCCGTTTTAAGTAGACAACTCCATAATACAAAAACTACTATCGATTTTTAATTTATATACACAGGCACATACTGTTGCCGAAATTTTATTAAAAAAGGAGAATATAAAAATAATAATTTTTCATTGACAGGGTTTCGTAACATATATTGAAAATTTTAGGCATTTTTATTTATATAAAGTCAACATAGAGAACAAATCTGCTGTAAGCATTTTATGCTATTGTTTTCTCACTATTATAGATGATACTTTAATTTGTCTAGGGACGAGGCTGAACACAAACCTGATATTAAAATGAATACTGATTTACATAAATCTGTAAAGAATATTGAGATAACAAAGACGGAGATGAAAGCAGAGTTACAAGAGGTGAAGGCTGAAGGTCAGGATCTAAAGCCAGATGGTACACCAATGGGTGCAGTCGGCCAGATTTTCTGCAGAACAGATTCTGATGGAGTGCAGAGGGTCATTACACAAAATCAGCAAATGACGTTACAGGTTGGTTTCAACTAATTTTGCCATTGTGGCGAATATATGCTTTGTGTAATGTAATACTTTTTATCAATCATAATCGTGGTCCTTCGTACCGGATATTACCCGTAATATTTATAATTTCTTATGTATATAGATTTGTGTTGTTTGAACGAATTCTGGTCATTGTCACTCTCTATCAGATAAGCCGCTGGCTTATTTGGCATTTCAAATTTCCGCAGACGGCGATACAATCGATAAAGGCGGAAGTGAAGTTAGAGGGCGAGGATAAAGGCGAAGCATGGCGCGGTTCACCCGCGCGTCTTCCTGTGTTTGCGTCCGCCCCCTCGCGCATGTCCCTGCCTTTGCCGGTATGTACACAGAAACTAAACATAAACAGAATCATTTTTGCACTATTAAAATAACTCAATAAGATCTCAAATACGACTTTCCAGTGGGGAAGGGCATTTTTAGTTATGTGGACTAATAACCCTATTGCTTGCCATGTAACATGTGAGGTTGATACGGTTCTGGAAACCATCGTGATAAATTCGTTGTGAATTTAACATGATGGCCTAAGTGATCTGACCTCATGGATTTTTATCATCTTCCACTGGTGCCTGGTCAACGTAAACCCTTAGCGCAGGCGGGTGCACTATTCTAGTATCATCCATAGAAAAATGCCACTTTTCCTGATTAGTGGTATAGAGTAGAAGTAATTTTTTATCTTGATAATTCTTGTTCGTAGAAATTCTATAAGCAGATTTTTTTAACGGATGATAATGATATCCACCCGAATGCACTGGCGGTATGAGCTGGAGACACTGATGGGGATGATGTCAGATTTGTTAAACCATCGTGCTGAATGCACTAGAAATTAACCGTGATGGTTTCCAAGTTAGACAGCGTTCACATTCAACCCCAAATTATAACTAATATGGTCATTAGTTTCTATTACTAAAAATCCTTTTCCTCTCTATAAATAGATTATTTTGATAAAAAAGATCATATAGTTCATTGACTGCTTTGCATCTAGTATAAACAAAAGCCATAATGGCAACGATAATATGACTTTGTTTTTAACACAACAGCAGGGTTTGGGCCAGCGGCCAATACAGTTTGGACAGGCAGGCCAGCAGGTGATGACTCAACAAGTGGTGCAGCGACCGCAAGTGCAATTCACATCACAACATATGCACTTTGGACAGGTACAGACTGTACAGTAATAACATATATGTAATGTACAATTAATCTGTGATGTATTTATGAAATCAAACTAAAATACCCTCATTCTTCTGGGTGTATTGATACTCTACTCGCTGATCTGTAATGGTTATTAAAATCTGGCAATTCTTTTGTGGACGTCCGCGCTACAGGGGGTCAGTGCAGGGTCCAATTTCTAATCAACTTTATAGTATTTGTATGTTTCAAAATAAATATAAAAAGTAAAGTTATCTCATTTTCTTTAAGTAATAATTAGTAACCTTAGATAATTAATACAGCGCCATCTAGTTCTACGGTAAGCAGATCTCGTGTTATGGGCACTAGACAACTGATATTAATACATACCTACATAATAGCATAGAAAACACTCAGACCGATACAAACAATCATAGTCATGAATGGAAATATTAGCACAATTTCAAATATTTGCGTGCGAGGAATCGAACCCGCGACCGCCGGAAGTAAAGCGGCGTACTAAACCGCCGGACCACCGAGGCCGTCGATACAAAATATTTAAACTATTTACAATAACGAAACGCGACTCGATGCGGTCAGGGCGCGGCGGCCAACCCGGCGAACGCCGTGAGCGCGGTGAACGCAGTGAACACGCAGAGCATCGTGAACGCGATGACGGCGCAGGTGAACGCCGCGCTGGCGGCCGGCCGCGCCATCGCGCCCGGCACCAGGCTCGTCGGCGCGGACGGCGCCGTCGGCGTCGTGAGGCACGACCGCTCCGTCACGCTCGCGTCGCTGCCGCACTCGGGTACTATGCCACCTCTTTTTATTTTTGTTCGATCTTTCCCGTCTCAGGGAAAGGCTCACTGCCGTACTCGGGTCCCACTGAGACTCGTGGGAGCGGACGGCGCACTGGGCGTAGTGCGACATGACCGCTCCGTCATGCTCGAATCACTACCGCACTCTACCCGAGTGCGGTAGTGATTCGAGCATGACGTGACTATACAACCTCTTTTTATTTTTGTTTGATCTTTCCCGTCTCAGGGAAAGGTTCACTACCGCACTTGGGTACGTCACCTTTTCTTTGGTTCCGTTTTTCCCGCCTCACTTGGCAACTTAGCCCATATAGCCATTAAGCATTTACACGTATGCTCTTTGAATAGATCATGCAAGAAAAAATGTGTATGTAACTGTTGATGAAGATAACGAGAAAGAAGCGCGCGCCGCCAGCCAGCGCATGCTTCAATCGTGCGTGTAAATCAGATTATCATTGCTAAATGGCGGATATCTGAAAAATATAATTATAGAGTTATTGCTAATTTATAAAACTTAAACCCGTATCCGGTAAATAAAATCTATGCAATTAAAATAAAATTTTAAAAGAAAGTGATACGATATGATTCATATACGCAAACACGCATGAAACTAGTTGAATTGGTTCGCTATAAGTACATAGAAAAATAATTATATGAGGTTTCGCTACTTAATTTATTTGTGTCGTGTAATATCTAGGTAAGAGTATACATGTGTAACAATTAAACTACATAAGTAAGTTTATTTTATAGTAAACTACATGGCATATTATTAGTAACGCGTACACTCAACCTGGGGTCATAACGTGGACTAACTTTATACTGAAGTTAATTCAAATTATGTGGACATGTAAACAAATGGAAGGGTGCCATTGCGAGGGATATAAGGGTGTGGTTCGTGTTGCAGCGGGCGTGGGCGCGAGCCGCGCGCCGCCGCCGCCGCCGTACCCGGGCACGCTGCGGGCCGCCGGGCCCCCGCACGCCGCGCCCCCGCCGCCCCCCTACCCGCAGGTGAGTCCCCACAGCCCCCGTCGACCTCCTCCTACCTACTACTACCCGGTCATGTCTACATGTCGCTTGTAAACACGGCGTCACTCTCATATTTCAGAATCTTTCGACACTAGCAAAAGTCTAATATTATTTGTAAACATAGTAAAAGCTACAAAATACTCTGCAACGAGAATAAAGATAAATTTCTACAAATTGAGCACGCTACCCACACATTTGAACCTAAACATTTTGGTATAAGAACCGACACGTGTTTTGTGACACAAACGTTTGTTCCAACTTTGAAACACATGATCAACTTCAAGTACCACTTTCATCAAGATTTTATGAACATTTCCATATTTGAGCTACATCTGGCGCCGAATTTACAAGTGACGAAATATATTACCAATAAAGTCAATAAACTATGTCTATAAAGATCCATTCTAGCACAATTAAATAGAAAATTAAATATAGACTTACCTCTACATACAGAGACACGTGTATTTTCAAGGTAACTTCGACGATTATTTGTACACGAATTGGACAGTACAGTGTATCAGTGGTATCAATAAAAAAATAAACTATAACAACTGCTTGCTTACACGAGTTTACTCGACATATAAGCAAGCAGTAGAACTTCAGTGTATAAATATAGTCATAAAAGATACAAAAACAATCTGAATGCTAACTGAATATCAGATACTTATGATACTGAAACACTTACCCCAAATACAAAGTGGAAGTATGAATATAAATTTTGAATAATTATACTAAACTGATCACAGTTTAATAAAATATTTACCAATTTGCTTCTTTGAGACATTTGTTTGTATCATTTATATATATATATACTACTATGACTTTCGTCTAAATACCCTGTATATACTGTAATATAATGAACAAAAAGAAAATGTCTATGATTATTGCTCAAATAGTTATTTTATTACTTCATCGTACGAAGTCGCCTTGAATACACCACATCTTTTCAACTTTTTACAAATAAATCGACCTAATATTGTAGTAATCTAGTCATAAATATTACTAGAACTTACAAATTAATAATTATACTAATATGCCGATAAGACTTAATACCATTTTAATTACTATTAGTACATCTTGGAGGATTTTTGGATACATTGTCGTGCATGCAGTAATATTTTTTGAAATCTACGTGTTTTTTTGTGTGAAATTGTTTCGACTCCCGCTACATGCGTCGAAACAAATTCAACAGCTTTAAGTGTATGCAGTAAAAGCTTTGGTTCAAAGTTTAGTGCCGCTATTTGTTGTTCATTTGGAACTATAGAATGAATATCGACCCTAAATATGAACCATTAATAATGATGTTCATAATTCGCTTAGTTTTTTATCGCATCGCAGACAATGTGAAGTTATTTGCGTTACCATATCCAGAGCAATATTAATTTATCTACGCGTTGGTGGCGGTTCGTTACGAATGTAAATACATATCAAAATCAAACAGATCGCTTGATTCATTCGGTCGGTTGAGCTTAGAAGACTAATATTGCATGGGTATAATGTAAATCCGCTTAAAATTCACACGAGCTTCATTGGAAAACTTATTATTTGTTTGTAAAATTTCCACAACGAAAGTCACACAAATGAAGATACCTAAGAATCTAGTTTCAAAGAACTTTTTGTATTGTAAATTGTTGTTTTAGATACTATAAATAATGGCTTAGTCTGAACATGGAATCGTAAAACTTGAGTACGGTTCATGCGTCGATCGACTTGGTAATGAAATTTAGACTTCAATATAAATCGAATATTTCGTATTGAACTAACATTATAGTCTGATACGACGGTTTTCATTTTGGTACTCGTGGGACATTTGAAATTGTACAAATAAAAACATATTGTAAGTAATCGTAAGCTCGTGTGTATGGAAGGTGGACGCGTGTAGGCTGAATGTCGACGGTGGAGTACAGGCGTGTTGTTTGCATGTCGGTGATTGATGGTTGTTGGCGCGGGCAGGCGTTTGACGCGGCGGACGCGTGGGGCGACTGGCTACACCGCCGCCCGCTGCTGCTGCAGGTCAGACATCGCATCCCCACCACCACTACCACCACTACCTTTGTAGTACCACCTGCACCTCTACCACTACCGCGCTAGCTTCCTACCTATATTTCAGTATGCAATCTAGATACAATCATTGTTATAAAAGGTTGCCTTGTGGCAAATAATATATATATATATATATATTATGTAGGAAATCGAGGGCTAGTCACAATTTATAGAACACACGAAGCCACTGACAGCCTATCACAAATAACAACAGAATAATTGTGTTAAATTCGACATCATTACATACAAAGGCAACACAAATTGAGATTATGAAGTTAGGAAAAGTACAAGATTTCGTACGGCTCGAAGGACCAATATTGGGATCCTATTTGTCGGAGATGAATAAGCTAGTGTGGACTGTACAAACTGGTATAATTTAACTATCACCATATTTAAATCATAATACGTTATAATTAGAGGGGAACGTTAGACATATGGTGTACTGTACAGTGAAAGTAAGTCGATGCGGGGCGCCGTTCCCCGGCCGAGCCCAGTCGTTCAAGGCCACACCACAATTATAAAAATACACTAAAAGATTTATTTATTTTATTGACATCTCAAATTACATATCCAGTTATAGGTATATTAACTATTATTCCAATTCTCCTCTACCTTTGCAGTCTTTCCTTTCCGCATCCTAACTTTTAGGTCTATTATAGAGTATGACAGGCCATGTCACCGCTGGCCACTAGGTCTGTTTGCTTTTAACTTTGCTTGTTAGCTCGTCGCACGCATGCCTAATGACTAACCATTGAACCTTTTCAGCATCCTTCCTAACACAACACTAACTCTAGGTGTAGGTATTACATTGAGCATTAGACAATGATAAATATTCAATTATGGCCTCCATGCCGTATAGAGGAAATGTTGACATCTCGCCTGTCTCATCTTGACTGTTCGGTGGAGGGGATTCATCTTCATGGTTATGGATTATTAGGAAGTGTTAGGCTGACAACAGAAGTATATGTTGATTCATATACTATATATAGATTTTCTGATTCGTGACCATGTTGTTGTATATCTCTAAAAGATATATAACAGTTTTAAGCCCATTAATGATTATTTCGCCACATTTGCATTTCAATTTTAATCAGGTAGTACTTAATATAGTTTAAGAACTGTAAAGCTTATAGTGTAGTGTATATTTTATTAAACTTTCGATGTCTACTAGATCAAATATAATACAAACTTACTGATAAATTATGTACAGTTCATACCAGACTTTTATAATAGTGATGAGTAAATTTCAATTGATTTATTGCTATACAACAACATACACTTGTTTTAGTTATCTTTCAGCACCTTGTTGTAGTTTTACTTATTGTTAATGAGCTCTTCAAATAGTATTGCACCCATTTATTATTTCAATTAATTACTATCTTTAAATCGTAACGTAGTGAGCTGTTGATAATTTGAGTCACAATACTTCTCGTAGTGCACAAATTATCTTCACTTTCGAAAACCGCTGTAGCGTCGTATATTTTTAATCGCTTATTCTACGTGCGACGCTGGCGTAGATAGTAAAACTTCTCCAAGAAATTATTACTTCATTCTTCATAATTACTTCGTCAAAGATGAGACCGGTAAAAGGGATTAAGTAGCTCCTAGCAAATCCTTCGTTGTCGCAACTCAAAAAACGAATCAGTGCGCCCTTTTGGACGATCATCATATTCGCAGTAGAATACGAATCGCCAGGTCAAGGGTGGCGCGCGACGTCGCCTAGGCGGCGACGTGAAAAAGCTAAATTTAACCATCAGAACGTAAATCAGGAGCAACCGTTGCTTCTGGAGGAGCTCCTGGAGCAGGAGAAGCGCGAACAGGAGCGCGAAGGCGGCGAGTGGGTGGGCGCGGGGGCGGCGGGCGCGGGCGGGGGGGCGGGCGGGCCCGGGCCCGGCGCCGCGCCGCCGCCCGCCGCGCCGCCCGCCGTGCCGCTGTACGCCGCCGCGCCGCCGCCGCAGCCGCCCGCGCCGCCCGACCGCGCGCTCACCGACGCCGACCACCACGCGCGCCTCGCCTACGAGCACTGGCTCAAGCAGTTCAACGCCTACGCCGCCGGCCAGCAGGCCTACTACGAGGCCGAGGTGCAGAAGCTCCGCAAGATGCGCAAGGTGAGTCGCAGTAGACGCTTTCGTGTTCGTGAGCTTGTAGTGGTAGCGCGGTGCCGTCCTCCTCTCTCGCAGGTGCCACCGTCCCGCGGCCTCCTCCGAGCCGCCCATCGCCCCCGCGACGCTCACTCGATTTGCGGTTTCATCTGAGCTATCGACCTTCCAGTCGCTGAACAGCAAGCAGCGTCAGCTGCGGAAGTCCGGCAACGAGCTCCTGCCTGCCGACGCGGCCGAGCTGCAGCGAGTGTCGTCGGAGCAGCAGGCGCTTCAGAAGCATCTGGACGCCGCACGGAAACAGGCTCGCCAGCATGGCACGCTTATGCAGGTTCGGTTTATTATACATTATTATATTACCTTTGTGTAACAACGTAGACGACTTGTGACCATATTTTTTTTGTGCAGGAATACGAGACAAAGCAGCGACAACAAAATCCTCAAATGGCTCAACAGACTGTAATAAATCAATCGCAACAGATCGCCACGAATCAAACTTTGTTCTCGCCTAATCAGGGCATCACGCAAGCGACTCAAATGCAGCAACAGACTATTAACCGGCCCATGCAGCTGGGGCTCCAGGGTGCCACGATTCAGCAACAGCAGACCCTGATACGTACACAACAGACGGTACTGAGCGCGGACGGTCAACCGATGACTCAGCAGAGGATCGGGCTAGTGACGTCGCCGCTGAATGCTCAGGGGCGAATACTTCAGGGGCGCACTCTGGTGATCGAGCAGGGCGGCGCGGCGCCGCAGCAGCTGGTGCGGCAGGTGGGCGTGGAGCGCGCGGGCGGCGGGCTGGTGCAGTTCGGCGCGCAGCTGACGGCGCGCGCCGCCGGCCCGCCCGCGCCCCGCGCGCCCCCCGCGCGGCCCGCCATGTCGCCGCTGCACGTGCAGTCGCCGCACGCGCACTCACCCTTGCACCCACTCGCGCCGCAGTCCCCACTCCATCACCTCACCTCTCCCATGCAGTCGCCGCTGCACTCCCAGCAGTCTCCCCTTCATCACACCTCCCAATCTCCCTTGCATCCCTCCACGCAGTCCCCGCTCCATACGCAGCAGTCCCCGTTGCACTCGCAGCACTCGCCGATGCACGTGCAGCAGACTAACTTACCGCAGCAGTCGCCGATGCATCCCCAACAGTCGCCGATGCATCCCCAGCAGTCGCCGATGCATCCGCAGCAATCGCCGATGCATCCGCAGCAGTCGCCGTTGCACCCGCAACAGAGTCCGATGCATCAGCAGTCGCCCCTTCACCAGCAACAGAATCAGATTCAGACGCAACATTCCCCGATGCATCCGCAGCAGAGCCCGATGCATTCGCAACACTCGCCACTACATTTACAACAGTCGCCTATGCACACGCAACAGTCGCCGATACAGACGTCTATGTCGCCGCAACATTTCCTGCAGCAGTTGCAAGCTCAAAGAACTAGTCCTCAGTTACCTACACCTAGTCGTAGTCCTCAGGTTAGTATACTACTACAAATAACACTATAGCGAAATGTAATAATAATTTAGACAAGAAGTATAAGTTCATACAATTCTTGTTTCAGATTTATCAACAGTCACAAATTCAAAGCCCTATATCGTCGCAATCGCCGCAACTACAAAACGTAAATATTAATATGAATTACTACAATTACTATTTAATCGGTGGGTGTAATATTAACATTTGTCTTTTGATTGATAGGCTGATTATACAACGGGGAGATTCTCGAGGCCGGCGCCGGGTTGTTCTCCTTTACCGACAAGATTTGCTAGACAACAACAACATCATCAACAAGGTAAGAATATTAATTGTAATAAATTTCATGAGTGAATTTTCTATCAAACTTGTTAATTTAGAAGTTTTGTTGTATCTTAGCTAAATTTTAAATTAAAACATCTTTTTTTAACGTATTTGTTTTATCTAAATACTTATTGTGTAGTTTTCGACTTTGCAGGTATGAGAGTGGGCGTACCGTTTGGTAGTAGGCAACAGACGTCACCTTTGGGCAGCCCTCAACCTCTGCCCTCACCAGGAAATCCGGCGAATGAGATGGCCGTGAGTAATATTTACGAAAATAAAATTTAACAAACCACATGTGAAATGTAAATTAAGCATATGTTAGGTAGTACATTTGGTTTATTTAACACTTTTCTCTTGACATGCAATAAATTATATCTTTATTTACAATGGTAATGCAGTGAATAACGTAGTAAAATTGTACTATTATATATTTTACACTTCAAAGTATTATTGAATCGCTTCTTCTTCGACTTCTTAAACTTCGATGGACTCTTATTCAATTTTACAGCGTCAACAGATGTTGCAACGTCAACAATACAGTCCTATGGGCGGCGCGCCCTCATCGCCGTCGCTGAGTCGGTCGCCGCACGTGGCGCGCACGCCCACCCCGTCCGCGTCGCCCGCCGCCTCCCCCGCGCCCTCGCTGGACGGCGGCGGCGGACACCTGGGACACCACGTGGCGCCCATCCCGCCCGGCTACCGCTACTGCAAGCCGGGGCTGCACGGAGGCGCGCCCGTGTGGCCGCCGCGCGACGACGAGCGCCGCCGCCCGCACATCAACAAGGTCTCCATCCTCAAGCGCCGCACGCCGCCCCGCTCGCGCTTCACCGGCAAAACGCCCGCGCCCACGGACGACCGCTCCGACGACCTCGCCGACGCCGACCGACGCAAGTACGTCCTCTACGCCTCCGAAGACTATTCCGCGCAGGCCGACGCCGCGCGCGGCTCCTCCGACCACGACGACGACGACGACGACGAGGTAGAGGAGTTCGTCGAGCACCTCGACGACGACGATATCGTTCTCGTAGAGCCCGGCACGATCTCGCCCGAGGAGCGCATCGCGACCGAGGAAGACTTCGAGGAGCTGATCGACAGCGGCAAACCTGAGGACGAGGAGGAGGAGGGCCCGCCGCCTACTTCGACTCGCACGGAGACCGCGACTAAAACGGTGGCCGTGATCAGTCTGTCGACGGGCAAGCAGCAATATAAAATAGTAAACCCGTCGTCTAGCTCAACTTTACCGCGATTGCCGGTTCTCAGTGCTACAGTACTGTCACCACATTCCAATGCTAAGATACTAAATGAAGTGTCTCAGGCTACCGTCGCTTCTGTTTCGATAGCGAATCAGACAATATCTGTACCAGTTCTAAAGAACCTTTCCGTTCCCCTAGCAAATGTAAATGCGAGTGGTGTCGCGAAGACTCATATCAAGAAAGTTCCTCTCAATTTGGGTAACTCTCCTCTAGCCATTAACATGTCATCGACGCCATCGCTTTCAAAAGCGACCAGCTCGGTAATAAGTGTAATATCATCTAATGTGCCCAAAGTAGCTAATATTAACCCTGTAATTACTCTGGCTACATCAAATACAGTTGCGAGCACATCTCGAGTACCCGTTTCTATATTGACGCAACATCAGGTAAAACAGAAAATAGTTAAAACGATAGAGAAACCAATGGGACTCTCGTCTCTGTCTAATACGAAGCTTTCTAGTCTGTCTGTCACACACGACGCTACTCTTCCAGCGAAAATATTCCAAGATGAAGCCGCATCGCCTGATAGTACAGTCACATCTGAAAGTAATTCGGACAAGGACCTATCAAATCCAATAACTCTACCTACTCATCATCTTGCGGCCATTACACCTCAGAGCATATCTCATGATCAAAGGCCCTCACCCATAATCAAGGAAACAAATAAAGATATAGACATAGAAACCGAAATAAGCCAGCAAACTGAGTTACCACATACATTATGTATAACTGATCGTACACCATTGTTACTAGGTAAGGCAGATATTAAAAGTCCAGATCCAGTACCAGAAAAAATTCCAGATAATATTATGGAGGGTGATGATGAGGATAAACCGGAGGACAATATTCCAAATAACTTGTTATTGTCTTACAATAAGTCGATATCAGAACCTGCAAGTCAACAGAATACACAGCCTATAGAAAATAAATCAGAAGAGGGTGTGGTGAAAACTATTAAAGCAATTGCTAATCAAACTAAGGAGATGGTGATAGACTCAAATATGCAAATAACATCGGACATGGCGCAGGAGTCCGTTCAAATATCCATACCATCGCCGACGCCATCACAAGAAAGATATTTGAATGACATTACAATGCAAGAACATCAAGAGACTGTAGAAGGTAATTCTAAGCATGTTGAAACATTTGAAGATATGCTTTGTATGTTGGAAAATATAACTGATGAACCTAAAACATACGGGGTTAAGCAGCCGAATCCAAAAGTTACAAATGCCAATGTTCAGAATACAAATACAAATGCACCTGCAAAACTGGATATCAAAGAAAGCCAGGATCAGTTGACTTTCCCAAAAAGGGAACCTGACAGACTTAGTTTACAGTCGGCAACTGTGCCCCAACTATCCCCTTTGTCTCAACCATCTGAATTGACTTCTAATATGGCAAATGTATCGCAACAGTTGCGCACTATCATGTCTTCGATAAACACTAACGCGTCAAAAGTGGATAATCAAGTTGGATCCCCAGTAATAAGAAAGAACAGTGATGCAACTACACCAACTCAAGTTAATTTTGAAAATTTGCTACCTTCATCAAAAGTAGAAGTGGCAGCGTCAAGGCCCTCGCCTGTGCAAAGAATCGAAAAGCCTATTACATCTTTAAGTAGTTCGGATAACAATATTCCTTTGAGTGTTGCCCAAATGATTGGCTCTCGTATTAATACATTGTCAAGTTTAGGTCAAATGAGAAAATCCCCTACAGTCTCTCCCATTAACTCCCCAGTGAGTATTCAAAATCCTCTAATGAAATCACCTGCTCAGTCTCCTTTGATAGGAAATCAAACTTTTGTTTCTAGCGAAGATTCCAATCCAACTTCTGTTGCATCACAGATGATACAAATGCCAGCATTATCAAAAATCCATAGCAGCACTCCTCCGACTATAATACATCAGAATATAACAAGTATTACGACAAGTGTGAGTAGTTTCCCTAAAAATCAAGCGTTGCCAACCAGTATATTGGGCCATACATTATTGCAACCGACGAGACAAATTAGTACAAGCAATATATCTTTTAATCAACAAAGCATTAGCTCCAGCCAACCACCGGCTCTTGTAATGACATCTCGACCTTTGATAGGCAACAAAGAACCTGCACCTAATGTCACAGTTAGAACTCATAGTATAGTAAGTCCAGGAATTAATTCTATGCAAGCGAAACCTCCTGGTACTATTAATTTTATGCCGACATCTAAATTACATACACAACTGACATCGCCATTGAAAAGATCCAAGTCGACGGATGAACCTAAGACTGATCTCATTGTGGGTCATATACAACCTACAAAGAGACACAGCGTAGAATCTGTTGTGGTTAAATCGGAACCAATGGAGACCGACGACCCTAGTACTTCTACTGTGGCTACAGATGTTACAGGAAACAAAATCATTCAGCAGAGTGCTGCAAGTCAAAGAAATGAGGAATCTCAGAACGTTTTATTAAAGCAACTATTACAGACTACTACAACAGCGGCTACAGTGGTCCCGCAACGTACAATGACTATTCAGCGAACTGCCCCAGCATTGGGCACAATACCGTCATTAGAAGCACAGTTGGCGAGACCTTCCATACCCCCGCCTACATTGGCGCTCACACAAGAAGTTGAATTACCTAAGAACTCACCTCGCCATATAACAACGGTTAATTCGCCATTCACTCCTCGACCAATACAAACATCCATACCAACTTCTTCTATATCACCTTTGATCCAAACATCTACACAATCATTAATGGATATACGTAAACCTCCTATGAAAATAATGACTAAAGAAGAAACTACGCCATTACCTGAAAGTTCACCAACTATGAAATCAATGCAAATGTATCCCATGAGTATAGAAAATCAACAGCTTCAACAGGCCATCAAAAAAGAAATAGCACCACCGTTACAGAGCCCTGTGCATAGACCTTTCACGCCTATGGATGTCAAAAAAGAACTAATCGATGAGAGTTCTCAACAGTCCGCTACATCAGGAGTTTCTACTGCCTCTGACCAAGGGAAAATGGATCAACCGCTGAAGGAAGAATTTCCAGAGAGTGTTACTATGGATTCTACTTTGGAAGCCAATGCCCCTGAAACACCATCTGAAGCTAAGAAACGGAAAAGGCGAGAATATCAACAAAAGAAAAGAAAACAAATGCAAATGAATATGAAAGCTGCAGCGGAGAATAATTTAAACTCAGCTAACGCTAAAAAGAAGCCACGGAAGGGTTCACGTTACGAAGAAGATTACGATACGTTTATTGATAGTTTAATGACGCAATTACGTCTGTTGCCGCCGATGCAAATTCAAGAACCATCCCTAACAACAAATTTCGCAGTTTGTCCCCTGTTTGGTTCAGGCGACTTGACTAAATTGAAAAGTAAAGACTACGATATTTTAAAAGGAGATTTAACTGGAGATTTTGGCAATGCAAAGATTCCAAATGTAGCAGATTACTACAACACAAAACCATTTGGAGATGAGGAACCATTACCAGAGAAACCAGCGACATCAACTCAAAGAGGTTTTTATGATCAAGAGTTTCAGCCTATTATGTTTGATGATGACCCCGAAGATAAAAAGTTGGACTTTATTTGCAAAGAACGTGATACCGATACCCCAGATACTATAGTTAGTTGCTCCAGTCCCGAATGTATGGATATCGAACCGGCGAATCGGTTTCCTGGTCTCAGGCTTATTGATGATGATGAGGAAGATGAAGACAGTGATTCTGCTTCAGGTCGAATATCACCCATTATTCCTATAATTGCGCCTGTACCGATCAGAGTAAAACCAGTTTCTTTATATCACTTAAAAGATGAAGATGAAGTCCAGAAACCTTTGAAGACTCTCGACAGCGATTCTGTAGTCAAAACAAAGATGATTGACTCTCCGGGCAGCACAGAGAGTAATGAAAATGTTACTGTTACATTAACACTAACTTCTGGCGCAGCGGAAGATATACTCGGCGTACTCAAAGAACTTGCTGGTATTTTGCATATACCACCGCCCACATCATACCAGATTATTGAAAGAACTGCAACACCACCCTCACATAAGTTAGGACTTTACAGATCTAAAGGTAAAGATGGTAAAGAGGGTACACCTATTGACATACAGAGTATACTAAATGGAGCTGCTAAATTCTGCAGGCATTGTGATGTAGTTATATTAGACTCAGTGGTAAGAGCTAAGGCTTCCGAATTTCCCCTGCTATCTGCCAACAAGGGTAATGCTGGAGAAATTTTATGTGATAGTGACTCGGAATTGTTCTTCTGTAGCCCTCAGTGCTACGAGAGGTTTGCTTGGAGACCAACTAATATTATTCTTGACGGAAAATCAAAGGCCGCTGTCAAAGAAGATAATAAATCTGACGTCGAAACTAATTTATCAAAAGACCGAGATGATTTCGATACTGCCTCAACCGAGAGCATGGAAACGGATGATCTCGATATTAAACCTGATATAAAAGACGAAAAAATGGACTTGTCTTTTATAGATTCATTGGACAACGATGAATTAATGAAGGAAGTTGGTGATGACGTATCCGTTTTAGACGAAGACTTGAAGAGTGTAGAACAGGACGATAAAAGCAATCAGGGCGTCGAAAGAGAAAAATATAGAGGAGTGAGATATAAGGCCTGGTCTCCAGGCTGCATCGGTCCGCCAGCTAAATACAAACGGCCCACAGACAGAGAGCTCACCGAATTGGTATTCCGAACAGGTGTGGCTATAATGCCTGTAACTAACGAGGATTCCCGACGCTGTGAATTATGTGGTATTCAAGGCGACGGCGTAGCCGATGGTGTCTCAAGACTATTGAATTGTGATGTAGACAGATGGGTTCATCTTAATTGTGCACTATGGTCGGACGGCGTTTATGAAACTGTTAGCGGTGCATTGATGAACGTTGAAACCGCTCTCGCAAACGGGTCCAGCGCGACGTGTGTCGTTTGCAAGAGACTGGGGGCGACAGTCCGTTGCTTCAAGGTGCGATGCAGCAGTGTTTACCATCTCGGATGTGCGGTGAAGGATAGCTGCGTTTTCTACAAGAACAAAACATCTTATTGCGCGTCGCATGCTCCCAAGGTGAGTGAATCGATATATTGTATTTATTTCTACCTTTCGCAAATGAGAGAGCGGAAAATTACAGTCTTATTTATTTAATAATTTTATTGTAGAATGAGAAAGATAACGAGTTAACGACTCTAAGCGTACAACGGCGCGTGTATGTATCGCGCGACGAGCAGCGTCAGGTGGCATCTGTGATGCTGCACTCGGACACCAACCATCTCATCCGCGTGGGAGGCCTCATCTTCCTCAGCCCGGGACATCTGTTGCCGCACCAGTTGGCTGCATTCCACACGCCTAATTATATATATCCTATTGGGTACAAAATTGTGAGTATAGTTTATTTGTTTATTTTGTGAGCTTATATTACTAAGAATAGTGTCATGTTTCCATGATTATACTTATTATGTAAACTCTTCTCCATACAAAGTGATTCGATAAACTTTCCCATTTATAACACCATTTAGGACTAGATGACTTAAAGATCTCACAGAATATTCGTAATTAGAAGAAAAATTTTACTTTCTGTATTTTATCAATTAATTTTGTAAGGGGTCATACATAAATTAGATTTTGAGATTTCAATTTTAGTATTAAATCACATCAGGATTAACATATCACAAGATATGACATGGAAGGCGCTAACAATTACTGAACTTTTCGTGACTTAATGTTTTATGTGAGTGTTTTACATATACCCGAATAATAGCAGATTATTACCAATATTTTAGGCTTATTGATTATTTCACTGTTATCGAATAGAGGTTGTGTATAACGTCGGTGGTGCTGCACAGGTGCGGTTCTACTGGTCGCGGGCGCGCGCCAACAGCCGCTGCCGGTACGTGTGCTGGATCTCGGAGGAGGCGGGTAGACCGCGCTTCCACGTGCGCGCGCAGGACGAGCCCGGCGACGAGGCCAGCGCCGCCACCCCGCGCGCCGCCTGGGCCGCGGTAAGTCTCCTCCACATCTCGACATCTCGCTCCCAACTACAAACAAACAGGCGGCCTCTACTATCCACCGCATGTAAGAGCTGTGATATCTGCGACTTCTCGACGACTCGCTCATACCAACTAACTAACAATATGAAATTCAAATTGTTGTTCAAATGTTTATGTTGACAGTTAATTCAAAAAGATTTGCTAGGTACGTAGTGAATACTCTCAACGCTAGCGCTAAACATAGCTTTAAGTATATAAAGTTTGATCAAAATATTTTTATATTACCATTCCGTGTCATAGCATTTTTTAAATTTTAGAAGGTTAGTAAATTCTATGTTTACCGTTTTAGTCATTAGTTTTATTAATAGTTGTTCCAGTAGTATTGGAATAATTATTAATAATAATATTTCACAGCTCATTGTATTATCGAAAACCAGCTTTACAATGTGATAACTGTTGTAGGTATTAGACGCGGTCGCAGCGCTTCGGGATGGACGCGGAGAAGAAGGCGTCCTTAAGTTATGGCCGAATTATGTGACTGGAGAAGATCTTTTCGGGCTCACGGAGCCAGCTGTCGTAAGGGTACTCGAAAGCTTGCCTGGTACGTTGAAAAAGACGGATATTTAAGATTTTTTCAATTTAAAATATCTACTTACCTACCCGCCTACACGTAGTAGACTGTAGTGCTGTTTAAATAGGTGTAAAAGCGACGATTGCCGTTTCATTTGGATTAACATTGACAATACGATTTCATCTGGTGAGCCAAACAGAGACAGAGTAGAAGTTCTTGAAGTTACTTTAAAGATATCATAGATCGGGCTCATTGGTTCTTTACAGAGCGTATACAGCGCACATATGTCTATATGCGTCTCTCCAACCATTGAAGATTTTTTTTCTCTTAATTTTTAGCTGCGATTTTGGTATATCTGTTTATATATTTTCTTGTTTTATAATTTTATACCATATATATTATATTTCTGAGATATAAAGTTAGTAAAGTTCACCTACAACGACCGATGGTAGAGTCAGTCGAGTACAGCGAGTGGTGCGCGTTGCAGGCATCGAGACGCTGACGGACTACCGGTTCAAGTTCGGGCGGTCGGCGCTGCTGGAGGGCGGGCTGGCGGTGAACCCGTCGGGCTGCGCGCGCTGCGAGGCGCGGCCCGTGCGTGCCTGGCGCCGCCCCGCGCGCTCGCTCGTCCCGGCCACGCCCGCGCCCGCCTCCCACGCGTCCCACGCGTCCCACTCGTCCCACTCGTCCCACTCGTCCTATTCGTCCCACCCGGCCCTCGCGTCCCTCGCGCCCGCGCCCGGCCCGGACCACTCCACTTCCAGCGCGGCCAGCGCCTGCCCCTACACCAAGCAGTTCGTGCACACGAAGAGCAGCCAGTACAAGAAGATGAAGTCCGAGTGGCGCAACAACGTCTACCTCGCCAGGTGATCACGCTGTTACTCTACAACAATAACTGCCTAATACATTTTTATTTCAAAACTAATGATAACCTAAACATCATATCCCACATAATAGAAGTAGACATTTATGCAATATTAAAATGGTAATAATGGTTTCTCCATAAAAATAGCAGAAATACCAAAATGACATTGTTGAAAGTACAAGTAAAGCATACTTGTATTTTCAACAAATGTGATTGTTGTAAAATATTATTTGTCGTTCTTGTATATAGGCATATTAACAAATATAAAATAACTTTTTTTATATGTTTCATTTATTAAAACTCTAATCACGAAACAGACTGCCAAATATGGTACTCATCGGTATGCACAAAACGGCATCGAAGAAGCTTCTGTAACTAAAACTTTTTATTGTTTCAGATCAAAAATCCAAGGTTTAGGATTATACGCAGCGCGTGACATTGAGAAACATACCATGGTAATCGAATACATCGGAGAAATTATACGTTCGGAATTATCGGAGATACGGGAAAAGAAATACGAAGCAAAGGTTAGTTTGTCACATAATGCATATTAAACTCAATTCATCATATGAATTCTTTTGAAAATAAATCCTTGAACATTTTTATATTGGCTATATTACAATTTTACACTCTATTATGTGTTTCGTTAACAATTTCCTAATAATTTCTACTTAAAATCTGAACTTAAATGATGGGTTAGGTTTCTTTTAAATGAACAATTCAAATTTTAAAAATAGATGTGTTCATAGAGGGCATAAGAAAATTAAGTTTTTTGTGTCATGCCTGACCATAGTTATAATAGATATTTCTTCGAGATATGTCATTGTTTACAATGCCTTGCTATACAATAACTGGGCGGGTGTTTCTTTGTTGGCGTTGAATAGAATAGAGGCATCTATATAGTCCGACTGGACGAGAGGCGCGTGATGGTGGTGGGCGGGAGTTGAGGTGGCTTAACTATTTTAATTTACTAAGGTGGGGCATGGCACAAAAAAGGGTGGGAAACACTGCTATGATAGAAATAATTTCTGTGAGATGTATTATTCTGTAACAATGAGTAGACGATTGTTTCTTTTATGGTGTTGAACAGAATCGAGGCATCTACATGTTCCGTCTGGACGAGCGGCGCGTGGTGGATGCGACGCTGAGCGGCGGGCTGGCGCGGTACATCAACCACTCGTGCCAGCCCAACTGCCAGGCGGAGACCGTCGAGGTCGACCGCAACTTGCGCATCATCATTTTCGCCAAACGGAGAATCTCGCGCGGCGAGGAGGTACACATACCACGCCACTATATAATGCTTCGAATTAAATAAAATACTATGAAATACACTCGTTTTCGCCTATTTATAAATTACAGAGGAAAATACAAAAATTGTTGTATTAATATTAACATCTATATAGTATATAGAAAAAATAAATATCATACATGCATACTTTTGTTTCAGTTTGAATCTCTGTTAACTAGTTAATGGGATAAAATTAATAGTTAGCTGTTCTGTTAATTCTTTATTAGTATTATTGTAGATTTTTTTTTATGTAAAATATTTTGGGGCTTGTTTGTGGAAACCTGATCAAGATAGCCAGCTTGACGCTAAGCTTACAGATATAGGTATATTTCCTTCTGTAGAATTAATTTATAACTATTTTATAATTACAGCTGGCTTATGACTACAAATTTGATATAGAAGACGACGCCCACAAGATAATGTGTATGTGCGGCGCTCCCAACTGCCGCAAATGGATGAACTAATCTAAAAAGTCAACGAGACGAGACAGGAACTAATTGTATTGTGTGATGCAACCCAGTCCAGGTGTATCGCTAGTGAACAAAATATATTATAAATGGGTCGGTTATAGTGGAGGAAAGGCTATGATACCTAGTTTTATGTACCAAAGTGATCTTCAATATAATAAGCAAATTAATATTTTAGATGAACTTAACAGATTTCACTGCGTTAAGCGGCGTGTGATTTATCTATCAATAAGACAATATCAAAAGTTTTACTGATGATTCCCTTAAACTATTTCTATTTAGTAAGTATAAATATAATAGATGAAACATTTTTGTAAATAATATTGAAAATATATAAATCATTGTTGTTACTCGATTTTAATGTTTTAGATGTGGATGTTTCCGAGACTACTGTTTAGGTAATAGTTTTTAATAATATATTATCTATGTTTTTTAGCATTTGTTTTTCGTTCAATGTTTCTGATTTTGTATAAAATATAATCGTGACTATTCTAAATTATTGTTATACAAATTTGTATTCACACAATTATGTGACTATCAAAAACTATCAAAAATCACAACACTGATGAAATGTTAGGTTAAGTTACCAAATAGATGAGTTTGCATTTAGTACGCGTAGCACTAGAGATGTAAACAGTACCTACATGATGCCACGTTGTGCCTGATCCGTTTTGTATGTGTGTATTTGTAGCGTAGCTTAGATCTACGGAACACCACAGCGCGCCTTCGGTCGACGAACGTGATTGTATGATAGTGTATAGGTAGTTGTTGGTGTGCGATTCCATACAAGCAACTGTTCTATTGTAGTTTGTTAGTATTGAAATGAATTCTACTTGAAAGCTGTGACTAACATTAATTAAGTATTTGACGACATGGTGGTTCTTGCTGAGTTTAGTTTAGATAATATTTTTTTTAATATATCTCGAATGACTGTTTTATTTTATTTTCTAATCTTATTTCATGAAACTAAATTAGTATACACATTCTTGAGGTATGGGGGAGGGGGAGTTTCTCAATCCGAATATTCTGTCGTTTTCATAAAAATCTACTTGAGGACTACTCTCATTATTATTGTAACTTAATATATTGCAATGATATGTGGAAATAATGGAAAGATTGTATGTATTTTAATAATATGAAAGTATGGAATCGTAAGTAAAATGTAGGTAGTGTAATTTATTGAATAAAACTAACAAATAGTCCCAAATGTGATATTACCTCACATAAAGCGCGTGAACTTACATTATGTAGTGGCCATTGTAGACTACGACTAGTAAGACTTATTTATATGGAAAGTGTAATGTACCTAAAGGTTTGGTGCACGCATATCTACATTGGTGCACGCAACGGATGTATTAGAAGAATTTACATAATGCTAAACGTGACACGTGCATGTAGAATAATTGTAACACATGGTACACACGGCAGCAATTTTGAGCGAGATCGAGAGACGGCACAAGTGCATTTGTAAAGGTTTTGTGGTACGCACGGTACCGTTTTCTGTTTGTTCATATATGATGTTATACCCTCTTTCACTCTACATTTAATAAAACCATTGTTTAGCAAAATCAGCGATTTACACTAACTTTTAATTAATTAAATTAAAACTAATATGTGATATAATATATGATAGAAATATAATACGTTGCCGTCAACCAAATATGCCGCAGTGTGTACGATGGATAATATATGAAGAGTTTGTGTAATATTGATAGCACAAGGAATTTTTGTTATAGGTATTCGCAGGTTGCCATCTACCAATGTTATGAATTCATGCAATTTATTTTTAAGTGTTAATGTGCAATATCATATCTTGCTGATAGTATGTAAATAAACCAATTGCAGAGTTAATTAAGGATCGTGATTGAGCGGTTGTATGTATGTTTTAATGCATTGTTTATAACTGAAGTTTATCATTTTCTTCAATCAATTTATTTATTAAAGCATTCCCATTGCACTCAAATTGACTCAATTATTTTCACAAAAAAAGAATTTTTAAATGGTGTTATTTGTAAAATTATTACTTTAGAAATATTCTATACATTAGTATTTTTATTGCATTATTTTCCTATCATTAAAATTTTAATTAGTATACACTCTTTTATTTCTTGACTTTGGCGCAATATGTAATAAATGTATTTTATATTTGCACAGGTCGTGATTCACTACGACAAGCTATTTTAAACTTCTGGCAACATTTACAGTATATGAAGTCGTCTATGGTCAGTTATACTACTACTGATACATAAATCTGAACTACAACTCTTTACACAGCGCGTCTTAAATCTAGGACAGCTTGTGTTATAAGTACTAGACAACTGTTAAAGTACATACATTTCTTTTATAAATACGTACCGACATACACATTTATATAGAAAATACCCAGACCAATACAAACAGTTGTAATGTACGAGGAATCGAACACGCGACTATCGGAAGAAAAGCAGTGTGGTAAAGCTTGATCACCGAGGCCGTCAAATATTGTATAGTGGTGTAATTCTTTTGCGAGGTAAGTGGTTGCGTTTAGAAGCACTTGAGTGCTTTGTTTATCCAGGTTGTAATATTAATATTTTGTATTGTATGTAATCCAGGTTTTCAGTTCCTGGTGGGCACATGGTAATGTAGGTTGGTAGGTAGTACGATATTATATTACCGCACCAACTTATTAGATCGATATATTCTCTGGATTTATTGGTAAGTGAACTAATTGCGATTATTTATTTGCCAGTTGAAAATTTAGCCAAATTAATTTAGGTACTATTGATAATATTTATTGCCAATATTCATGGTCTATGTATAATGAGACTATATTTAAAACCACCGCCGATAATTCTGCATCTAAATACTATTTCCCTTTTATATTTATATAAATTTATGGATTAAACATCTATAAATTTATATAAATACAATAAATTTAAATAAGACTTATCCTTGTGTTGTTCCATTTTAAATAAAACAATAATATTTTATTTCGTATAAATTTTATTACAAATCTTGTTTTCTGGACTTAACTGCAAATAATATACCCAAAAACATTGTCTAGAAGAGCTGGTGAGCCAGCAGATGTTGATCGCGACAAATTACTGGAAACGGCTCGTCTTTATATAAAATGGCTATATTTTAAAACTATATGTCGTACAAAACACGTACAACTGAAAACTATAGTATCTATAACATAAGTTTCACCTGAACAATCCTGAACCTGAATAATTAAACATGTAATAATCGTCATACATACATATATCAGTCTCTTTCTTAACCGACTGACCGTGAATGACGATTTTTGTCATAACGTTATTTCATTATAAACTTTCTGGAACATTTTTGGTTGGGCTTGCCAAAGAAAAATATTCGAGAAATTTCTATCGGGTTGTAATGTCCATATTGTGATGTCTACTAATGAGTTTCTATATATTTTCGTTTGTGCTTAGAAATGCAGCTCTTCCAACTTAAATTAAAAGAATTCTGTTTTTTTTGTTACACATAAGAGCCAGACGAGCGTAAAATTCCGCGTACTGGTACTTTTGTGCAAAATAGAATAGAAGGAATTACATTGCACACAGTCCACATGCGGCGGAACAGATGACAACATTGTCTTCAGCGTAAAAGTCACTCGGTAGGCTTTGATTGGAAGAAACTCAACTTCTCGACATTTTATATTCAAATTCAAACTCTATTACAATGTAAAATCATTTCATTATCGATCTACCACAAAGTAGACTAGCCGCTCCGAACCCCACACACTATTTAAACAATCCGCAAAATATAATCAAATGATTGAAATAATTTACAGAAATATAACTCGTCGTTACAATTAAATATACATACAACGCAGTGAGCAGTATTTGATAAATAATTCAGGTCAAAATTATCACTCAATACAGTTGGAATGAGAGTAACAATATTAATAATATTTAAAATTTGAATTTAATTACATCTTATAATAACACTCCGGCTCCGCAATGAGCCTGAGCTGATTAGGAGAAATATTGTCTATTATGAACTGCAACAAATCAGCATTTAAATTGCACAAAATTGCAACTGTGGTGTAATGTGTGTTGACCATGGAAACTATACATACAATGCTTCGCACCATTAGCTTATTTATATAGACACAAATTTATATTGTTTCATAAACACAAAGAACGTACAGGAGGAGAAGCGTTCAGTTCTTTACATACTACGTAAATTGAAAGGTTATCATTTAACAGCCAAACAAATAATCACTGAACAACTAAGAACTATTTGTTATTATAGCTGAAATATATTTTAAACCGCAATACGTGTCTCGCTAACTAGTAATGTTTATTGTAATATGGGTACTAAATAGTACATTTAAATCTGCTTTGTACTATAATGTATGTACGAAAATTCATAATTAGTCGGAATGTCCCACATTTAATAAAACTACAGAAAAAGTATATAAAAATAAGAATACAGTATGCCAAGGTAATACAGGTGAGATTCACCTCTTAGAAATACGAAATACTAAATATAAGGACAGGACAGCGAAATTAAAAACGTCAGATTACTAGTTAGCGAGTGAGGCAGCTTACAGACGGGCGCATTTCGAACTTCACACAATTAGGTAAACGTAGCTACTTGGATATCACCACCATTGAAACGATACCAAAAATAAAAAAGACTGCATCTCTATATAGGTGTTAAGTACACCTATTGATGCTACAAACATCAACTGTTACCTTCACAATCAATTGTAAAGTATAAAACTGTTAGTTAATTAACTTACTAATGAACTAAAATAGTTACAGCAATTCATCACACCTTCACAACGCAGTGTTCATTATGTAGAGTATTGATACAGTACTCGAGTTGGATAACAAATAATTTTCCGGATCCCAATATAGGCAGCTACGTTTGGACATTATCAGAAAAGCATACGAGTATAAGCTAGCCCGAGTGCGGTGTGTTGGCGATGAGTTCAGTCGATGTACTGGGCGAGCCAACGGAATCCTTCGCCGTAACCCTGTCGCTTCAGTACTGAGCACATGAACAGTTCCAGCGGCCGTCCAGGCAGCTCTGATCTGGATACTTTGCCCTGAAACCAATGATTGATGACAATTTTAGGATCAGGAGCACCCCCGATTTAGTCAGGCAGAGAGCAAGCGTGCGCAATCGCCAGTAATTGCTTTTTCTATTTTTTGTGTTCACTCCCCGCGTGATTCATATCAATTCACTTTGTTTCATAATTTTATTTTATATTACACAAATTTTTCGGTCGAATCTAAATCATTTTGCATGGATAATTAATTATTATAGAAAGACGTCAAACATGCACGATTGAAGAACGCGGGAAATGCGTGTGCGTTGTTTCTGGGTCTCTTTGTCTGACTTTACATGTACTCTTTTGCCTGTAAACGAGCGTACGTATAAGGCAGCTCATAACTCAAATAAATAATGGCATTAAAAGAATGTGTTAAATATTAATTCTAATCTAATTATTGTAGATTGTAAGCATCTGTCGAGATGTGGCCACATCAGACATATTTTAGACACAGTTCCTTACCTTTCCAGTGGTTTGTTGATAAAGGTTGAAGAACTGGCGGAGCTCGTCCTCGCTGGCCGCGCCGGGTTTGTCGATCTTATTGCCGAGTATGAGTACGGGACAGTTGCTGAGTGTTTCGTCTGTGAGTAATGAGTCCAGCTCGGCCTTGGACTCGGGCAGACGCGCGCGGTCGCACGCGTCCACCAAGAAAACGATCGCGTCCACGGCGGGGAAGTAGTCACGCCACACGCGCCGCGCCTGCTGATGTCCGCCCAGGTCGAACGTTGTGAAGCGCATACTGCCTATTGAGAGCTCTTCAGAAGCTGCAAAAGTTACAAGTTATTTTAGTTTACAATTGTGAACTAAATAATAAGCAACATAATGTCACAAGAATAATTAAAAACAAAGGTATTGTATAAATTATATTGTTTAATTTAACAATAAATAAATTGATAGTGATAAGAACATGCATGTTCATCTCTTTAGGATAGAGATGTTAAAAGGCTAGACCATGTATCTAAACAGATGACATGGCTATGTCATAATCTTAAATTGTATAAATATCAATATAAAGCAAATATGTGTAAATATATGTAAGTATAAGTATATATATAAATGTTATACAGAAAATGGTTTGAACATTTTTTTATTATGAATGGGTTTTGATCTTGGTTTTAATTCATCTGATGTGAAATTATGACCTAGATAGTATGTAGGGTGCTTGTCATCAATTGAATGAAAATTTGTTCTTTTTTAAGTTGTTATTAATTAATTTTAAAAGGTATATTTTAAAACTGTATTTTCTTTAATATGCTACTTTATTGTCATCTGCTAGATACAGATATGTGGCAATATATGTTATAACATGTATGAGAATGTTTAGTAAGTAAATTTGTTGTGAGATAAAGTATGGCTGACAGATAAAAGAGTCTTCATAATCATATACATGGCAATGATGTGAGTATTGAAGTAGTAGGGATGTAGATGATGTAATTATTGCATAAATTTTTGATAGTGGACATGAGTCCTTCCTTTCCACAGATTTTTTTCAAATTTACCCAGTAATTAGCATAGCAACTTATGCTATTTTGTTATCAATTATATCAATTATAAGTATATGAGCAATATAATGTGGACAACTACAGCAATAGTGACTACAACACAGAATGTTTTTGAAAGACATATAAATGAGATACAGCTTGTTACATGTTTTGTATACAATTAAACAACTCACTAGGATGTAGTGTGGGTACATGTTGCGCAAGTCTGTCATCCTTTAGCATATGCAGGAGTGTTGTTTTGCCAGCATTGTCCAGACCCAAGAACAGTAGTTTGCCAGATTTTTTCCACAAACCTGGTAATAAAACAATTTTAATAATATGTATTTCTCAGTTAAAACACATAATAATACATTAATTGTCTATGGTTTATGCATTTTATTTTATTTTACACACACTTTAAATTTAATATATTTTATCTGATATGACAATATGTAATATGTTAAAATAATAAAAATAATCAATTCCATTTATATTGTCCTAACACATCACATGTATACATATTGAAAAGCTTGCATTAATATTAATATCAATATTAGCTGCATGTAATATACAGTAGTAGTTGATAGTGCTTAGCATAATATTACTTATTCAATCTCACCAACTTGTTACTGCACAGCAATGCCTCAAAATATTATTTAATTTTTATAGTATGAATTTAAATCAAATTACGAAATTTATACACTCACTCAATATACATAAAAAGTGTAAGTGTTCAAGGTTAGGCAATTAATGTTTTTTGTGATTGAAATTATTTGTATTAAAAATAATATGATAATTGTAACCAACCAAACCAACCAACCAACTCACCAAGGAATCCGAGGACACCAGTAAACCAGTCTAAAATAAACATATTGAATCTGGAACAAATAAAATTGTATTACTTCAGAGCATTACCTGCATCTTGACCATATTCTAAGATGAGTAATGACTTGCCTAAATCATTGTTATCTATTGCGTAGTATATACGGTAGACAAAAAGTTCAAACGTTTAATTGAAAAGTGCATTTATACACAAGTCACGGATTAGTTACGAACGATTAAAATATAGTGAAAAATTCTAATGAATTAAGTAACATGAATGACAGAACGTAATTCTTGTATAAGAATCATCAAAGATGAACAACAATAAATTACAAACGTAATACTCACTTAATAAAATTGAACTAGATTAATTAATACTAAAGGATGTATATCACAATACTTCACACTTATTTGCAATATGTTATGTTGCTAAAACCGACGATTTTTTTAGTTTTTATAGAAATTTATTGCAATGTGAACATGAATCTGTTGGCAATGAATGACGTACGCGACTCAGTTTTGCCAACTCTGTTTCGTGTTTTCGGGCTAAATCACTCTAATAGAAAGCAATATTTGTCTATGCGTATATTGTTATCTCAAATAACATGACAATATTTTCACTGCGCTTATGCGTTCTTTTTCATTAAAAATTTTCTACTCAAGTAAGTGTTCATCTTTAACCACATATAGACCCCATAAAGAGGTTTTGGTTCAACTTTAAATATAAAATATATTTAAAGTTGAACCAAAACTGTTTTATCCTTTTTTTACAGATTTATTAGAAGCCTTTATTTGTGAAATATTAAGATTATATCTGACTACTTATTAAGTGTTCAATTTTCCTTGCAAATGAAAATATTAAAATTAAGACTATAAACATATTCAAATTGTGTTCAACTGTTCAATGATGAGAAAAAAGATTACAATTCACCTAGAAACAGATAAGTTGGCAACATTACTGCGACTTCCGGAAATTGTCATAACATAGTGACACGGACTACGTTCGGATACGTTGATTTGAGCTACTTTGCAAATACAAAATGTGGAATTATTTTGTTATTTATATCTCGCATTCTTAAATTCTTAACTTAAGCTCACGGCCATATTACGTGCAGTTAATATATTCTGAATTAGAGGTGCCGGGACAAACTAAGTAATAATTTCTTAATAGATGACACGGCTCTGTCTTATTATATAAATGAACTCTTTATTGCACTTGTGATTTAAAATGTTACATTATTATAAAAATGTAAAAATATATTTCAGTTCATATTTATCAACAACAAAGTATATTAGAGTCATTTCTAACATAATCGACGAATTGCCATTTGTAAAAAAGAAGTTACCTATGTAAACACCAAGTTCCTCTATATCTTTCTACTTCTTTTTGGTTTTGACAGATTTCAAATACCATAGGTATCTCAAAATTTGTTAATAAATTCATAATATCTTGTATTATTAATAGAAATATTATATTGTATCATAGAAGTATAACGAAAGCGATAACTGTAACATTAAATCATAATCATAACTGTGTTGATTGCCCTGATTTTTTAAGGTTAAATAAGTGTTAAAAACTGACATTGTTTTCAGGCTAAACCATGGCCCCTAGGAAAAACAAAGTTGCGAAAGAGGAGGCACAGGTCACCCTCGGTCCCCAACATTTAGCTGGTGAGACTGTGTTTGGGGTCGCTCATATCTTTGCCTCATTCAATGACACATTCGTACATGTCACCGATTTATCTGGCCGGGAAACCATTGCTAGGGTTACTGGTGGCATGAAGGTTAAAGCTGACCGTGATGAGGCATCGCCCTACGCAGCTATGTTGGCCGCACAGGTTAGCTTCAAATTTCTTTAAATCATAATAACAATTATTTTTAGGTTATGTTTGGAAGCAATAAGTATAGTACACGGGTAATGGTTTTCGTTGGGACTATTTGGTGTCTATGTCTGGACCAAGTGGATTCAGCTAACTATATTATATAGATTTACATCCTAATCGAATAATCACTACCTATGTTTCACAATTGCCTGGGAAACTTCTGGTTGCAGTTTTTATACATATTACACAAAAATGAATATCATAAATATTTTCCATATTAATAGAGAATAAAGCTTATTAATTAACATCAAAATGTTATGAACAATATATATTTTTTTAATTTTATATATATAATTTTTTATTATTTATTTTACATTAGCTATTACCTGCAAATTAAACTGTTTATTTAAATAAGTAAATTTTTTATAATAAAAGTATTCTTGTCATAATCATTCCAGCCACTTCAGATTACCAAGAACGAACAGACATACGAACAAAAATCTTTAATTAAGTACTATATACTAATTCATATGCATTTAGAGAACAGCTGTTAATTTGAAATTACAAAGAGACACTTCAGTTTTATTTATTTGTATTGATGTAAGAAAATAAATAAATTGAGTAAAATCAACTGTAGGCTTTGTAACAAATAAATTAATACAAGAATTAATAATAGTTATTATATTACAGATTATTTTACAACTCCATACCCATGGTATTCCAAATAACAGTAGCTATACAAATACACAAAAATAATGGAAGAGTTTCACAATACATTATTGAAAACTACACCCAATTTGGTTAAGTTGTGTCTGAGATTAGGACACAAGGACAGACAAACAAAAATTATAACATTGTTATAGATTCTATTAGTCCACCAAATTTGGTTATTGTCATATATCTTAAATATGGAATATGTGACTTTTGTATAAAATATGTATGCATAGTCCTAAAATTTTCAGAATCTCTGTGTCTATGTTTGTGGTAATCTTAAGAACTATTGAATGTATTTGGATGTGGTTTGCATTAATCTACAGAGTAATTTCTGAAGATGATTTTGTATGTAATGTAATGACATACCCGTCTGAGTCTGGAGCGGATTGAAAGTGTAATACGAGAAATGAATGTCTAATCATAATACATTTTAGCAATTTTAATGAAAAGACCATTGTTATGCATATATATATATATATTAAAATGTAATTACAGGATGTTGCAGAGAAGTGCAAAACCCTTGGAATCACTGCTCTGCACATAAAACTGCGTGCTACTGGCGGTAACAAGACAAAAACTCCTGGCCCTGGTGCCCAGTCTGCTCTCCGTGCCCTCGCTCGTTCAAGCATGAAGATTGGCCGTATTGAGGATGTCACACCTGTTCCATCAGATTCCACTCGCAGGAAGGGTGGTAGACGTGGTCGCAGGTTGTAATCTGGTAGTTTAAGTTCACTGTTTGCTTTCAATAAAAAGTTAACAGTACTCTAATGTTTTATTTCTATTCCCTGAATATGGCTCTGCCACTTCTATATCAGTTTAGGTTGGTGAAGTTAATAAACAGAGATTCTGATATACCTCGAGGAGTATTACTTAAATGTAATGTATATTATGTACATACATTACATTTAAGTAATTTGTAGCCTTACCTAAGAAATTACTTAAATGTTGAACAGTATTTTACTAAGACTGCCACTTGTATAGGTCCTCTGTCTACTATGAATTTCGGTGGTCTAAGTTTCTGGGCGTGTACTATGTATGGGCATTAAAAATAAAAAAAAGTAAAATTAATTATCCTGACTCTTTAAAATATTGATATTAATATGAGTCTATTTTAGTGATGAATCAAAGCATGCTAAGTATGACTTCCACCACATATTACCATATCTACTGCACTGCTATTTTTTTTAATAGCGAATACTGGTTTCACTTCATAGTCACACTGACTGATTTTTTTTAAATAATCTGCATCATTTAGGGTATTAGAATTAATTAAACGACATATTTTGGTGAGAACATCGTATGTTTTTATTTTTATCATATATTATTATTTGAGATAAATAAATAGTTACTATTTTAATAACACTATGTTTTTCTACAACAAACAATTCTTATGATACATATAATTCTGAATTTAGAAAGATGCAATGTAAACGAGTGTTATTTTATTTTATATAAATTCAAATTACAAACATGTTACAAATGTATTAAAAGAAATATTGCACTACTATTGGACTGTCTTATGTACCGACATGGATACATAGAAGAGCATAGATTCTATGTGAAGATAAGGAACTGTCCACACGCGTTTGTTAATCTGCGCAGTGCCCGTGCAGAAGTGACAAATTATGCAATGTCTAAAAACATTTAATAGCCTGAACAAGTGTATCTATCGCTGCTGCATTCATGAGTAAGGCCAAGAAGTTAGAAGTTGCTGGCCGCATGTCAAGTACCGATATATTCGTTTGCCACTTGTATAGGTCCTCGTGTCTGTACCAAAGATATGTTCGACACCACTTACACGCCAAAAACATTATGGCAGTCTTGTACATACTGTTATTTAAAGCCTTTTTACATATATGCAAATCAGAAATATACGACTATAATATATATGATTAAATTGTTAAAGAAATTAAATTCATTAGCAATTACTTATGTAGTGATTAAAAAAAATATTCAAATGGAATTATCTAGTTACGGGCGACCTGACGGAAACAGATCACCGTTGTCTACAAATATGAAGAACATCCTGGATATTATAGGACACCCAAGATGCCTACTCTATATTCCTTGTTTGTTCTAAGAACAAATAGTCAATCTTTCATATCTATTAAATTCACTAGTATATATATAGATATATAGCGCTAAAACAATGAAATATTATAATATAATACATCTCCCGGCCCACTGTAAATATGAACACATTTCAACACGTCACTTCTACGTTATGAAAGCGTTAATTTACTATGATGCTACAACATGTATGCTACAGTGCAATCAAAAAAAAGTAAAGAGTTAGTAATTGGAATAAATTGCATCTTGCCCAGACTCGTTCTAACGCAATATGTGTGGACATGTTACAAAAAAAAAACAATAACAATATTGATACGGCTCAACAAGTGTTCCTGTTGTAATATTATTTACTAATTATAATATAAAGCTATTTTATATTGGTAAGTTGGAAGGGTATACCAATCTGAATTTCAGTAGTATTAATGAAATAGTACAACTCTTCCCAAGGAATATAATGCAAATATAACAATATCCCTGGACAATTCTTATAGTGCCATCTAATTCCAAGCTAAACAAAGCTAGTGTTATGGGTACTAGTATTTTATGTAAAAACATACATAATATTCATAGAAAACACCTAGACCGATACAAACTATATTCATGAATACAATTTTTTGTACCGTGCGAAGAATCAAACCCACGACTACCGGAAGTAAAGTGGTGTAGTTTAGCACACTAGCACACAGGTAGTCTACAGCTTTCGTCGAAATATGAATAGGACTTAAATATAAAATAGTGTATCAGTAATTGTTAAAAAATATATTGTCATATTTTGACTATGTTCCCAAGAGAAAGCGATTCATTTCTATTTGGTACCATTGAGTTCTCGGTCAGTATACCATTACCAACTTATCCTGATAAAGTTTCCAGAAAATACAATTAACACAGAAATATGTGCATTTATAATATACTCGACACGTTTGTACACGCGTTTTGCTAAATTTCACAAATTTATGAGATCATATAATATAGAAAGGTTGCTCCTGGAGCTACTATACACAACTACAATTTCATTACACTTTACAATTTACCACAAAATTTTACATTTTCTATGTTTATGTCTTTTAAAACATTATTTTACACAATTGTATATTTTTATATGAAAATTGTTATTCAAATTACAAAAGTTAAATATACAAAAAAGTTTATGCTACAATTACCATAAAAATTATGCTAGGGGAGAACACAATAATTTTTACATATTTCAGTCAAGTAATAACATTGGGTCAACAAAATATCCTAAGCTGCAATATTAAATTCATTACGAATTATATTAACTATACAATACGTTAAAAACAAAAACGGTTAATAAGTACTTAACATGTTTTGTCGGATTCTTATCTCGGAAAACATAATTTACATAACAGAAATTAAACGTGTATATCTTCTAACGTGGTGGTAAACATCAAATAGAGTGCAGCAAACGTTTCAGTGCTCAAATTTTATCAATACATTTAATTTTTACAAAATTGCGAATGCTATTTTATGGCATAACGACAATATCCTGAGTGGTCACTGGACGTTACAAATCATTACAAAACAATTCAATACAATGTTCTTGTTTCAAGTCGAGGAATAATAAAATATTATTCAAATCAAATACAATCGGAACAAGACTCGAAATGTTTATGAAACTGAAAGCTATCTTTCTAATTACAAAATAAAGTTTTACAATGTATTAAGGTACAAACATTAATATACACTATATTGTGGAATTTGTTACGAACGAACACGAGCACAGGTATATTGTTTTATATATATTCAATATATATTAACACAGAGTATCGAAAAAGCTGTATAATCTGTACCGGTATTTACAAGTACAGAGGACTACATATGTATAGAGTGTAAGCTTGAGGAACAGCTCAATCTGGGAAGCGGTGTTAGCAAACAAAAGCATGAACAATACGAAAAAATACTTTGAATTTCACCACTTCTAAGGACAAACTGTGATGTCTGCAGTATTGTTAATACTTGTGTTCAACTATACAACAGTCCTAGAAAGTTTTCACTCTATATATATATGTAATCTGTGTTAACAAGGCACCAGAGAACAAACTAGATACTGATTGAAGCAATCATGCAGTCACTCCGACTAGATCCCGCTAGACGTGGTGCTCGGGTGCAGGTCTAGCGCGTGGTTTGCGCTACAAGCCCGTCTTTAACCTTATTTTCTTGAGGTGGGAGGGCGATGGGTTGGGGAAGGGTCTTCGTTTGCCGGCCAGTGGAAGTGGCTCCGGGCGCGGGTGCAATGCTGTCCCGCCTTCGACGTCCTCCCACACGCCCACGAGATCATCAGAGGAGGACGACACGCCCGCTCGGACAGCGCGTGTCGCACGACTAACTCGTCCGCGAGCTCCCCGCGAAAAACTACGTTTACTCAGTTTCGTAGACACCAGCGATGTCCTCGGACTCTCTGAGTCGTCCGCAGACCGCCTGCTAAGTTTCGCCTTCACCACCCCCCCGACTTGAGTCTTACTCGAATTCGGTTTCCGAACGGCAAGTACATTTCTTCGTTTCGTCGATAACGTCTTCGGTTTCGGCTCGTTCTCTGTTAGATACCGGGTGCGGGATGTTTTGATCGGTTCGTTTTTCTTTAGGTACTTCATGTTCATGATGATATCGTGACCGGACCGCTGCGCGAGTATTGGCGGACTGCGTTTACGCTCCGAGTCCGTTTTTGCGCCGGCATAGGTGTTCTCTTTGCGTTCGTCGATCACTTTGCCTTTAGAGCGCGCGAAAAGTGGCACCCGTGTAGGAGATGAAGTCTTAGGCCGTAATCGTGACATGGTGAGCTGAAAACACAATTATACCATGTAGATCTCATGAATATAAGTTAAACGTTACGATGACAACTTTTTGAAATTCTAATGCAGTCTTACAACCACTCCCATTAGTAAAGTAACAGTATGATGTTATAATAACTGAATTCGGACAACACGACTCACTTTGATAATTTCCTTACCCCAAAACATTACGTACTTATATGGCTGGTGTTTTATTTAGTAGTTTAACACTGAAAATTAAAGAGGAGCAGTTACGACAAATAAAGCAAAAAAAAATATCAATCAATGGTTTTAGCAAAGGAAATAAAAAAAACATGCGATTTAGGACACTTAGTACACGTAAGCAAATATATATTTAGTGGTGCTATTTATTTGTATTATTTTCTCAACTTATGCTTAATTTGCTGCTTTAGAGAATTTAAATTTCGTAATAAATATTGCCCGCTGTATTAAAATTAATATAAAATAGAGTACTACTATCCTCATTATGAACAAACCCCTACCGCCCTAGATATACTTGTTGTAGCAATTGTAATATAGGAAGGGATGGGAGCAGCGAAGCGATCAAGGCAGCGCGTGAAGTAACGGGAGTTAGAAGCGGATGAAGTAGACTAATTCTAGACTAATTTTCCCAACTTTTATGTGCCATGCCCCACCTTAACATTTCTAAAATTCTTATGCTCTTATTATATTATATTCTATAAAATTATGTATATTACATAATTCTTAATATTTAAAGATTGTTTACTTTAGAAAATTAAATAATAGGTTTTAGAAAGAAATCACTGTGAAATTGTTAACGAAACAAAGTAAGTAAATTTACAAAACAATGAAATATTGTAAATCTAATTTCAAAAAACTATAATAAAAATATATCTATATTAATTTATTATTCTTCTTATTATTGTGATAAAACAATTATTTAAGGATTTGCTTTTTTCGTTAAATTAGACATCGAAATTTAGTATTGCAGCTAAATAGGCCGGAGCGAAAGTGTTAAACTCATGTCAAGTCCATGTTCGAATTGCTCCCCCCTTTAACAATCAAATTGGCTTCCTGTGAGGCGTGGGCCCTACATTGAGAAACACTGATGTAGAGGGTAGCGGAAGTAGCAGGAAGTAACAGGAAGTAGTGGGAAGTACCTGTGGGCGCAGAGTGCGTGTGTGCGCGCGCAGCCAGTCTCGCAGCGCGGGCAGCGAGCGGTGGTCGGAGGCGGGCAGACGCGAGTTGGGGTGGAGGCCCGTCAGGTCCAGGATCGACGCGCCCAGCGACCGCCCCACCTGCACCACACCACACACCGATATCACAACTCCGTCCAACACAACTTTTACCCCCGTGTAACTTTTTTTATGTAATGTTTACATAGTATAAAATGAATTCGCTTCCGTAGTGTGTTCGCTTAGATCTTTCAAACTACGTAACGGATTTTAATGTAGCTTTTAACAATAGATAATCATTCAAGAGGACTGTTTATGTGTATAATACACGTACACTCTTGCGAAGTCGGGGCGACTGGCTAGTAGATGATAATGGAAACATTGCACCCGTCTGCGCGTTGGCTGGAATATGTACCCACATAGACGATGCATATAATACATTAATATTATATACACTATGTTACAAAATTGATGCGTCGATTAACTGAGAAAAAACCTTCCATCGTGTTTATTGTATACATATGTACATTTTTATAACATGACATTGATGACATGACAATGGAATGGTGCACCCGTTTACGCTAACGGTATACATTAGCCGGGCACCAGTGGTAGATAAAAAGATGTGTATGAGGACAGGTCAGTTAGCCCATCGTGGTAAATTATTGTTGAATTTTCCACGATGGGCTAACAGTACTTAAAAGTTTCTCATGTAACAGAAAATGTATATTTCAAACGTTTCTATACTTTATTAATGTAAATGCACAATTAAAATCATGGACTTCGAGGAATGTTTGAAAGTGAGTTTAGATGTAAGTGCGTGTTCTAGCCGACTGTGGGACGAGCAGATTAAAAAAACGCATTAATGCACAATGCATCATACAAAATGAGAAGTTTATTTTTGTTTCTTAGAAAATTATGTTTAACTTAAGAATAATAAGCGGCCTATGGTATAATACCTAACATACTACATGTATACTGTATTATATAAATATATACACTGACAGTTTAACAAAGTTCTACATAGATTAATAAGAGTAATCAGATGGGACAGTTCCACTTCATAAAGCATTGTATAGTTGGAATTTTTTTTTTATCCGTACAATGCGAATAATAAATATTCTGGAGATTTTAGAAGGTATATACAAGCGTCATATATATGTATATATATATTGTATAAGTACGCAATAAAGCTTACAAGCAAATGAACTAAGTTAAAAGTGAACAAGGTTTCAAACAAACCTTCTTAGGGTCTATATCTTCAAAAACCTCCAGATTCTTTGCACGACTCATTCTTACCTGAAACGTTGATCACTCCTATGTAAACACTTTCACTGTTACATAAATAATATGTACATAATCAAATTTGTTCAAACATGTCATTTCTATAACATTGAATCTACATTTCTAATATCTAATAAATAGATTACTATCTGCTATTCAAACAATGCCTACAATTATGAAAATTATTTGTAAAAAGGATAAGGTAAATTATAATAAGTTTTATTACTTTCAAACATATTTAAAAAAAAAGTTTGGTTATTTTATTGGTTTCAATCCTGAGAAGAAATATACATTTACTATTAACATTGTGTTAAAAATTTGTTTTATTGACTATTATTTGAATTTTGACTTGAACTACAAGTTTCAAGTTTATATTGTTTATTCCATTTCTCGTTTCAGAAGTCTAATTAACGGTAATTTGACATGTCTCTTATATTTGGCTGAGCCGAGATGACATGGAGATTCAGAATATATTGAAGACAATAGAAACTTATAAATGTATATTTGAGTACGTAATATCAACTTTTGAATACACGTGAACTGTGAACAATAATTTGACGAATATATATGAGATTAGACAATGGCTGTAGGGGTAGAGTCCTTTTGCCATTCCCTGACACCGAAAAATAAAAAAAAATTGGCTGAGATATGACTAGTGGAAATCCGCTACTGCTAAACGCATGTGTGCACGCACACACCTGGAACGGGTTTACCTCCTCGTAAATGTGAGGCGTGTACTTGGGCGGCAGAATGGTGGCGGCGGCGGAAGCGGAAGCGGGCGCGGGCGCGGACGCGGCTACGTCTCGGAGTGCGGGCGGCAGCACGTTGACGAGGCGGCCCGTGTTGTAGTTGCACTCGAGCGTGTACGAGCGGACGAGGCCGGTTGCCTTCAGTACAGCCACGCGACCTGAACCTTCTCGAGACATGCCGTCACGGCGGTCCCTAGTGTGCAAAATCATGTTGTAGCACTTATTTATATAAATAATCTTTCTTCAAATATACTTAATATATGCATTTCTGAAGACACATTTTTAAACATGCAACAAACAGGATAGATATCACTACGCACACAATCAGATAATATTGTCAGCGCTATGGATTTTAAGTTAGTTTTACTACTAAAACATTATTGTAAATGACAATAATGTTTTAGTAGAAAAACTACAGTATGAGATAAACTGATAAACTCTTCAATTTTATAATATGCTCTTTTTTGACGAAGACAGTGTTTTATAAGACTTTTTTCTGATAGATTTAAGACAGACTGGAATTTAAGTAAAATATGTAATATCTGAATAGTATGAAAAACTAGTAATAGTTCATTGGTTTTCATAAATAATGTTTAAGGATCTATAGTGGGAATATATTACAGTAGCCAACCATCAGGTGGACCGTAAATTTAATGTACGTTGTATGATTTAGGTTCCTGCTCTTTAGTACTCACTTGAGGTACATGTTCCGCTCGGTGAAGTTGCACGAGGAGAAGTGGAAGTGCAGGTTGTTGAGCGACATGATGCGTGGCAGCAGCATGCACTCCACAGAGGTGTCCAGGTCCTCGAAGTGGTTGCCGTACATGAATATACCTATATACACATATTCATGAGTATGAATGTATGCATTATTCTTGGTATATTAATAAATAGTTAAGTATTTCTATCTGCTATTTAGTATTTTAGGGTCGGCAACGCGCACGTGACACTTTCGACCACTTAGTCATAATCATTAGCGACAAGACTGTCTTTTGTTTAGCACATTTAAAGAGTTATTTTATTATTTTTATATACTAGCTGTGCCCTCAGTTTCACCCGCGTTAAATTTCAAGATAAAATATAGCATATGTGCTATTCTTATGCATATTAGTGTAAAGTTTCATCAAAATCTGTTCAGTAGTTTTTGCATGGAAGAGTAACAAATATCCATACTTACAAACTTTCTCATTTATAATATTATATATATTAAGATTAAAGTACCTTTCTTGGAGGCGTGTCCATGTAGATCAATGTACAAAAACAGTCCGGATTCCGGGTCTTTGGGTGCAGTGGGTCTTGTGGTCACGACCGGGACCGGTGGCTTCTTTTTCACTTGTTTGTTTATTGGGGGCTTTAGTTTCTCATCCTTCGGTGCAATTGGCTGTTAGAATAAAAAAACCTTAATCTATAGTATCCGAGATAGAGCCTATTTCGTCAATCATTTCCTATCGGCCACAAATTTTTAAAACGGTTATTGTTAGTATAGTTGTTTAATTGAGCCTAGTGAAAATCAGCTGCGGATTCGAGACCCACGTTCAGGAATACAAAACTCACAAACCGGAAACTCAGCTGGAATTCACTGAGTTTCATAATACAATACTATAACATTGCATATATAAAAAATGTGTATATGAATGTTAGTACGCTATTGTGTGCGAGTGTGTGCGAATATGCGGTAATGTGTGTGAGTGTGTGTATGTGTGAAACAATCAATTGTTAAACTCAAGTGTATATAAAGACGCCAATTATAGCGTCTTTATATGTACTTGAAAGTTTAATAATCCATCGATTGGTCGATTTGTTGGAATGAGATCGTCGTTTTCTATATTAGAGAGAGAATAATTGACGAATTTAAGCTATGGGTTGCGGACTAGTAGTTTCATCATTGGATTGCTACACTTAACGCACTACTTTAGTTGATCTTATGAGTTGTGTAATGTTAAATATGTACAATAATTAAGAAACAGGGGGTCGTTTCTTACCGCGCGTGGTGGTGAGGCCGGCCGTGCGGGCTCCTCCGGGTGCGCATCACCGCTGTCGCCGGCTGACACCGCCACACTCGCCGTCTGCAGGCCCGAACTCACCTTCTGTAAAAAAAATTTAGATGGCTTATAAATGTGTAATCCATTCTGGGTTGTAATGAAATAAAACATATATGTCCAGCCGGGGATAAAACATATATAATGCAATCTAGGTATCAAATTTAATTAACATGAGTTCAGACGTTTTATAGTGAAAAAGTAATAAATAGACAGCCAGAAATTTCGATCACATTTATAATATTAGAAAGGACTAGGTTACGTCTTAGAAAACTTTTCCTAAAAAACGACGTCTTTTTAAAGTCCGCAATTAAAATTAATTGCTTAATAGTATTTTTTCTTCACTCGAATTTGCAGAGATATCAAGGATAGTCGTTTTATGAATGCGTTTTATGCTAGAACTAATTTAAAAGATCAAATAAGTAAATTATAGCTTACAATTTCTTCATTACATTCTGTAATAACGTATTTCTTGAAGCAATTAGTGCAGAAATACATAGCATCTTTCTCCGGTGTCTCGGTAGGTTGAAACTGGAAAGGAATAATTATTATTTTAATAATGTACATTATATATTGCCAAGAATATATGTTTCCTGGGAGTTGTGCCTTTCAAATATGATTTATTCTATAATCACATTCTCTAATCATATTAAAGTTAGTTCTTTAGGCGGAGGTGGTGGTGGCAGTGGAAAGGGTAGAGTGAGAAAGGGACAGAAATATTGAGCAGAAACGATAGATCTAGGCACTATATTCTCATAAAGCGGAAACGGAAATGCTACTTAACAGAAATGTTTTATTAGATTTCGAATTACGATCAAGTTGTACAATATAAAATACAATATTTTAAAAATAGTTACATTTAGTCAATTTTGTAATAATTGTCAATACCTCTTCTAATTTGAGGGAGGGCACCAGGTTTTTTGCCTGCTATGTAACGTCTTTTGTTATGTCACTAAGTATTATGTATATATTATTATACCACCACCAATTCCACTTGGTATAATATCCCATCAAAAACATAAATGTGAAATGATAGCCGAGTTTAATATTATGATATATGGCTTGATTGTTGACTTCTACGACAAAAGAGATGAGATCTAAATGGGTGCCAAGTTCAATGGTCTGTCCTGAAATGTATTTATAACAATATAAAATATCATTTCTTCTTATAACTTAGGATAATATACTGTAGCCTAAGGTCTAACTTGGCCAGTTCTCATATACCAATTATTACTTTCGATTGCTAGTTACTATTAATATTAAAATAGGAACCGACAAGTAACATGTTTAGAACTTGCGAAGGCTACAGTATATTTCGTATATGAAAACTAGCCAAGTTAGACCTTAGGCTACAGTATATTATCCTAAGTTATAAGAAGAAATGATATTTTATATTGTTATAAATACATTTCAGGACAGACCATTGAACTTGGCACCCATTTAGATCTCATCTCTTTTGTCGTAGAAGTCAACAATCAAGCCATATATCATAATATTAAACTCGGCTATCATTTCACATTTATGTTTTTGATGGGATATCATTACTTTTTGTACATAAATTATACGAGGTACTTATTTATAACTAAATTAATACCAAATTATTTTTGATAAATTAATGTATTTTCGTATATTTACGGGGTATAATTGTCTTTTTTTTGTGTTATTTTCTATATTTTCTTGTAACTTTTAAATGTTCAAGTGCAATGCCAATTCAGTATCAGGAATTTTTGGGCAAATCGGGGCGGTATAACGTCCACAGATGGTTGTACTCTACAATAGAGCTCTCGTGACTTGGATCTAAATGGTTAAGACGTACTCCATCTAAGGTTTTAACTCTGAAGAGTCCAACGTAAACCTGCCCTTTATTAAATATAGAGGAGGCTATGTTGAGAAGAGGACTGCCAAAACTAAGGCCTTGTGATTTGTGGATAGTAATAGCATATGTTAAGCAAATACGGAATTGTTCTCTATCAACATATACATTATTTAATATCTGAAACTTCGTATTGACACGTTATAGTTCGTAAAGACGATTATGTAACAAATTGACTGTTATCTATTGAATTCTCAAGAAAACAATTTGTTACCAATAAGTTCTCATTCTCGAGTTAACTGTACAGTCCTACTTATAACTATACTAAAATTGTTATTAATTTTTGGTTTAAACTATTGTCTATACCATACGTATTTACTAAAATAATGTAATAATAATATAATCACAAATATATAAGTATAATTTAAGAAAGCTATAAATTTCGTAGCATAAATCGCAACCTTATAGGTTAGATATCCAGAAACAAAACATTGAGTTTTATCGCACCGCTCCCACACGGCGCCACCGCGGCGCCCTATACCGAAATGCCTATTATTTAATAATTATTTATAAAAATAATGATTTTACACTATCGATGTGCGCTAAATATTGAAACAATAATTAATACCAAATCTCAGTTAATAACATAATAAATACGAAATTCGACTATACTCCTAGTTATAAGTACGAGTATATTTTAGACAGAATCTAAATTATAGCAACTAGTGTTTACCGCTCAATGCAATATTTGAAGTTTGCTAGTTATCGACACTGATGTGAAGGGGTCAACGTAAATTGGTAATGATCGACGTTTTCATACAATATTACTTTCCGTCCAGTACAAGATGAGATTTTTCGCCAGGGATCAATGTCAATTGGTGGCTATCGACGTTTTCATAGAATTTTAGAATTCGTCCAGTATAAGTTGAAATAGAATCAATTAAAGTGAAAAATTGTAGTAAAATGATAACAATTTACCAGTTTCAGATTTTTTCCTTTATATTCACCTAATTACCTATCTGCATACCAAATTTGAACTTCCTAGGTCATCTGGAAGTGGGTTATAATTTTGATCTATAGTTGATCAGTGATAAAAATGACGATTTTTGGACATTAATATCTAAATAACCGTTTGAGATATGTTTATGAAATTTGGAACACATATTTATCTCGCAAGTCTCAATATATGAACCAAATTTGACAGGTTTGTGTGAAAGAGTTTTTGAGTTATGAGGGGGTCAAAAGTGGCTCCAAATGGTTCGTGTAAATATACACACGGTGCTGCAAGCCAGTTTACTTGAAACTCGGCTTGACACGCTGCCGCGTGTCTAGATATTAGAGTTGTATTGTTGAATTGTTGTTATAACATAAGCTAAAGATTCAATATACTGTGATGGGTGATTTCTAACTTTGCAATGATCGGTATTTCTATCGGTTAATGATAACAGGAAGTATGTATATCAAAATAATTCAACAGCTACCTACATGGAAAACATTTAGATACAAAAATATAAATATACATCCTTAAATTTTAATTGAGACTTTCTCTATACTTTGTTAGTTTTATAAAGTTACAGGGAATTGTTAAAATTATAAATATAAAAGTTATAGATAGTCTTTGCAACAACAAGTTGTTTCAGTAATAGCTCCTTCAGTTTTCATATAAACTAAAGTACTTGCGCAGTCTATCTACATTACAGTCGTCACTAATAGGTACTACAATGTACACATACTTCGTTCACATCTAACTGTTGTCTCTGGTGCTCTCTATACTCCTCTATGGTATGATGGGTAGGACTCTGGGAGCGTATCTGGATAGGATGTGGAATGTTACAAAGTTAAAAAAAATAGGAAGAAAGAAAAATACTCAGTGCCTAGAAACAATTGATACAAATATTTTTTTTCATGGGCTTATTACTATCTGGCTACATAATTAAACATTAAGTAGTATATTTGTTGGTTTCTTGTCTTAGTATGCTTGGTATGTGCATGTCACATACCAAGCATACTATGGCTTATTACTATCTGGCTACATAATTAAACATTAAGTAGTATATTTGTTGGTTTCTTGTCTTAGTATGCTTGGTATGTGCATGTCACATACCAAGCATACTATGGCTTATTACTATCTGACTACATAATTAAACATTAAGTAGTATATTTGTTGGTTTCTTGTCATAGTATGCTTGGTATGTGCATGTCACGTACATCATACTTTATTTTTATTTATTTGATTAGGTCCTGAGGCATTTTGCGTTTTAGTCTGCGATAAGTTTAGCTCACTTTCATCAGACTTTGCTAAGTGGTTAACAAAAAATTAAATATAAAGAGTAAAAATAAATACAATCAGCTTTTAGCATGTTCCATGCGAACATGCCGCTGGTTTTCTGGGCTCCAATAAATAGGAACAGAGAGTAATCACAGATGTAACCTAGACACACAAGAGACTATTACTGACCAAATATCTCCTTTGGAAAGTTTACACTCTATATAGTTTATACTCTATTATAATAAAAACATAAAAATAACTACTAACCAAAGCAGCGCTGTAACCGGGCACCATCTTGGTGATGCCGGGTATGGTGTCCTCGAGCTTTGAGACCGCTTGCCTGCAATCCTGACACCATCCGATCCGTAAATTTGACAGTCGAGACTCTTTACCGCCTATTGAACTATCCCTGTAAAAACATATTTCATATGTACACACGATGATATATTGTGATTCTATACCTAAAGTGACATATGTTGGCACCTAGTAAAGCTAATATATATGTGGAAATTATCAAAATTATTTTGCAAAAATAACAACTACAACTACTAAATAGAGTAAACTCACGGCCAAGTACCATAGGTTCATTTGTATATTTTTAATTTTATATATTTAGACAATTTTCCATTTATGCAAGACGTCAAATATATACTACAATTTAATTATTGGTATTAAAAAAGGGTAATAGTTAAAGAAGTTAAATATTTAGATTTAAATAAAAAAAATCTGTTTATTTATTACGGAACAAAAATTATTCTTATAAATATATCTCATAAATCAAATATACAAATGCCTTATAACAATAATGACCATAAATTCAGGACTTTTCATACTGCGCTATCTAGTCATGATCTAAGGACGATAGACAACCCCGACTGTAATACTTAAACACATTTTTTTTGGAAATACAATCATACTCATGAATACAAATGTTTGCATCCAAGAAATCGAACTCGCGACTATCATAAGTAAGGCAATGTGCTAAATCGCTAGACCACCGAGGCCGTCACTGCTTATATAAATTAATCACAATTTCTCACGTAACATACCCAGCTACAGAAGTGCTTGATTCCATCAACAGACTGATACTATTCTTGAGCGTGTCCCGTAAAGGTCTGAGCGGGTTGGAACCCTGGAGTTTCAGTTCATCGCTGGTGCTCAAGTGGACGTTGGAGCCGAGGCATGAGCGCAGAACTGAGTCCTTGAGCAGTGAACTTGTCTCCGTAATGTTGGAGTTTGACGGTTTTATCAAAGTATCACTTGTCTGCGACGGCACCTCTTGGAGTTTCATGTCATATACCTGTTACGTATTCAAACATGATATTTGTATATGAAATGAAATTAATATTTATTGTTAAAAATGTTGTGGTACATCATATGTGGTTTTTAAAGTCTTTATTACTAATTACACACATTTTGTCGTTTCTAACATGCAACAGTCAAAACAAATGTAAAATTTGCTTATTCTTTTTGTATCTCATTAACGGAACCTAGATTATTTACAATATGCGCATGTTAATTATTTATAAATGAAATATTTGTATATTATGTCAATTATTTTTATTTTATAAAATCCCAGAATACAGAGTAGTGTTTATATGTATTTAATTCTGTAAATTTATTATTAGGTAGTGATATTACAGGATAACAGGCATGACATCTTAGTCTTCTGAAAAGGTAAGCATGAGTAGTATCATGTGTTACATGATAACGTCCGTAGTGCTGTTCCTGTATAAAGGCGGTGGTTACTGGTTACCATTGGTGGTGGTGAGCTATAAGTTTGTTTGCCATTCTACTCATATTAAAAACATATGACATAAAGAATAATATTCAGCCATGTAAAAGGCTATTAAGTTAAGATTTAAATATATGTGTAAATCTTCATCATTTTATAATATTGTATTTACCTAAAATATTTTGTTTATTTCATACTTATAGGTTTAAGGCGAAACAGGTGTAATATATGTACAGGACCTAGAGTTAAATGAATTGGATGTGGGCGTATAATATCGCAGTGCATGTAAGCGCATGTAGGTTTTAGATAACAAAAATACTTGAACTTAACAATGTTATGAGTGGAAACTGCCGCCGCGATAACTATTGACATGCCAGATTAGAGGCGCTTAACATCACATATAATCAGACTAAATTAATTAAAAAGCATATCCACCGACAAGAGCGTGACTCTTTATTTATAATTGAACTAGCTGACACCGCCACCGTTGTTTTGCTATATAAATTAATCAGTTATCGAAGAGAGTAGAAAATTATTAAAGTACTACTAATAATAGGGGTTGATGATAGAAGGGTGAAAAGTTAGGGTTGTATGTATATTGATTTTTGTGATTCAGCATTAAAAATGTTAATGACGAATCACAAAAATATAAATAAAATATTTTGTCCAAAAAATATAGTATTTTTAAACGATGACTTCATCACTTGAGGTTATGAAAAATTGTTTACGTCCTATTGTCAGATCTACTGAATATATACATAAAATTTCATTAGATTCAGTAAACCTGTTTCGGAAGAATTTTGATACAAGAAATTTATATATTAGAAGATGAAATTTAACAATAGTTTAACTTCTTTTCTATAATTTCGTGGTAGTCACTTTACTAAATTAAATACCTACTACATTAAAAATACTACCTTTCGGTTTGAATGAAGGTATATTTCAATGATTAGCTTGGATATTTTTCGTAATAAGGAGTACAAAGTGTTTGCTTTACATTATATTATAACCGAATATAGGTATAACACCCGAAAAACATTGCCCTTAATTTTTGTAGTCGGGTAAAAATAATAAAGTAAACTAACCTGTTCGGCGAGGTGTGCCGTGTCTCCGCTCAGAGTCTTTGCTTCTTTTCTAGAGGTGTCAGTAACGGATGGCTGCTTGATGGTGGTCGTGCATTTGACACTAACTGATTTCGCAGACTTCTCACGCTTGTATTCGTTGGCTTTGAACGCTGACGTCATCGAGCCTTTCTTCTTTTTAGAGTCCAGTAACTAATGAGTAAGGGTGCTTTTTTAATAATTATGTCAGTCGTTTTCTTATTAACTTGACTTTTTATTTGTTACACAATGAAGCGTTTATACATCGTAACAAATTATATGCCAAACGATTTTGTTCATCGCACTGAAATATCTGCCATAGTAGATACATAAAGGGATTCGATATTGACATCGAAATAAAAAAAAAGTCGTACTTTCCATAATATGATATGATTGTAATCCTTTTTTTACAGTGTAAAAAGATATAGATAAAAGAAAAATAATGAGTTAAATACATACATATATAATTAAAACTTAGTACAAACCACGATATAAATCTGTATAAATTTTATACCTCAGCGCTCTCGCTAATGTTCTGGATACTGCGCGACGTAAAGCTTTTAGTGTCTTCACAGATGTCTTCTTTTTCACAGCCAAAATGGTAGTACCTGTAATTAGATTTATGTATCAACATTATTTCTTATGGACGAGAATTATTCCTTCGAATATTCTGCAGCTGGTTTTTACAGCTACACCGACCGATAGGCGAGGGCAGATGGCACTCCAAACCTGCGGAAGGACTTATAGTGCGGCTGAAGGCTAACTCCTGCCTGACGGACACGAATTTAGTCTGTGGTCACAGTTAGGGGTTTGAACCTGACTCCGGCTGTCGTAATTTTGATCCCCGTTTGAATTGGACGGGGGTCGATCGAATTGGCGCTTCTCCGGCTCCATGTCCTTATATACTTCCGCCTCTTTTCACGAAATCATTACTACAGTTTACAAGAATGAGAACGACGTTAGATAGTATAAAATTATTACTATATACCAACCTAATAAGTGCCCTTGATGCGTACACAGTAGGATGATAGACCAGTGAAGGGTTCAAATAAACGCGGTTTAAATTAACTCCTCTGGTATCTGTTCTGTAGTGACCTCTGGCAACACCGTCAGGGTTTAGAAACGGGATCATTTTGAACACATAGTTTTTGCGCAGCTGTATAGCGACAGGGTCATGTCGTAACAGCAGCAAGTTGAGGAAACCATTAAAGACAAAGCTTGATGGTGTTTCTCCAGGGTGTACCCGAGCCGATATAAAAATAACCTATGATTAAAGAAAAAAAATGTTTTAGCTAGAATTTAAAGACCACTGGAAGAAGTAATAATAAAATATTTAAAAACAGCAATATAAGCTAGAACTTATATTATATTTATATACTTTACTAGCTGTTCCCGCGAATTCGTCCGCGTGGAATTTAACTAAAATAAAGGATTTTTTCTAAAATAAAAGTAGCCTAAGTTACTCCTTATACATTTATTCCATTTCAGAGATTAGCCGGAACAAACAGACAGACAAAAATTGTAAAAAATGTTATTTTAGTGTATGTACCGTATTTATATTCATATGCATGTAGTAAAAAACAGTTATTTCAATATTACAAACCGACACTCCAATTTTATGTATAGATTAACTGTAGACAATCTAGAACACAACAAAAAAATGAAGTATAGAAAAAGGGTATAAAAGATGTTTATCTGTTTAATAAGTAACCTTTTTATTTAAAAATTTAAATGGTCTCTCTTGATTATCTGGAAACAAATTTTTTAGTCTCTCTTCTCTTTCTGTTGTTATTCCATGATGTGAAGTTATTGTCAATAAATCCACACGCCGTCCTGTAAATTAAGAACATTACAATAAAAATATTATACCTTTCCCTAAGTCTTTTAAATTTTATCTTAATACAAGCTAATATTATAAATTCAAAACTATGTTTGTCTATTTATTACATCTTTACGGCTGAACGGATCATAATGAATTTTAACATGAAAATAGATTGTATCACAAGGATCATTTATCTCCAAAATTTATCAGGAAATTTATAGGAGGTCAAAGTTTGTGCGGTTGAAATTGCGGGTAATATCTTATAAGCAGAATGTGAGCAAACAAAAACAAGAACCTTGGCGTTATTTTGCATTGTATTGATATTACAATATCAATTGTGTAGAATATGTTGCTCAAATGGCTCTGTAACACTGTAAATAATCTCATTTACAGTGTTCTTATTTTTTCCCACAAAAATTTTGTGGGAAAAAATAATAATATTATTATCATTATTATTAAAAAAAATAATTTAGTGACAATAATAAAAAAATCACAATTTATTTTCTTGTATATATATTTTCGTTTCTTGTATTTATACACATGTTTAACTCTAATCTATAGATACTTTATTACAACATACCGTTATTATATAACATAGAAGAAACTAAAGTGTTATTTGGTATGTAAAACCTGTCCTAGCTAAATGACCAAAAAAATACATCTAGCAAGGCTTTATTCAATAAAATGGCATCTTACCTTCGAGAGAATATATAAGACATTCTCTGCAATAGTATATTTCGTCAGGCGACTGTGGCTGTGGCACCGGCAACATCTTCAGATCTATTGAATTCAGAGCTATCTGCAGCTCCGCAAAGGAGAACGGGTAAGTAAAAGCGAAGAACGTTGTGGCTTTCAGATTATCCGATGTTCGGTATTTGAAGCTCAGGGTGAAGGTGTTATCATCCGTCTGGACCACAAAATATATTATTATTCAGATATATATTTAATAAAAAATAAAAAATAATGTAACCAACTTTATTGACTATTACATATAACAATACTAGTTTAGGACAATTCATACAGTGCAATTCAGCTTGAGATACAAGCTGAATTGCGCTGTATGAGTTTTCTAACAAAACGGATTGCTACGGCTTGTACTATAAATACTAAATAATTTATAAAAATATGTACTTAAATACGTTTTTTTTTGTAATTATATAATCAATATGAAATATAATTATTGCGTTTACTTGTCTGGATATTTTTTACACTTCAATCAAAACATACAACAATCATACTCGTAAATACAAATGTTGGTATCATGAGAGAATGACGTTATGTTATGTCCTGTTTATATATGGCGATCCCTGTGGTCTAACAGTTAAGCACACCGCTTTACTTCCGAATGTCGTGAGTTCTATTCTTCACACTGTACAAACATTTATATTCATGAGTATGAAGGTTTGACGGTCTGGGTGTTTTCATAACACAAGTTCTGCTTAGCTTGGGACTAAATGGCGCTGTCTGAATTGTCTTTTTGTTGTTATTATTATTATATATTTAATGGAATTTAGAATTACATACTGAGTGTACTGGACGATCCCTGATTCGCTCCCACTGAGGCTTCCCAGGAAGCGTGCGCGTTACAGGCGCCATGCCCTGGTTGTACATTTTTCCTTGTTTGTTTAGGTTTATTAAGTTAAGTCGTACCTGAAACAAATTTTTTTGTTAGTACACTGTACCATTCCCATACTGTAAAATATGAAAGACTATATAGTAACTTCAAAAAACATTTAAATATAATTGTAAGTATTACTTATGTAAGTAATATACTTATATATAATTCTCTCGAACATTTGAATAATGTCTCCTATATGTTATTATAACTTTCAAGTGATTGAGTGAAGTGAGGTAGTCTACACAGAAATTAATTGTGATAATGGTGGCAAGTGTGGTACCTATAAATATTACTGTTATAGTTATAGTATACACATAATACCTGTGTGAAGTGAATTTCAGTTGTTTTCTTTGTTATATGTAATTGGTCAAAGCAACCATTATCAAACACAGACTGTTCAAATACTCACCAGTACACCAGGCTCACTGGCTTGTATACCAAAGTAGAACCAAGTTCGGTTGCCATTTTCAAACTCAGTGCCTGCGCAATCTGGTCGGGTCCATAAATTAAATTCGTAATCGGGTATCTCAGTTGCATTGGTCTTGGGGTTCAAACTGGGAGCTGGAATTATTTTTAATATTAATAAGAATAAAAGATTTTGTATTGTAAACTAATATTACTTTAAATTAATTCATTCTTCAATTCAAAATAGCCTTGTAAATACAAAATACAAATTTTTCCTTATATTAATTTTTATATCAATTTAAAACACAAAGAAACCTATGATTTATTTATGCTATTATTTTTCATCTTTGTTTTTTATGAATTACATTTTTTTAATATTCTTTTAATATTGAAAGTATTAAATAGAAAAATATCAGTTACTGAGTTATATTAACCAACTTTTAGTTATATGTTTATTATTCTGAGTATATATTTGGCACCTTAACTGCTCAATTGTCATAGAACTTGGCAAACATTTTACATTCTGGTCAATCAATATATAACTGAATTATACATATAATACAAATACACATCAAATTAAATAAAAGTTAAATATTTTACATGCCAATCAACTATTACGCCCATTAAACTTAGATACTTAGATATACAATGTTTGTAATGTATAATTTTAGTAATTGTTCAATAACAACCTACATTAGGTTAAATATGCATTATGTCATTAATAGTTGGAATAAGCAATAATAAAAAAAGAACAATTACTCTATTTCTATTATTATAAAAGTTTATAGTAATAATTAGACTGAGACTGAGGTGTTACATAAATAATAGAGCATGGTTTCATACATAAACATATGTAATTTGTTATAAACATGCAATTACTGTAATAGGAAGTTTCAATAATGTCAGAACCAAATCTCTTTACTTTAAAATACCATCATAAATAACTTAACAATACAATAGAGTAAATTACCAATCAGATTCTCATTAGAAGTATAATTCAACTTACTGACAGCATATTAAATGTATATAATTCTTATATGTTATATTACAATTTCTAAACTGTATGTGGACTTAATTTTATTTATTTTAATGAAATAAGATTTCAATATTAGGAGGTTATATAAAATAGAAATTTCAATAGTTACTCCTACTTATTACTAATGTTTCTTATGTCACAGGATTATAGAGTAAATAATGAATATGTAAACAACATTACATCTATTGTAATTAATATTTGGATGTTGAATAACAATGGAATATGGAAAAAATAAGTATATGGACTCACCTATAAGTTCTGTTGGCACCCGTTCGACATGCCCAAGGTTCCCCGAATCAAAATTATGAATGAAATAAAATCCATCGGACTCTATAATATTATTTTGATCCATAACGAATAATTATTTATTGGACTACATCATATAAAAAATTACAAAGTCACAAATGTTTGCAAGGCGTATGGCGTACATTCACTTTAGCAATTTATACATAAAATCAACCAATTGAAAATACATATTGCAAATTTCAAAATGACACTAAAAACACGGAGGCTACACTGTTTTTCTAAACAAAATTATGTAATTTTGTTGACATCGATTGACGGATAACAGCTGATTTGTTTTATTGGTGATCTTTTTATAATATGTTGGAGCACCACAACAATAATAGAGTAAAATAATAAGTTAAAAAATATAGTTTATTTTTACAAATAGTTTTGAAGTATAACACATTTAATTATTATTAGTATTCACTTTTTATTTAGAAATTAGAAAGACTTCATTCCATTATGAAATTTTATTCAAGATGGCTGCCGCACGTACTAGATTTGTTCCATACCATAGACTATATTCAGTCATTGATCGCTGCAAGATTGCATAGGTTTATTTATATAACTTTGTTAGTAACAGTTCTAATAGCAACAAATTCAATCGATCGTTTGAGAATTTCTATAATAAACTATTTGACGGTTTTTTTTATACCACGATAGTGGCGAAGAGGCATACTGCCCATCTGGACATACCATTACCGCATCCTATGTTATTCCGTTCGGAATGGCAATTCTGAAATGGTCTGTAGATAATAACAAAATACAATTCGGAAAATAATCAGATTATAATCTAAAATTATTCTGTATGAAATAAAACATAAATTTCCGGATTGAAAATTAATAATAATTACTAAACCCAGTTTCTTAGTTCAAACTATTGCAATAGCGATTTAATTCGCTTTATATGTATATATTACGATTACCAAATGGTGCATAATCGTAAATCATATCATATCATATCGTTCATAATTTCAATCTACTGAAATAAAAATTATTTACTAGACCATTAGGTATTAACCAAACCTCATGGAGATATTCAAATTATTAAATTTGAAGCCGATTTGTAAGTGAAGATCGAACACTGATTCATTACCTACTATGCCTAAATGTTATAATTAGTCCAGCGTAAACCGTTAGCGCAGGTGAGACTACCATTCCATTATCAACCCTCAAAAAAAATGTTATAATTCACTGCTATAACATTGACTCAATATAAAGAAAGAACTCTCAGAAAAACTAATTTTATGCAGTGTAATCTGTTTTCGTCTGTGCTGTTTCAAAAGCCAACACCCAATAATGCTACTAGGAGTGCCCTTCCCAACAATTGCCATTTTAATGAGAATCGTAAAACTGCAGATTGTTCTTTTTTCTGCGTGTATCACTTATAATTGTTAAAAATAAACAACGACCAAACTGCGACTCGACACTAACACTAGACTTACAAATTATATTCGAATTTTATTCAATGCCTCATGATGCCTCGTTCGGACGCGAAAACTTTCGCAAAACTAGGTGTTAGTTCGATAAAATATATCTATATCAAATAATTTTTAGCGATAGTGTTCCTCATTAAGAATACTGCCTAAATTCAATACTTTAGGTGATATTATATCTAGAAATTAATTAATTAGATGATAGATGGCTAATTACAATGAACTAATATTAATGAGGTTTTCCTGGTACCAAAGGTCCGAAGGTAGATATATACCTACCTCGGACCTTTGCTGCTTAGACTCGTTTATAGACGTATGTTTTGCTACAGTTATAGTATCTTAGTTAACTTTCTGTTGTAAGCAGTTATGGAAGAGGGTTGTAAAAAAAAAAATAACTATATATCAACTCAAATCTGTATTTTCATTTCATCCTTAAAATTATAACAATATTAAATAAGCTTAATTTAGGTATATAATAGATTATTTAGGCGTGGCACTTAACTATTGATTATAAAAAATTACGTTCCTTACATTTTAAATTATCTTGGCCAATAAATGCCTTCATCACATAACTTATAAATTGATAAAGACTTATTTAGTACCAATCTCTAGCTACATGGACTAAATATACGTTTATCTACACCTTGCTTTCTTCCTAATTGTCTTTTCTGAGCACGAAGTTAACGAATGTGATAATAATATATACCTAGGTCGTATCCGGAATCAACTTTAGAATTCGCCGTAATACATTTTGTATTCTGGTTAGTCTATTAAAAGTAATGACACACCATTTTCAATTATATTATTACGATTAGGTGTTTTATATTTTAAGGGAGACGGCGGATCAAACAGTGTGTGCATATTGAACTGTTTGATAGGGAAAAAAATTATACAATAAATTAAAATTGTACGAGTGATTAAAATGTCGTACATCAATAAATGTATTCTAAATTTGAAAAATTTTAAATACAGAAAATACAGAACATATCAGTTATAAGACAACAAAACGTTGATTCTGCCTAATATAAAAAGTTAAGTTGTACTTAATTACAACGAATTCTACAAGTTGACTCAAAGATAGCTAAGCTTATTTCACAATTTATTCATGGACGTGATCGATTGTACCTAATATTTTGGCATCTTCTTTTGGCTCCTTCACCAAAAAATATTAAAAAACGAACAGGTTTTTTTAAAGAAATTTGATAATTACGATTGCTTGTAATGCGGAAATAGGACAATGCTAAATAAACAAAATATCACATTTGGGGCCTAAATCTAGGGTATGTGTTTTGTATGTACTCTTAGTAATATATACTTACACTAAAATTACAAATACAAATGTATGTAATGGACAATTTTCTACAACAATATTAAATTTAAGGAACGTTTTCCTACTGAGCCAAAATTATTACAACGTTTTCACTACTACATTACATTTAAATATGAGTTTCGTTAATACAATACATTAATGTTAATGTGAAAATAATATGATGCAGACCAACACGACTAGAATGCCTGTGTGAGCATTACAACAATGTGACAAGCTTGAAGTAAAACCCGAACGCTGTACTATATATGCCCTAATTTATTTAAGAAAAATAAAGACAATAAATAGTTTACATGCACCGCACACACACACTTAGTTCTATATCTACCTATTATAACTGGAAAATTCGTGCGTAGCATATCCCAAATGGGTGAGAGAGACGTGCGGGAAAGAGTTGGTAGCGAGTTTGTCTACGCATACACTATACGCACTCCGCACGCCTATCATGTACCAGAAGTGCTGCCCGCGAATTTGGTCGAAATAGTTATCATTATCTAACACGCAATCGTCCACATGGAATTTCCATAAACTATAGAAAATGTATGGACGATTTCCATAATCTCTCAATGTAGAATAAAATTAACAATATGTTATAAAGTTACACATTACCATCTCAGTAATCCGAACACAACATTTGGCGCAACGTATTGCTTACAGTAAACGAAATTATGATTTCTAAAATAAGTGTGTTTAGAAAGTATTCGCACAGAGTTCATGACAAGCAATGATAAAATTTGAATCGCTATTCTCTAAATCTGTCTAATAAACTAATATTTAATTTTGATATACATAGCCAAATAATTATAACACGAACCATAATGAATTACATTTGGTTTTAGTCACAACTATTTTTTTTAATTCATGGCGATTCATATAATAATACTTTCGTTAAATTATAAAATTGAAATTTTAGTTTCAGAGATAGCTTTAGAGACTGGCGCATTAGAATTTACACCAACGACAATGATATGACAGGCTGCAATTAAATGCAGAACAAAAATGAATAACATATTCCGTATGCTATAGCATGGCATGTATGACAGTTGACATTTCAACATTTTCAACAGTAAAACAACTGCAATCAATCAACTGTTTTGTGGATAATTTTTATATTTTGCTTCACTGTCACCCTTAGCATGTTGTAACTTACGGAGTACATGTTGTATAATTAATTAAATTATATCAGTTCTGTTACAAACAATGATTTCCGATAGTCGGATATATTCGTGTTCAAAGAGGTGAGCGATAGCGGAAGACGAATGTGATCGTTTGAGCAGATATCAAAAGCATTTAACGTGAATCTAAATTCAATGTACATGGTATAATTTGTCGATTTGTACACACGGTGAAAACCTTCCATTTGTATCTGTGGTCACATTCTGAATTTCTGTCGCCAAATATTTAAATAGCTCACTTTGAACTTTTATGTCACTAATAGTCTAATGTCTAAATCACTTTCGACGTGTTAACCTTTGCCCTCGTTGGGTATGGTTATAGAGACCGTACTAGGTCTGGCCGGTCTGTCTGAGACTAGACTGTGCACACTAGGGTTGATGGGAGCACTCCTCGATATTTCATCGGCGGTAGTGAGTTTGCATTCGACGACACGATAATTGCAAGTGGGCGAGCCGCAGTCGAAGTCAGGGCGAGACACTGAGTTCGGGATGTTGGTATCGTAATTTTTCGATTCTTCCTTGAATGGTGGACAGCTAAAACAATAATGTTTATTACATTTTTAACCATAAATAACATGTAATTTACAACTAAATGTATTCTGACCAAGACAGACCAAAGAAAACACCAGTGTAAAATTGAAGCTTGTAACTTATTTGTGAGATACGAGTACATATCTTAATGGTTGTATTTTTTTAAACATTCACCACAAACATGATGCTGACGATTATTACTAAATCGTCGCTTATATACATGACAAGTACCTTGCTTATTATGTCATCATGTAATAACGTAAATTTCTCGTAATTCAAGATAGAAGGGTAATGATCCGTCAAATGAAATATTTATGATGCAATAAATAAATTAGGTGATACAGTGGCTAAATAGAACTTTTTATAAAATCTAGGTCTGTTGAGTTAGTGTTTTTTAGAGATAATTTAAATAATCTACTATTTACCTTAGTGGTGGTGGTGTAGGAGATCTTGACAACGGAAAGCTGGCTACTTCCCTGGATATGGCCAAGGATTTAATAGATCCGAATGTTTGTTCAGGACTTAGTGGAGCTCCTAATATCGATGCCATTCCTCTACAATAAAAAAGGAAGAAAAGATCAGTAAACGGGAATTAAGCTTGATTATAGTAAATTTATTACAGGCTTTAGAATAATAGATGGCCCGCATCATTCAGAGAGATAACTATTGCCTATAGACATGCACATTAATGACAACATTAAGATGGCCATAAGCCCTCATGCATTGCATGAATAAGTAGTTAATCTTTCTAATAATATAAATATTAACGTTTGTGACTTTTTTTTAATGGATGGATGGATGTTTGTTACTCTTTCACGCAAAAACTATATGAGAGATTATAATGAAATTTGATAAGTAGATAGATAATATCTTAGATTCAACGATGGACTAACTAGACCTGACTGCAAGCTCATCCTACAATCCTTCATTGGTGCCCCGGTGGAGGCACTGTTAGCGCGGACTATTCCATTATTGCTTATAAAAAAATGTTCCAGGTTATTTTTTGCACGGTTTCGCGAGAGTAGGTGGTGTACAAACAGGTTACTGATAAACTTACACAACAGAATCCGATGGCACTAAGAAAGGCAAGGGAGGAGGGCACGGTGCATCAGCTCGTGCCGGTGACGCTGGTTCGGTAGATCGTGGACAGCGGGGCGACTCGCCCTCCTCAATCATTCCCAACCAGCTTCGTAACCGACGCCAGAGACCTAACGGGCTGCCTGGAATGTCATAAACAGATACCGTATTTTAGTGATTGATTGATTAAACCGTCCAATGATCGTTTAGTTAACAGTGAGAGTTCTGAACAATGACGTATTGTTCTTGGGGTGAGAGTGATATGTGTTCAGATGATTTAGTGCGAATGAGAGTTTCCCTCATCTTTTTTTATTGTTCATGTCGACTTGTCGATTCAAAGTCACTTTTGTAATTCATTATTTAATATATTAGTACAATTATTATATTATTATATTAGTACAAAGATTCAATGAACACTCGTATTTATGAGTTATAGAGGTCAAAGTTTTTAACTAGGTATTGACTCACATTAAAATATTTATTCATTTTCAAAGGAATATAATTCAAAATTTAATTGTAAAAGTAAAATGAATCATTTATTCAGAATTGTAGAGTTCTAGAGATTTCAATTTGACAAACAACATAAAAAGAAAATGATAAAAGTGTTTCATTTCGTATTTTTAGCGAGACGTTCAGATTGGCATTTGAAACTCATAGTTTGTAACTCACTTGCAGAGTGACACGGTAAGTTTGTATTTTTGGCTAACACACAAATTTCGTAGAAAGATACGCAGCTCTCCGGCGTAAGTATTTCGTTCGAGGACTTATCTTTTTATTCATAAAGTCACGTTGGTGTCTATGTACATATGATTTGAATCATCATTGAACCTAAGTGTTGTGGTAACTTTGTAAACGAAAAAATCAAATCAAATTTGGTTTACTATACATATGTCATGGTTGATTTTAAAATTTTAAGTATTAACTAGAATACATTTACGTCTAAACATAAAAACGGAGTTTTGCATTGTAATGTATAGATTCGAATATAGGGACTAGATCTGTAACCTAGATTAATGTTTAGTTAGAATGTGTTTCGGATGAACAAATCAGCCACATCTTCTTTTCATAGTTTGAGTCTTCATGTAAAAAATATTCCAAACAACTATCGATAATGGTATGTTTAGTCATGCTAAATTCAAAACCATTTACATATACATATTGATGGCTTCAAACTAGAGCCACAGATGCTCATACTGCAACTCTGTCTCACTCCAACGAGAATTGAAAGTATAATACTGCGAGCTGAGAATCGAAAGCAAAATCCTAAAACTAAAGTAATCAGTTAAGCAAGACTTGTCCTTCAAGCGCTCAGTCCTTCTTTATGTCCTTCCACGAGTTTGTTTCTGCACTCCCAGAGAAGCTGTATATATATATCCCTATTTTCGTGAAGCAGTAAAAGCCAGCTGCGGCCAGCAGTATTAGAATAGTTCAAAAAGAAATGCTCTTGGAAATGTGTATTAATTATGTCTTTAGAACAGTGTGTTCGAACTTGTATACATAGTTATGTAGAAAATTTTATAATATAAATATATACTTACGAGAAAATTTTCTGCTGCTTTGTGGACTAAGTGGATAGAAGTCTCCATGGATGGGACAATGGAATGCCAGTCTGCGTTGCCGGCGCTGAGCGGCACGCATTAATATACACAACACTACGCCTGTAATGAATTAAAAAAATGAATTAATTGCTTGAACTTTAAACCGACCATAATGTTAACTACATTGTAATGCAAATTTATTCGTTTTTATGGTTGATATATGTATTCGGTAGTTTACAATAATTATCTGGTTAATTGAACTAGGCTCAATTACGAGCACTAGACGTAGAATTACAATACGATATTGTACAGTACTAAATTGGTAATAAGGGAGTATGGAACATTACATTGCTGATAAATTAATTTTTAATTACGTACTCTTTAAATGTGACCATATAAAGAACTAATTTGGAATTATCTAAAATTATTATTGCATTTTATGTACCTAAATCCTTGGTGCCTATTTATTGAATAAGTTTACTTTGATTCCAGAATTGCATTACATACTCATAGAAATATGAATTGTAGATAGAAATAGAAATGTGTAATGTTTAATTGATAATCCGGTCCCAAATGGACTATGCTCCGCCCACAAATTCGGAAATAACTTTTTCCAGTAACCGATGACGTATGTTATAGTGGTATATATTTCTGACTGCTGTTTCTAATGATTTTGTATTCTTTTTAACACTGATTTCAGATTGAACAAAAACGACTTCAATCGGAGCAGAATTATTATGTTTTAAAGATCTAAGATGATCATAAACTGTTAGATTTTTATTGAACACCATGTATATTACAGTAGATATTACACCTTCCGACTAAGCTGTTTTGCCTTCCAACCCTGCAACCTTCCAATCTCAGGACCATATCTCAACCTCCAAATCAGTACATAGCTTGTAAAGTAAGATGCTAGTTGTAGGTTTAGATAGAGATCGAGTTACCTACATAAACGTCTCACAGTCTCCGTCTTGTTAAAAAATACCTAAAAAAAAGTTGGTTCAGAATCAAAGACATGATGTACCTGCGAAAAATAGTTACATTAAAAACCTCCTACACTTTGAAGTCGGTTGAAAATAACTTACCGGCAATAGTCATAAGGGCTCCAGCAACGATGCAAACGGGGCCAAGCACCCTAGAGTTGCCGGTGAACGCGATCCTCTCTTCATAATGATGTGGCTCTTCATTCTCTCCACAACCGCGATATGAAGCAGCTGAAATAAAACAACCGTTAATTTTGATGCTTATCTACGAGTCAGTTCATGGTAAGCCCGTTGCATACACGCACATAAACATTATACAATATCTTTGCCAATTATTTTACAGAGTATCATAATATATTTTAAGTTGGTCGAGTAAACGACTTCGAAGTATTGTCTATATTCCTTACTTAAACAGTACATTTTGATAGGTATATCTTTTATATACATAATTAATCAGTATATATATTATTTAGAAAAAATTGTATTTATTAAACTTCAAAACGAAGTTTTTTTTAGAAAGTTAAACATTACTTATATGCATTTTATTTACTCGTACGTAAAATATGGGTAAAATGACAATGACTGTGACTTGAGTATTGAACTTCCAATTTCTTCTTCCTTTAAATGTTTATAGTCTGGATTTTTGAACGTATGTATATTACTTTTTAAATATGTAGCTCTGGAAATAACTTTTACAGAGAATACTGCGATAGACTTTATAAAAATTCGTTTTTGGAGGTATCTCAGTCTTAACTATTTCAGTCGCCAAGCAGTTTGCTCTGGAAGATGTGTTTTGGTTGATAGGTTGAGATAACGCAGTGAAATTATAGGACAATTAGCATTACTCTTAGTCCTCCGGAACAGGAACTCATGAATGGTATCACAGGTGTCCCATCGCGATATTCGTGATGCTGTTCATAAATATAGGTGACGGTTACCACTGATTGTCAGGTGGGTTTTCAGCTTGTTTGCTATACCAATTTCCATAAAAACAAATTAGGAATGTCATTGCGTCTTACCTGTGAGCACACAGCCTACAAGCATGAAGAGGAAGCCGAAAATAGGTAGCACAATCTGGCAGTTCGCGGCGACGACCACTCCAGCGACTGCCAGTCCGCCTTCTACCTTCTCCACTCTTAACCTCGATATGGCTGGTGGACATCTAGGTTTGCCCACCGGCGCACGTACTAAAGGCTCGCCTGGAGGTGAAGTGGTCCTGTAGACAAGGAAATTAATCTATAAATTATTAATATCCGACTGTTATTACGCATGTGCAAGTTTGCAGAGATATTTGTTACAAATAAATCGCTATTATGATTTAAATTAAATAGTGTATACGTATATAGATACGTCACAGCATAGACAATCATACTATCTGTCTTCTTACACGTCTATAAATTTAGATAAGGTAAAATAAACATTTATTGTCTATAACTGTTTTACAACACTTATTATGGAATTGACCAGTTTATCCATTTCGGACGTACAATATGAAATTAAAATATACAATCACATCAAACAACTAAATTACAATAATAAAAATAAAAAACCACAACAATTCACAATACACTCCTTTCCACTAAGATGATAATCAATGGTTTAGGGTTCTTTTAAATTGTCTAGCAACCAGTGACTTGATGCATTCAGGCAAATGATTAAATACTTTTATTCCACTTATAAAGGTACCTACGTACCTTTACTATGCATATAACTAGAAGATTTCACAGTACAGATGTCATATTTATATTGTGATCTTAAATAATCCCTCATTTCACTCCTTTTACAAAAACGATCCTTATTTTCTTTCACAAATAAAGCTATTTCAAATATGTATATGTACATGTCAATGTAAAAAATTTAAAATCCTTAAACACATTTCTCAATGAGTCATATCTATTGACATTATATTTTCTATGAAGACATTTTTTTAAGTATATTTATCTATAAAGGTATATATATCGTCGTAGTAATAAATTACTGATATTAAATGTGTGAAGTTTGTAACTTAATAACATTTAAGTCGTTGGCCAGATATGAACAAAACTTGGCAGTCAAGTAGATCTATACTGTTTATATATCCTAATTATGAGTATACCTATATCCAATATCGCTAGATATCTTAATGAATATTACTGACAATGATATATTTTATTGGAGTTTATAATATTTTCACATAAATCACGAGTGACAATATAATTCATCTTTACAGGAACTGAAATATTCAAGAAAGTTATTTTAGTTGACAACAAGAGATAGTTATTATCATTTGTCATGACAATGCATGATCAGACGTAGGTAATTCTTATGATAGTAGTTATCAGTCAATAAACTGTTATTATTAATAATAGATACATAATAATAGTTCGAAGTAAGAGAGCAAAAATATAAAACCTATTTGTTATTCGTTGTGACAGTAAACTCAAATAGGTAAACCGGATATATAATACAGGAGATAATATTTCAATATCTTCCATTTCCAATTAAAAATCTTGATCCCTATGAATATTGTCGTTTAATTTGAAAAAAGAAAATTTCAATGTCAATATTGCATTTTTGTTCAACCGGCCAAGTCGTAAAGAAGTTTTTCTTCGCATTTTTGGCAAAAGCATTGAATGCTCTATTACATGTTATTTAAAAAAACATACCTACTGTGATTATTATAAATTGACAACATAAGAATTACTATAATACAACTGTAAATGTATACTGGCACAGTTGCCTATTTCCCGTGTGCCGTTTTTGGTCTCAGACGTAAAAATGGAGACAAAGTTGAAACAGTATTTTAGATACAATTACTTAAAGGGTATTATTATTTTTGTCAAAACGATACCATTTGAAACATACAAAGAATAATGACTAACTACTATTGCTAGAGTCGAATAAAATACAACTGACTCTAGTTTGTTTGTATATGTAGAACCATTGCTGGAGACGCGCGACTAGTGTCTCCCCATAACAGAATGATTTAGTCTGCTATTAGCACGCATAGTCATATCGTAACTTAGTTCGACCGAGATTATATAGTATATGAATACATTCTATTTTCCTGGTCTAGGAAACTTAGAGCTAACTTTTTTTTGAGTAGTATATCTATGATATCTTTTGACTGTTTTTTTCCTAGCGGTGATAGAGTGACAAAAAGTAACAATCTTGAAGCTTTGTCAAGTTATTTTAAAGTTTTTATAATCCTACTGTTATTTTCCGGGAATACTTACTGTATTTAAACAAACAAATAAACCCTTCGTTTTTTATATTAGTACAGATTATAAAAACGTTACTTAGTTGAAGGTGAATACATTGTAGGCTGTCACTCGCACCCAAACGTTTATAGCGTATTTCTAGGCACGTGGTAGTAAACGTGCTTAGATCTGCCATTTATTTGGTGACGTATTTTTGGCATTACCTATGGTTAATAAATAAAATATACATTTATACATACGCATTACATTTTTGGCGTTGCTTTAATTTAATATTTACATTTAAAAGAAAAATGAAGATCACACTTTGTTAAGATTGGTGCAAACCAGACTTTTTACCCGCTTTTACTCTTTTACTTTACTCTCCCCTATTTATACCTAATTTTTGGTTTTAATCTACTATACAAATACAGTCACCATGGTATAAATCAATTTAATTTAATTTTAATTAAAATAATAACAATATATATTATTAATATAAATGAGTTATTATACTTAGGCAGAATATAATCAAATTGATAATTTTCCAAATTAATTTCTTTATATAGACACTTTATATAGATTTGTTATTGATTTTGTGTTCAATCACCCGACATGATGTCATAAAACTACTAAAATATGTATCCCACTAACTTATCTATTATTCTTATTGCCTCCCAAATTCTGTTCGGCTATTAGCCACCTCCGTTCATTAAAACATTATTTTGTCTCTTTAATTGGCGCCTTCAGAAAAAGAAGCTAATAATAGTACATATAATTATGGCTGAATAATTAATAAAGTAATCCAGCTGACTTAAGGACAAATTTGGCTTCATTATATACCACAAAACTTATAGGTATTCAAAACTTAACTCAAATATTATCTGTAAAAGGCAACATTATTATATTGCCTAAAACTTTGGTGGTTATTTTTAAATTAAGTATATTGATTTATTTCTGTATTTATAAAACAGTGGCTAGATGCGCCTTCGTCTGGGTGTTCATAACTTTATGACTTTTGTATATGTTAATAGTAATATTTGGAATAAATTGGAATAAAGTATCTTTCAAACAGTGAAAGAATTTCACAAATCGATGATTTTCTTAATAAAGTGAACTATACATATAATATTATTCTTGCTCATCTGTAGACATAACACTATTTAAATTTTACTAATATAAAAGGGGCATATATTATAATATAACACTACTACTAATTTGTTTCATAATTTATTTTCTCGTGCGAAATATAGTGCTAATATGCCGGTTATCCTTAAGGTTTTGTCAATTAAGGATTAATAATCGAGGTTATCTACATCAGCTATGAGACACGATTGTCCTAATTGAGAATACAATGGCACCGTAGGAAGCTCATATTATAATGCCACATCCTTTATTCCTACGTCAATAGCATAGCTTATGAAAGTATCTTTGTTCTTAAATATTAATGAGTTACTTTGTAGAGTTCGGTACAAATGGAGTCGCAAGTAACTCTACAATTCTGGGACGCTTTTCGTATTGCTGGATTCTACTCACGTCATTGATATAACAGAGAACGAATGTAATTTGTTACTCTTCCTTTTCGCCTTTAGAACGTTCTAGTATTCGACTATGATAATCAGGTATAATGCACTAGCGCAAGATGAATAAAAACTTAGTTATTAATATTCTCGTTTTGTACAAAAGAGAGATTTATTTAGGATATTAATAAATAATAATGGGACCGATTAAAAAGATGAGATTTAAATTGAATGCGAGATTAATAAAAATAAAATCCACTAATAGTCCGCAAATATAAGAAAATTTTCGTGTGTTCTGGGTTTAAAGATAGATTGCAAAGATTACAAGTATATTTTCTTTCAATTCCTTCTACGTTTTTAGTCTTTGTTACGTGAAATAACGAGGGCAAGAGAAAAATATTTTCTCATTCAAACCTGGTCAAACATTTATCATTTATGCAAAAAGTTCCATAGACAAGGAGAAATATTTAAGTGAGTGCCTCAGAGCGTTCTTTTGTTTGTTTACTGATGAATTTTTGAAGTTAATGATGACAGAGTTACTGAGAAATTTCTTGTGTGATTTACCTACTTACTTAGTAAACATTAAAATATTTAATGTCACGGTCTATATAAGGGGTTACTATAATATAAATACTTTTTTATGGATATTAAACGATGATAAATGAATTAATAAAATATAGGTTTCGCTACTGAAATACTTATCGATTACTTATTCAGTCAGACTAATAGTAGATAATTTAATAGAATAGCGCAGCGGTAAATGTCTAATATAATTAAAAAAAAACATAAATAAGATAATCTTTCATAATATTCAATTTAAATTAAAAACATCAATTTCGATGCTATTGTATACAACAATTTCTATTTAGTTGTTGTAAATAGAGTGAATACACAGAGAAAAAATAAAGAGTTAAATTACGCAAGTATTCGATTCGGGCAATTTCTCAATACGAACCTATATATTAGGACTCGGTACATATAATGTAAAAAATGTATATTATCATTCTTATACATTTCATTAAATCATTTACCAACTCTAGTAGATATATTTCGTTGCATTGTTTATTGTAGAGAAGCATCTGTCGTCTAACATAAATCAAGCCAATGTGTCGTAGCTGACATGTGGACACTGTGTTCACATCAACATAATGATGAAAATTGATCGTTGTGTACAGTATACATTGTATGAGTCAAAATCATAAAGTTGAAAAGGAGAAAGTTGACATTTGATATGACAGTACTTTTGTACCGTCCGTTATAATCAGTTTTTAAATAGGCGTTAGACACAACAATAACGATTCTTTTTAAAAATGTATAACTTTTTATTTGTAAACATGTTTATCATTGCGTAATGTATAGAATAGTTTTTAAAAATTAAATAGACTATTAACTTTACTTCATTAATTAATCACTATACTATGTAGAAAAATAAAACAGTCATTGCCTTATTTTTATTTTGAGGGAGTGTGGTCAGCTGTGATTAACTGTGTATCTTATTGACCAACTCACCTGCAGCTTTT